TTTAAAAAAAAAAAAAAAAAAAAAAAAAAAAAAAAAAAAAAAAAAAACTTCCTACGCGAAATTGCCAAAATCAAACTTTTGCGGGCTATGGGAGTAGTTTCCCTACATGAGTGCTCTGCTTCACCTTTTCATTGAATACGCGACACGCATCCTGGTGACGCCCGCGATATCTTGTTCTGCATAGCGAATGCGTACCACTCGTCTATTTATTTGACTACAATGTGTATGTCTATTTTACGCCGTAATACATTCAGATCATTTTTTTTAAATATACGAGTTTCAAGACTTGCAATTGCCAGTGATTTACACTCAACTGGTTTTTTGCCTTCGAGATTCAATGCTTCAGAATATCCTCTGTCGTATACTAGTGTACTTTGTATTCACATCCATTTTTTCATCCCTCGTTCAAGGCGAGGCTTTTAATGTCACGGAGATTGAGCGGCAGATTTCATCATTGAAGCAGTTGGCAGATCTGGCGAGAAATAAGGAAATATTCTCCACCTCATTGTTTTCTGAACATGCATTTTTTGACCAAACAAACAATGTTCTTGGTACCTTAGACTTTGTTGAAAATCATTCATTTCAAACTCAACCATATGTGGCCAATGGATATTTCGGGGCAAGGATTCCAAATCTTGGGCATGGTTTTGCATACGATCTGCTTCTGTGTAACTCTTCCGCTCAAAATGAAGCCCTTAACAATGGATGGCCCTTATTTAGCAAAAGATTTGCGGGGGCTTTTGCGGCAGGGTTTTTTGACTCACAAGAAAACACAGTGGGACAAAACTTTCCATGGCTATACCAGTATGGTTGGGATAGTGTAATATCTGCAATTCCTCAATGGACATTTTTGAGCATAGCGGCTGGAAAGTATGTCTTGGATCCCATGAACCCGGCAGAGACATGGGGCTACATAAGCAATTATGTTCAAAACTTGTCATTGGAAAATGGAGCCGTATCGACACTGTTTACCTGGCTCAACAAACTACATTTAGAATATGAAATCGTTGCAAGCAAGCATGATATAAACTTGGGAACTGTTTCTTTGGTTGTGCGAAACCCTAGCGACGAGGCAATTTTCATCACTGTGAACGATACCATCAGCTTCGAAACTTCAAAAAGATGTGACTTTTTTTCTTCCAAAATTGATGAAGAGGGAATCCAAATGGTTGTAACTCCAAAAGGTGTGAACGATGTGTATGGGGCCATTCACTCTAGGCTTTATCTTGAAGGCGGACAAGCACAATACACACGATCTACAACTAATAAATATAAGGTATTCCAGGCAATTAACACTATGATTTTACCTGGAGAAAGTTTGAGGTTTAGAAAGTTAGTGGGCATATACACTACAGATTTAGATCCCGAGATCTATAAGCTGTCAGAAGATGTCTCTTTGGCCGCAAAGAGAACAGCGCTTGTATCTAATGTCGATACCTGCCACCATCTTCACAATGAGGCCTGGCTTAGCTCATTAGGACATTCATTTCTGATAGAATTTCCAGACAGTCCCCTACTCACCATGGCTTCCAAAGCATCTGTATACCACATCAACGCGAATATGCGGGAGGGTGCCATTGGATTGACTTCTGCATTATCCGTATCTGGATTATCTTCTGATTCTTATGGTGGTCAGGTGTTTTGGGACACTGACTTGTGGATACTGATGGGTATTCTTCCCTTCAACCCTCTAGTCAGCAAAAGTTTGCTAAGTTATCGGATTCAAAACCATAAGCAGGCAATTGAAAACGTTATGAGTGAATCTAGATCCAAAGAAAGTTTCAAAGGCGCGATTTATCCATGGACAAGCGGAAGATTTGGAAATTGTACTGCAACAGGTCCATGTTTTGATTATGAATACCACGTGAATGCTGCAATTGCATATTCTGCAATTCAGCTATATTTGAGTGGACTGGTGGGGGAAGATTACTTGGAGTTTGTGGTGTATCCCATTGTCTACGATGCTGCTATTTTCTTCTCTACTTTCGTCGAATTTGATGATAATTTATCACAATATGTGACCAAAAACCTTACTGATCCAGACGAGTTTGCAGAATTTATCGACAATGGTGCTTACACAAATGCAGCAATCTCATTCATTATAAGATGGGCAATTATGATAGCCAAACACCTTGGAAAGAGTGTCCCCAGCATTTTTGAGCACATGGTAGATTTAATTCATGTTCCATACTCACCTGATGATGATAAATTGGTCCTAGAATACAGCGGCATGAATTCCTCCATTGAAGTGAAGCAAGCAGATGTTATAATGATGACATATCCACTCGAAAATGAGCTTATTACTGATGAGGTGGCGTACCACAATCTAATTTACTACGCGAACAAGCAAGTGAGCACTGGCCCGGCAATGACATTTCTGATCTTTTCCATAGTAAGTTCAAGAATACTTGAGGCTGGATGTTCTTCGGAGTCATATCTCTTGAAATCCATAGAGCCATTTTTAAGAGGCCCGTTTGCTCAATTTCTGGAACAAAGTGATGACAATTACGTACTGAATGGAGGTACACATCCAGCTTTCCCTTTTCTTACTGCCCATGGGGGGTTTTTGCAGACCATTCTAATGGGAATATTGGGAATGAAGTTTTCCTATGAGTTGGATGGAGATCGAATTCTGAGAGTCTTGTCTTTCAAAGCTAGAAATCTATCCCTTTTTCCTCAAGGTGTCACCTTTGGAGAGGTGAGATATCTAAACTCATCTTTGAGCATCAGTCTTGTCGACTCTATACTTACGGTAAAAAACAATGGTCCCATACAAGGTACTTTGTCTCTGGGATCTAATATTAAAGTGATATCGAATTCGTTTCCTGGATCTCAGGAAATGAAAGTACTCGAAGAGTTCGGAACAGTGAGTTTTTCTGTTCCGTCAAGAAAAAAAGCAGATAGTCGAAGCTTAACTGAATGTGGCTTGTCGCTGTTCATCAATCTTGGCGCTGGTAGACGGGGTGACGTGGTAGATCTGATGCACGATGGTGATAATAGCACTTTTTGGCAAGCAGAATCGAGTGAGGAGACCGAAGTTTTGATCAACTTCAAGAGATCAACAACAGTGAAAAAAGGTTTTATCAACTGGGGAGACTTGCCTGCCCGAAAGCTCGAAATTTATATCCACGATTTTGAGAACAGACAAGAAAAATCCCTAAACATGAACCTTCAGAAACCGAAAGAACAAAACTTCCAACTATGGAGAAGCGTACAACTGAAGAATTTAGACAATGATGTTGGCGAATTTCAGAAAGTGTTCGAGAGTGATGTGAAAATTACAGAGCCCTTTGATCCTCAAGAGTATATAAGAGTTCGGCCTGTTAGATCACAGAATGTCACTGAATTTGAGTTCCCATTTCCAGTGCGCTGCACTCACATTTTGATTAAGTTTAGTGACTCTCATGAGAAAAACCCATTTGGTGCAAAGATTTTTGATATAAACTTCTTTGAGAATTAAGCTCAATGAATATTTTTATGGAATTCTTTAAACAGAAGTTCATGTATATTAACGAAAATCACAAGTATCCAGAGGTGAAGCACGAGTCGCTGAGCGGGGACTTCGCGATTGCGAAACTCATGAGGCAGGATCACATGTTGATATATTCCCCTACTGATAACAAGTGCTTCAACTGCTCAACAAATGATAATGTATACCATGAATCTACTCCTCAATACCGAATGCATGGACTGGCTACCTCTGAGAGAAGACAGACTCGTATTGCAGTCCTCGTCACACTCTATCACCGAAAGCAGCTTACTTTTGTTTTCCGTGTTGGTATTCCTCGCCTTCTTGATACTTACATTTGGATGTATATTTAAATACCGACAAAAGCGATTGAAAAAAATTCGAAGTATTCAAGAAGACAACAGAGTGTATCTAAACCTTAATCTAGATGAACAAGAACTCTATTTTCAAGCGAAAGACTTTCTTACAGCAAACCCTTATCTAGAGGGAGATTTAACGCTCTCGCAAAATCTATCCATCCAAGAGAAGGGGGTTCGAGCATGGGAATTCGTGCGAGATAGTATGCTTACAAATAATGACATATTGATAATACAGAAGTATGAAATCAACTTTTTCAAAAGGTTGGAGTGCTCTGTTCTAACCAACTTGCCCATTCCAAAGGCGAACGAAGTTTACTACTTCGAAAGCAAGATTTTTTCTCTCCCAAATCCTGAAGAAACCATACTATCCATTGGGATCAGTGTGAAGCCATACCCTTGGTTCAGGCTACCTGGGAGACATGCACACTCTATTTCCTACGATAGCGATGGCCATACTCGCCACAACGAGCCATTTCCAATATCAAACGAGGCACCGTTTCCAAAACTCATAGAGGGTGATGTTGTGGGGATAGGCTACAAAGTTCGCTCTGGAACTGTGTTCTTCACCAGAAACGGAAAGAAGCTAAGTGAGCTGCGGATTAATGGGCATTCCAAAAAATTTAAACCACAAGCAAATGGACAAATCTTCCCAATAATTGGAGCCAATAATCTCTGTTCAATCCATGTAAACATTGGTCAGCTTGGCTTTGTCTTTATAGAAGGAAATGTTAAAAAGTGGGGATTTGCGCCTTTGCAAGGGAACGGACCAGCACCTCCAGCCTACAACCCATTCAATGATGATATTTTGCTCGAGCGTTCAGATGTGGATGAGCTGAATGGTTTGACAGACAGGGAGAATGATTTTCCTCCCGACTTCTTGGATATCGATATTCTTAGTGGTGAGCACAATGAGAACGGTCTAGATACGCTGGGAAATGACCTTATTACTATGCACAGTCTTCTACCGGATCTGCCACCTTGTTATGATCAATCATCGGCACATGCCGAATATTGTCATACAGAGGAGGATCCCATAAATATAGACGGTGCACAATTAAACGAGCCATTGGAAGACACATCCTTACCCAATCTTGGCCATGAGCTGGAGGAATGACATGTTTTTGAGTAATTCAGCTTGTGACACAAAACCTATAGCAGTTGATTAACTATTTTGAAGAGGATCTGGTGCCAATATTTCAAAGTCTATGTAGAGAAAAGTAAGTCTTTAACAAATTTACCAAGGCTTTCCATTACTGTATTTTTATTACTGAAATAAACATTCGAGGATATGAAAAAATCACGCTTAAATTAAAGTTTAGGTTTCTGAACGATTAAATTGGCCGATCTTGATGTACTACAGGCCCAAATTATAGGTCACCAGTATCTGGAAGTGTTACCCAACCTCAATTTTTTTCACAGCTTTTCTTTCAAGATGTCCAAGATTGATACAGAAAAGAATTTCAAAATCTGATTCTCTAACATCATGATTGATCTGGCCACAGCCACACTGTTGTGAGTCACTTTCTCTGAAAGAAGCCCCTTTTGTAGAAAACACTTCGTTTAAGTAATTTCTATATACCGGGGTTAACTATCAAATAACGTATTGACTTGCCATAAGCACATTTGTTGCAATGTTGATTGGACACCCAATGGATTCTTATATTCGTTTGAAATACATCAAAAAAAGCACCAGCAAAATTAAATAACATCAAGAAAGAAGATAAAGGACAAGAGAAACTGGGCGCTTTACCAAAGAAGCCCATCAACAGCTAAATTTTCTTATTCGTCGAAATTTCTTCAGAAGAATCTAATAAAAAATAAATGAGAAAAAGTGTATTTTCACTCATTCGAAAATTTAAATTCGAGGCATTTTATCGATGGAAGGTGAGATGAAATTAGTATACTAGACTTTCATTGTAATGAAACAAAATTACCAGGAAAGACGCCAACTTCTCCAGATACAGAATGCTTTCCGGACCACCAGTCTTCATCTACAAATTCAATGTCAACAATAAGATCACCTTCGCGAAAGCCAATTTCATTGTCCTCCTCCTTTTCGTAGTCATACTCGGCTATCGCAGATCTTCCATTCGATTTGGTGATTCGTTCGGGTTCAATTTTCAGTGAATTATCAGGCACAGTCTCGTCATCGTCCTTGGGCAATGAAGAATCATCAAGAGTCACATAAGAGCCTGGAAATACACCGTTTTCACCCGTTCTAGAGTTTTTTCCTGACCACCATTCTTCATCAACAAACTCGATTTCGATAATGGCATCACCTTCTTTGAAGGATACTTCATTATCCTCATCTTTATCATAGTCGTACTGGGCTACAGCACTAATGACCCGACTTTCAGCCAGCTTGGAATTTTTTGCTTCAAAATGACCTTGTGCCACGCCAGCAGTTTCGTTTTGAATTTGTTCGTGCACTTTATCATCATCCAGAGCAATATTTTCATCATTATTTTCATTGTCATTCAGGACCATATTTGAGGGTTCTTCAACTTCTTCAAAAGTGTCCTGGGGGGAAATAGTATCCTCAACAAAATGCGAAGGCTCATCTGGAACACGCTTAAAGATTGCTGGTATCTCTTTGGGAATGGTCAGCGCTTCTTCAGTCCACTCTCCATTTTTCTCATTTATTGAGAGGTTTGACAAGTCATTTTGAGGCTCGTCGTCATCATTCTTGGGTTCAACAGAGTATTTACCCCTCTTTTGCGCCCACGCTTGAGCAGGTGTGAGGCCATTTTCATTGGCATGATTTTGAAACAAACCTTCAGGCAGAGATTTGTTACTTGGCTGAGCAGAGGCGATAGGTCTGGAACCAAAAGATGGTTTTGCAGGCAGAATAGATTCAGCACGAGGGGTCAGGTAACGCGCTGAAACAGAGTTGCTGATCTTCGGCTTCGGTAAAGCAGTTAATCTCTCATCTTTATTTAATTGCTCGAGCTTCTTATCGTTGTGTAACAGCTTGATCCTTTCATGATTGTCACTGTGAGTATACTTCTCAGCAATTTTGTCAGTATCTTTATGAGATGATATGGTATCCGACTTTTGATTTCTTAATTCTTTAATATTGACCTTTGTCGGGACATAAGCAGATGGAACGTTTTCCAACGGCTGTGCATTAAAATCTCTCTCTTCGATTGCCTCCTCATCACCCCAACCATCGTCTGCAGATGCGCTTACCGGAGTAGGTGATACCTTGAATGAATTCATGGGCTTGGGTTTTCTCAAGCTGTCCTTATTTGGGACAGGATTTTGTTCAGAAACCATGTTTACAGGCAAAGACTTTGGCTGAACTGGCTTCGTCATGGTAGCACCTTTCTGGCCATTGGCATGATACGTGTATCTTGCACCCGCCGCTGCACTAACCTTGGAGATTATTTCATCAACATCCAAGTCATCAGGGTCTCTTGCAGTAATTTGGATGTGATATCCAGCAAAGATTCTTGCAACCTCGACGAAAGTTGGTGCAAAAGACAAACGTAACTTCACTGGGGCATTATCAGGACACCATCCCAAAAGAACATTCTTAGAAACATCCGAGCCAGGCACAGTAACACGAGCCAAACCAAACTGAACGATTCCATCACTGAACGCTTCGACAAATTCATATAAATCACCTGTGCCAGATGCGGTTGCATCAAGAACGTTATTCTTGTTCACGGTAAATACGGCAAATGAAGTTTGCGCATCACCACGAACAACTTTTGTATAGAGATCGTTTATTTCTTTAGCGTTCTTTGAAAAATCTACCTTCTCCATTATTTATCCGATTAGATACTAATGTTTTCTTTTGCTAAAAAATCTATGATCGTTCGAACTAGCGTGTGATCGTGACTGAGCGGGGGCTGAGCAAACATGCGTCCGTGCACACCGTCCGCACCGTAAAATAAGATTTCGTAGCACATGCCTCAGTTGATTGAACGATTTTCAGCAATTAGTATAATATGGATGTGGGTTTTCCCCATCCTGAATTTTTTAAATACATCTAGAAGGTGTTGCTTTTACCTTTTTTACATTCGTGTGCTTTGAATTATATTAAAGGTTCGTAATGCGACTACGCCCACTAAAATTCTCCAATGATGTTAATGCTTACTGAAACCAGGACAAGAAGTCATAATGGGCAAGTACTCATGGGATACCGCTCTGAATTAATCACAATTGCGTCTGGCCTTTGATTTGCCGTGCTTTATTTCATTAGTGCATAAGTCAAACACCACATCATGATGTAGCCAGCAAAGTTCGAAATGAAATTGTCGGCGAAGATCTCCCGAACTGGGGAAACAAAAAATCTTTTGGGGGTCCCCTCACAGCATACGACAAGAAATGAAAAGTCAGAAGCAAGGATGCCGACGAGATAGAAAGCAATCCCGGAGTATGACTCCAACCCCAAGGTGCCCGCAGCAATGCCCAAAGAAAGCGACATCACATCTTGCAACTTCTGTAGTTTGTATTTATTAGACACTAAATGGGCATCGTAATAGACCTGTTCAATGTCCTTGTTGGCCGTACTCATAGACATGAGCGTAAAATCGGGTGCTACGCACAATTCCAATGAAGTCTCGATCAAAAGAGGTGAGTCTCGATATACTAATATGCACACCGCCTTCTCGTGCTCTAAGTGAGGGCAAATACCCAAAGGATTGTCAGAATATGTATTGTTAGAGCACTTCCTCGTGTGTTTGTTTAAGTGAACCAAGATTCAAAATCTGAAGTACTCATTGATCATGGCAAAGACTTTTATCACCGAATTGAAACGATTATTGATAGATTTTCCAGAAAGCTGTAATTATCAATTTAATGAAAATCACAAGAAAATTCTACGAAAATATTTGTTCCAAGCGATATCCTGCGACGGTCTATATCTCGATTGGTTTTTCCCTCGAATTTTTGATGGACTGAACACAGCAGAAACTATTTTCGAGACGTTAGACAATGATGCCCAGTGGTTGTTTCTGAAATATGATGAGATAGTTTTCAATGGTCTGAATGGCCAAGATGATCATTGCCATCTGGCATATCACCAGAATCTGCCGTGCGCTAGAATCTTCCGTCGCGGGGAACCGATTTATAAATGCTTGACTTGTGGCTTTGACGAGACTTGCGCTTTGTGTTCCCATTGTTACCAAAGTGAAGAACATGCGGGCCACACAGTTCACATTAGTATATGTCAGCGTGAAAACGGCGGTGTATGCGATTGTGGCGATCCTGAGGCATGGATAGGTCACTTTACATGCAAATTTGCTACGGATAGCCTGAATCATACTAGCTTTGGATCACGAGTTATTCCGGCTAATTTTGAGGAGGCGTTTGAGACTACAATATGTGTCTTGCTCGATTATGTAATAGATGTGATGTCTCAGAGTGATCTTCAACTATACCCACCACAAGATCTTGCTTCGGATCCAGCGAAGTACTCAGATTTGTGTACACTCAATCCAGAAAAATACGGATACGAGGATCCTGGTGATCTTCAACATGGCCGTCCAAGTGAAATGTATGCTCTCATCGTATACAATGATCAAGTTCGTCATTTTCGTGACGCTGCTCAAAGAATCCATTTAGCAAGCAAGAAAGTTTCAGAGTTTGCCGTCATGGTAGCTGAACAGGTACAAACACATGGCCGTGCTACGGTTTTGAGATCTAGAGACTTCAAATTACTATTTGAGAGACAAAAAGTACTAAGTGCAACGGGGCTTGCTTCATGCATCCGCAATGCTAGAGATGAATTTCAAGAAAATATGTGCCACGATATACTTGTCTGGTTAAGTAATTTAACAGACCGTGAAGTTTTCAAAACTAATGAAACTTTGAAAAATATTCTTTGCCATTCATTTTGTTGCCGATGGCAACCAGGTCTTTTAAGATCAGAATCTCACGGTATAAATCAGTACGTGAAAGGAAAATTGAGCCTAGACCTTCAAATTCCGAATGTTGCTTGTATCACTTCAGACAGTTCTTCTGAATCACATTGGAATTTTGTTCCCTCTTTGTGGGACGTAGATCCCGGATTATGCAGACAGTGCGATTACAATCAAACAGTATCGGAATACTCTTCGCGAAGCATCAGAGGTTCAAGATTTCAGTACTTGGTCTACTTTGATATCAGATTCTGGAAGTCCATCAGAACGGTTCTTCACGACTTCTACTTGACATCACTCATCACAAACTTGAAATTCAAAAAATTGTTTGCGTGTCAATACGTGGATATATATCCAGCGGTTGCAGATCTGTTTCTTAACGTCGATGGGGAACCAGAACTCAATATCTTGTCCAAACTTTCTTCTCAGTTATTTACTTGCCCTTCTCACTCAACATCTATAATTGCACATGGTGATGTTTCAAGGATATTTCTGACCATCTTCAACTTCTTGAGAAGTGGTCAAGTTCAAGCAGAAGCCATAGATACGGAAAATAAGAAAACCATATCTATGGCAAGTCTTAAGAACAGGAGATGGGGTCAGATATTCTTTGATATCAGCTATATTTTGAGTCGAGGGAAGGATAGCGAGCTTATTTTGAGTGATAACAGTATTCCAATGGTCTGTGATATTTTGTCTCTATTTCAAGGAAAACCTGTTTTGAGGAGAGAAACAGAGCATCATGTCGAATATGAAAGTACAGAATACACCGCTTTCTTCCACGCAATTCTGGTAGTTTATCAGTTTGCGGAATACATATCACAATCTGTCACAAATCTAGAAAAGGTTCAAAGACAAAGGATATCTCTGGGTGCAATCAAATATGTGGTCAGTTATCTTTTAGAACTCGAGTGCGAAAGTGAGACAATTTTCATGGAAAACAATGAAGTGGACTACGGCAATAACTCGAAATACATGCAATCCGAACTCATTGAAAAGGTTGAGGACTCAAAAGTAAGCTTTCTCCATCCGCTTCATTCATTTTTGTCGTGGTTAATTGAGTTCTCAAATTTCAGCACACATGATCAACTATACTCGATTTTCGAATTTGCGATTGCGAAGGTTAATTTGGAGAAGCCAGAATTTGGGAACACCCTATGGTGTATAAACATGATATTTGACTACCCAATCCAGACTGTCGTCCTTTCTTCTCAAATAAAGTCTGGGTTTTGGGTAAGAAACGGGTTCAGCGTTCGAAGTCAGCTTCAGCTTTACAAAAATACCAGCTTACGCGAACAGGGCTATTTGCGGGATTTGTTTCTTGTGCAAGTCTTCACAGTTTGTTCTGAACCAGACACTATCATGGATGTGTTTTTGAAGAAATGGCTTTTCCATGAATGGACAACAAAGTCTATCGGATCTAGTGAAAGTTGCATTTATGAACTGAGCATTCTCCAATACATAATTGAAGAGTGTCTTAGATTTTTCATGCATATTTTGACAGAAGATGTATTTTTGAGGGGTTTATCAACTGAAATCACAACTTATCTACAAATAAGGAGTGAAATTATTCACAATCTTTGTTTTGGTCCACTTAGTTACTCCAAATTGTGTTCGCAAATACCCGAACACATATACTCAGAAAAAAAATTTGACTCTGTACTTGAGGAACTAACGACATTTAAGAAACCCATCACTGTCAAAGACACTGGCGTTTATGTTCTCAAAGAAATTCATTTTGCAGAAGTTGATCCATACTACTTCAATTATACAATTAATAAGAAAGATGATGCGATGAAATTATTGAAGGAAAGGATCAAAGAGGCAAAAAATATTCAAATTTGTGATGTTACAATTGATCCCAAGTCCAGAGATGTGGAATCATTCGGGATCTATAGACACCTTGCAAATTTCACCACATCAAGTTTGTTCACTGAGTTTTTGGTAAGGATTATCAAATACATTCATCTGGAAGGTGTCAGCAAGTTAGACGGGCTTTTAGAGACGGTCCTTCATCTCATACATGTTTGCTCATTAGAGAATTTGATTGATATACAGCGATGGGGATCATTTCTCGATAATTTTCTAAGAGAATGTCCAAATTTCCAAGCCTCATTATGCTCATCTTTGTACGAATTACTAACCAATGATGAATACGAATCGCATCATGCGAAGATAAGAGCAATTTTCATGACTCTAAAAAGTAATCATGTGAATTTGATTGAGCTTTTGCAGCTTAACGTACCAAATTTTCATGAAGACATTTTTGATGTCGTTGTGAATTTACCAATTGGAGAGAGCAATGATGAACGCAAAAAACGCATAGCGAAGGACCGACAAGCAAAACTTATTGCAAAATTCAAGAAACAACAGTCCCTGTTTTCCAAAATAAATAATGTTGACAATGACTGCAGCGACATGGATTTGACAGAGGAAGAGGAAGAAGAAGGATGGAAATTCCCAGAACCCCATTGTATTCTCTGTCAGGATACGGCAGATGATGCAGGACCATTCGGAATCATTTCATATGTGTCAAAATCAGCGGAGTTCCGGCAAGTTCCCTTTAATGACCAATTCTGGTTTCTTAAAGCATTCTCTGACCTGACAAATTTGAATGGTAGCGAAGGTTGTGGTGGTTCTCGGGAGCATTATAGCGATAATTGGGTTAGCTATATGGCGCTGATAAAACGTGACCATGTGATCGGACCCGGCTTTACCGATCAGGAACTGGTCCACAACAAGTTAGTTTCCCTGACTTGTGGACATGGGATGCATTTTCGTTGTTACATGCAATACCTGACTAGCAACAAATCTCGTCTGAACCAGATTACGAGAAACAATCCAGAAAGTGCTGAACATAGGGAGTTTTTGTGTCCCTTATGCAAAGCTATCAGCAACATGTTCATTCCGATTCTATGGTTGGCAAACAACCGATCTTTGTCCAAATTTTTGTCCCCCACTCCCAAAGAAAAAGGCCCCTTTAGTTCTGTAACAAGAGAAAGTTTTCATGACAAGTTCTGGCTTCTGGAATTTGGCCGCAACGTCACTCAAGACTTGAATTCGTTCTCTATCTTGACTACTCTGGCCAAAGAAATGATTGGAATGTCACCATCCGACCAGGCACTTCAAAATCAACAACAATTCAGAATTCTTCTCACAAATATGTTTCAGATTTTGTCACTGTTAACGTTTCCACATATATTCAAGGCGGACTGTCCAAGAAATTTGATTAACAGCATAAAATCTACCGAAATCTCCTTAAGAGGCGCAACTCTTCAGTCTCAATTGGTGATACATCAACTCACCAACAATAATTTGATCAACTTGCGGGCACTAAACGAATTTCGTTTAACAAGCTTACTCATGAAATTCTCAAATTGTGTTCCGTCTCAAACGGGGCAAGTCAATCCGCATGTCAAGTATTTATCGAGCCTCCAAACACTAACTCCCGAATTTTTTGACAGTACCATTATCTACTCAGATTTTTTTGAAATTTTAGTGTCGATATTTCCAGCGCCTTCGGCTTCTGTGGATTTCAACTCTATACTTGTTTCCTGCTTTATGGGATCGATTTTGCAAAACCTCAACATAATCATCAAGGGGTTAGTCACACATGAGTTTTACGCCAACAACTCCTACACTATCCTAGATGTACCATATTCCAAGCTCCTCACTGATGCGGATGCACAAATTGCATGTGAGGTTTACAAAACTCTCAGGGGATCCATATCCAATGATCAACATGAAGAGCTCATAACAAACCATCCTAAGTTTGGATTTGTCTTCTATTCAATGTTGTTGAAATCGGTAACACCATTTTTGAGGAGATCAGCCATTTATGCTTACGTTTGCTGTGCTAATCAAGATATTGATACTGATCTATCTAATGGGGAACTTGAGGGTGATCAGATTTGCTCGTTTTTGAAGATACCAAAAATGAGTGAAATATTGCGAAGAATGTTGATCGTGGATGAAAAGCCTACGTGGGAAGCAGAGCGCCTTATGTCTTTCAAGAATTATATGCGCAGTATGCTTCGCAGAGAGGAAATCATATCACCGAAGACATTGGAATACCCAGGTTTGGTAAGACTTGTGGATTTGCCTGATAGGTTAGATGAGTTTTTCACTGATTATTACTATCTGGAAAAATTTCATAATCCCCACTTGAGTATTGAGAATCCAGCTGTTTGCATGTTTTGTGCTGAGGTATTGGATGCTCAAAAGCGGTCTATCGGCTCGCCCTACGGGCAGTGCAGCACTCATTTCACAAAAGAGTGCATTAGCAGTGTTGGGATATTTTTGCTTCCCAAAGATAGATGTTTGCTTCTATTGCACAAAAACGGGGGCACTTTCTATGATGCGCCTTATTTGGATAATCACGGTGAACTTCCTGCCGAGACAAAAAAAAGTAGGATAGTACGTTTACTGAGACTGACTTACAGTGATTTCATCAGAAACACGTGGTTGCAACACAATGTACCTAATTTGATTGTCAGAAAACTCGACAGTGTCATTGATGTCGGTGGTTGGGATACGCTATAAATTAAATAAAATTAGTTCATTCCCAGAATTCAAAATCTTCAAAGCTTTCTTCTTCAAGGGTTTCCGCTTGTAGGTCCTCCAAAGGTCTTAATCTCTCTCCATACATGGTTCTAGTCGCAAAACCAAACAATTCCTGATTGATCCAAATTTTATTGAGGTTCGAATAACGCAAGCGATTAAGCGTGGCTCTTTCCTTCAGACTTGGTTCTTTGACCTCTCCGTGAGCAGTCATGTAGGGCCCAGGAATTTTTATTTCAAAGGGTTCATGTCCCAATTTCAAAACTGTGGTGATTGAGTTTTCCTCGGGGCAGAACAACAAACTTAACGGAGAACACTCCCTATGATGACTAGATTTGAGCCACGACAAAACTTTTTTTCCACAAAGTAGGCAAATCATATCGGACGGCAAAATGTGTCGGGGATCAGTGATTGTGGTATTGAAGTCATTTGGCAAGTTGATGAGTCTGGGAACATTAGGGTATTCAAGAGTTCTCAAAGAATTCGTTGCGAAGCCTTTCCAATTTTTGATATGGGTCTGTAATATCTTGGACTCGAAATGCAAATCATTGTCAAGCCGTGATATACTCAAAATGTCAACAAGTTTGGGAAGTTTTAACAACAAACAAAGTGGGCTTGAAGAGTATCTGTAATTTTGCGGCTCACAAAATTCATTTAGAGCTTTGAGCCTGGCATTCGATATGTAATTAGACTCAACAGATTTTTTGGAAAGAAGAATGTCCACCAATATGGCGCATTGCCTTAAAAAGGGCAAAACACATCTTTCCAATGCGAGAAAGAAATTTCCGAAATAGGAGGAGCTTTTTGAGGAGAAATCAATATTAAGAGAACCGAGAAAGTTATCACAATATGAGGCTGCAGAGTCAATTAATTCGGTATGCAATGCACAGTCTGATACGAGTTGAGCACGCAGCAAGAAAGTATCAAATTCAGCACAAAGCGTGATGGAGGTCTGTGCGATCAACTTTGCGAATCCGTAGCGAATAATGGTTTGCAAAGATTCGTTTGATGAAAATAGTAATGACACAACTTCCTTGAAGATACCATTGTCATGATCTTTTGCAACGGTGTCACGTGATTTATCACGTTTATATATCTCTCTGACGAATGACTTCTGTGTTTCGAACAAAACAACACGCGATTGAATCAACGACCGTATTAAACTTTCTAATGAAGCTGGAGTCTCTTTCATGAATAATTGTTGCACATCATCCTCATCAACTCTCATCGAGATTTCATTGGCTTTGATAGTGTTCGCAATGAGAGTTTCAATTCTTTCTAGTGCGTCAATATTTTTATCCTCGAATGTTAATGAGGTTTTCTGGTCTGAAATTTTGAAGGCTGAACAAAGAACTGTAGTAAGCTCACCACGAAAGCTGCCATCGTTTTCAAAATAACCACTCAGAACAACTGAATGCAAAATTTGTCTATTGCGGTGTTCGTTGAAGCTTCGGACAAGTGTTTCAGAATCTGAAACAAGAGGTTTCCCAGTTAAGATGGAAGGATCAAAAAAGTCAGGATAATGAAGATAACTGGGAATAACATCATCGTAAAAATTATGACACAACGAGCAAGGAATAAGAAATGTGTCCAGTATGCGAGTCCTATTTTGGCAGTCAATATGTATGCCGTGGCCGCACGAAGAACTTACATCAGAAGTGCTTCTGAGATTTTTTGGAAATCCTTTCGAGTAAACACCATTTTCCTCCAATGACAAAGTCTTGGAATAGTCAGAAAATGCGAGGTCGACGAGCTCTGGGTCTTGCAGCGAGACCCCCCAGAATATTGATGCTGCGCTTGTCACACTTGGAATCCCGAAAGGCTTTTCAATACTTTCAGCTTCTCCACAATATACACAATTTCGAAGAATGGGTACCTGAGAGCCCATGTGTACTTGTGTTTCCTCGTCTTTGAACATATCATTTCCTTTCAAGAATTTTTCTCTTTGCTTTGCAAATTTCTTCATGATTTTTGCTTTGCGATTTTGAGCAAGCTTCGTGGATTTCTGTCTCTTCGTATCCGATAAGTTTTCCTCCCGGAGTCGGTATGAATCAATGTGCGCTTCCCCAAAGCAGTCAACTAGTGATTCCATTACGTTCCCATTCCTGCAAACAAATTGTTTGAGTAAAAAGTCAGCTTTTTGAGTCACTGGTTTAGACATTGTTGACTCAGCAATTGTTAGTAAGAGGTTGCAAATAGGAATAGCCACAAGGTTTTTTTCAAGATGATCAGCACCAAAGATTTGTTCACAGTCCAAAATTATCGCATGAAGCAAATGAAGAAGATGAGGTAGATACTCTTCATCGCCAGTACTTATTGCGAGCTGGAGTAATTTGTACATTAATTTGGCAAAAGTTTTAGTCCTGAAAATTGCCCCAATTTTGATATTGACAAAATTGCTAGAGCTGGAAGAAATTTGAGGCACAAGAATTGTCTCTTTGCTCTCACAATTGTTGTGCTTTGAAGCATTAGCAAACAATGCTTCAAAGATAGACTGCGAATTTTCTCCATCAACTTGTCCCATCGGATCCAATGTTTGGTAGAGCGAAGATCTCAAGCGATAAAGCCCAACGTCATATAAGCCCACAGGGGGCTGATAATCAGCACATTCTCTCAAAATGCGATCAAAATTTTCACTCTTTGAGATATAAAGAGGCAACAGCTTCTTCAATTTAGAATATGATTGAGGCTCTTCGCAAAGCGCATAGCATATTGACTTTGAAATGAAATCATCTTTTGGTACATCTGTCACCAGTCTGTCAAGGTTCAGACGATCAACAAGTAACTTGTACAAAAACAGAGTAAGCTTCTCACATATGAAGCTGAATTTTTGCTCATATACAGTTTGGTCAAACTCAACCTTTCCAAGAAACCACTCGGCTAATTCCCATCTATCGATGAAATGCATCATGGTTTCTTCAGGTTGGTCCACTATGGCTGCAATTTGATTTAGATGCACATCACGCGAGTAATTCACATCTGCCAGAGAATCCAATAAATAGCAGACCTGTCTCGCCACACTTATTCCATTTCTTATCCAAAGGCCAATTTTCACTTGACTGACAAGAACAATATTTCGAAGTGAGAAGTCAGAAATCGAATTGAAATCATTCTTTGAGTCACACAAAAATTCTTGAATAGCATCAACACCAGTTTCTTGTAACACAAAGGATATAAATGAATTGAGGGGATTGAAGGGGGATACTGGGTCCCTACTGACTCTAAACGAAGAAGTACCCGAAAGAGACGTCCGAGATTCCAAATATCTGAATATTGGTACAGTGGCTTTCTTCGCTGAGACTAAGTTCAAGTCAACCACTCTTGTCGCGTGATATACTATACTTGAAACAGGGACAGCTTTCAGAATGAAAGAGTAAAATTCAGTGATTGACTCTCTTTCCACATGATCACCATATTTCCGCACCACAGGGGAGAGACCTTGAAAAAGCCTGAGGAAAGTCAAGAACAATGGTAATGTTTCGCGAGCTAGAAAGTAATTCAATTGGTTGACTTCATCATTTTTTGTGACGACTCGGGTGACGTTTTCAATGCAAGTTTTTATGGTGTTATGAATAGCTGACTTTTCTCTCTTACTTCTTATGTCGAAAACAATATCAACTAGATTCGGAAATCCATCCGTGTTTTTCAGTGACGACTCGTCTTCAATCAACTGACACAATGGATATAGAAGCTTCAGAAGATTCCCAGACTTAAAAATCCATTTATTTGTTCGAGGACAGGTGAAGAGTTGAACAGAAATCTCACTAGCAGAAGCGAGTTCCTCTTCCCGATCCGAGAAAGCCAAGATGGACATTAACATCGGATATGCGTTAACGTATTGGTCGCAAAAAGATTCTTTGATCGATGGGTCAATGAAAAGAACAGGAATGATGGAGTTTGTAAATCTTTTTCTTATGACAGACACAAAACGGACTTCAAATGCTAGAAGATACAAAATTCTTGACTTCACTATCCCAGAGCCATCGTTTGGAATTATGATTCTTTTTACCGAGTCTGATAGTGATTCAAGCTTTGCTTCACAATCAATGGACACATTAAATGGGTTTAAAAAATCACCCTCAAGAGGAATCCCGTTCATTGAACAAGGTCCTTCGAGATCAGAAGAAACACTCTTTAAGAATTCAAATGTCATTGGCTTTGAGAACTCAAACCCGGGTTCTAGAAGAACCTGGGCCAAAATGTGCTTTGAAGCTTCTCTGAAGCCGGTGTTTCCTTCGAAAGAAATGATCTCTTCAAGCCAATTAAAAATCTGAAAGATGATGGACTCTCTAATAAAATCTCTAGCGCTTGAAATTGTCGCGACTAGACCGTCAGCTTGAGCCAAATTCTGGCTTTCGAGAAGATCGGTATAATCTTTAGATTCTCTCAAAATAGCTCTTCCTTTTCGATTGATTTCATTAGCTGTATATTTTGCTTTTCGATCATCCATTCCAGTTGCCGCTCTAATTCCCGTCTCCGCCTCAGGATAGTCATGATTTTCGTCGTTCCACAAAATCAAATACCATTTGTCTTCTGAGTTCACGTCATCCACTCCGTACATGTCTTTAGAAAGCGAGCCAGCGTTAGATATATCTTTCGTAGTAAGTTCCAATTCACCCTGCCCATTTATGTTCTGATGAATGAAGGGCAATGTATTGATGGAATAATTTGTGACGTCCAATACGTAATCAAGTACAGTCTCGATTGTTGCCCGCAATGCTGATTTGAATTGTGGCGAGATCTGAGGAGCCTCGTCAGACGACAGACATGCACAGTCAAGTGGTCTTACGAAAGCAGTATCATCTCCACAGTCGCACATTCCTCCATTGGCTTGAGACAAGTACACAGAAACATTGTGTCCCTCGTGGAATTCTCTTTTGAAGCAGAACGAGCACATTACACACGTATCATCATACCCACAATCAGCGCATCTGTAAACTTTTTCATTGGATTGTAGAGTTCGTCCACAAACTTGATTTGATGGATGAGTGTAATTCTCTGATACGACATATTCGTAAAATGGCTTTTCATCGTTGTCACTTATCCGCCAAGGGTCAAAATTAAATTGAAGGTCAATGGCCTTGAAGAGCAGATCCAAATGTTTGCCTTCCTCTGTAGCTGCAAAATAAAGTGCTTGAAACACGGCTCGTTTAAGAGTTCTGTCATCCCTATAGCCATTAAGACTTGGGAGCTCTACGAGAAATTTTTTAAGATCTTGCATTTGAACGAAACAGGTTAAGAAGCTGGAATGGGTGAACCAATAAGGCAGTGAGGCACTGAGCGAACCTGCTTCACGTGATAACGTGCAGTTCAATGAAGAGTCTACGAACCCCTACTTCCAGTGCGATAATGCATGAAATTATCTCAAAAACAAATATATCCTTGGACTTTCGGACGATTATTACAATCATGAATTAATAATCTATTTCATTGGGATTAAGCACTGATCATCTTTTGTGTAGTAATTCAAATTTCTCTCTGCAAGTTTCGCAGTTGAATGCCCTCACGCGGGAAAACTTTTTTACCGTCTTCTTTTTTTGCGCTACATGTTCTAACTGCCTCAAATAATAAGCATATAATACACCTAAATTTTAGACATAATTGCCCAATACATGGCTGGATCAAGCTTCATATAAAACAGAATGTTCAATATTAATTGCATATTTATTGAACGGAATGAAAGCCTGCGCGCGGGTATTGTACTACCTTCTGGATAGACAGCCTTTGCTTGTTATATTTTGAGTATAATGAACTGTGTGACAATTATTTTGGCAATATAGAATTATTTGAAACGGAGGAAGTGTACAATAGAGAATCTGCGTACGTGTTGAGCCATACATAATTTAATGAGTCATGTGGAAATAACTGAAGATGTACGGGTGTAGTTCCGAAAAGTTTAGGCTGAGAAGATTCCGAAAATTTTTGTAATATAAAACCCAACACTAGCGTTTCCCATCGTAGTACACCTTGGCGCAAAATGAATGTGGACGAAAAATTTGACCTTATCACAAAAGGTCTTCAAGAAGTTTTGAATCCACAGATTTTGAAGGATGTGTTACTGAAAAACGAAAGACCAGTCAGAATCTACTGGGGAACTGCTCCCACAGGTAAACCTCATTGTGGGTATTTTGTCCCTATGATTAAGTTGGCGCACTTTTTGAAAGCGGGCTGTGAAGTGAAGGTATTAATTGCAGACTTGCATGCTTACTTAGACAGTATGAAAGCACCTTTGGAAGTCGTTCAATATCGCGCCAAGTATTATGAACACGTTGTCAAGACAATTTTGAAGTCGATCAATGTGCCAGTCGAAAAATTGAAATTCATTGTTGGCTCTGAATATCAGCTCACCCCGGAATACACAATGGATCTTTTCAAGTTATCCAGCAAGGTTTCTCAGAATGATGCCAAAAGAGCAGGGGCGGATGTTGTCAAACAGAATGACAATCCTTTACTTTCAGGCTTGATTTACCCTTTGATGCAGGCTCTCGATGAACAATATTTGGATGTGGATGTGCAATTCGGCGGTGTTGACCAAAGAAAAATCTTTGTTCTTGCCGAAGAGAACTTGCCTGGCATTGGCTATAAAAAGAGAGCACACTTAATGAATCCTATGGTACCGGGCTTGGGCCAGGGAGCAAAAATGAGTGCATCTGATCCAAATTCTAAGATTGGAGTAACCGATGCTCCGAACGTTGTGAAGAAGAAGATCGCATCGGCTTTTTGCGCTCCAGGAAACATTGAAGAAAACGGACTTCTTTCATTTCTTGAAAATATTGTTCAGCCAATCCAGGAATTGAAATCTGGAAAAGAAGGCATTTTTAACTTTTTTATCGACAGGCCTGAGAAGTACGGAGGACCTATCGAATATTCTTCCTTCAAGCATTTGAAATCTGATTTTGCCGCTGAAAAGTTATCGCCCGTGGACTTGAAATCCGGTGTGACTGACAAAATCAACGAGCTTTTGGCTCCTATAATCGAAGCATTCGAGAATGACAAAGACTTCCAGGATGCTGATAAACAAGGATATCCTGTTGAAGCCCCCAAAGAAAAGAAGTCCAAAAAAGTTAAAAATAAGGGAACATTTTATCCAGGAAACAAGGCTGCGCCTTCTAATGTCGAAGATGCTACCAAAAAGCTAGAAGCTACCAGTTTGTAACTTTCTATATCTAATTACATGCGTACACGTACACCGCCAGATCGTCTGTTCGAAATCATTCGCGGAGAATACTTTTTTCTTTCTAATGTCGCCGCGACTCTTACATGCAATCCTTCTTCATGAGAATGTATCCAATCAAAAAGTTGTATTATACAAGACGTCCTCACCAATACCAGGTACTCTTTTTCCTGAACCGTTGAATCATCAAAATGGTATGTGATTCTGCCATCTTTCTAGTCTAATCAGGATGAATCTTGTTCAATATCAATTCTGAATCCGAATGGCTTGAGAACTCCTTGTATTTTTGAGGGATTATCTTGTACTGCAAGATTCGACCCGACTATTTCTAAAGAAAAACGTCTTGTTCATTTATGAATGAGCGTGGAGTTCATCGTCAAGTCATACTCGAACCTATTCTGCTGTGCCCTTGAATCCGGTGGCTTGATTGAAATTGTTTTGAAATTCGAATCAAGGTATTGGAAATGAAGGGAATTTGTCGTGATTCACCTGAGGACAATTCACAGGATGTTTTATTCTTTACTAACGGAAAAAGTTGTCCGCATTGATCAAAAGAAATTCAGTTTATGTCAGCACGATTTTTGCTGGTGCTTTTGCCTTCCAAGCTTTTCTTGATGTTGGTGTCACCAAATGGTATGAAAACCACAACAGAGGCAAATTGTGGAAAGATGTAAAGGGCAAATTCCTCGAAGGTGGTGAAGAAGATGATGATGACGAGGAGTAAATTTGGTACTCAGGTATTAGGATTACATATATAGTGGCATAGGCTTAATTTGAAAATCTTCAAAGATACTCATCATCTTCTAATGTGTAACCTTCTTCGCTGTTCTCCTTGGTACTACCTGTGTTGTACTGTAATTTGTCAACTAGTGACTCAAATTCTTGACTGTAGCGATGAGCGTTGAGTTCCGTGAGTCCATAAGCTTTGATATTGTAGACCCCTGTGTGTCCACGGCTGGATTCAAGTTTCACGAATATGTCTCTAACAGAAACTTTCATTTGTATTAAGCTCAGAGGAAATTTGACATGTTCGACCAGCAGCTCATCGTCCATCTTGATGTCAACAACTTTATAGTATTTTGCCAAGTACTTGTTAACATTTGATTCACCGCTGTAACCAACAAGTTTCTCTAGTTGTGACGCTTGAGCCTTGCTTCTTGGTTTAATATATATGGAGATTGACGTGGGTAACTCCAAATCTTTCGGCCTGCCCATTGAAGGATTTGTCAAAATGAAATCAGTAAGTATGATAGGACTTGGTAAACGTATGCCAATGGAGCACCATTTAGCTTCGCACTGCCAATAATCACCACCGTCAATTAAAACATTGTTGGCGTTGTGTTTTGCATTCTTTGGCGAACGTAGCCCATGAGAACTGAAATAGTCGTACCACCCAAGAAAAGCGGTTCTAGCAAATGATTTATGGCGACTTGAGTCTTTGCCTGTAGTTGTAAGGAATCCAAGAATTCTAGATCCGAGATTATAGTCAGCATAGTTAACTTTGATGGAGCCCTTTCCAACAATATCTAACAAATTTTCAAGTACAATTCTGTTTCCGGCGTCGGCAACATCCACTTTCGAGATATTTAGACCCAAATCAATCCTCCGGGACACATCAGTGTATAGCGAAGTGAGCTTATCATCGAGCATGTTCAATCTCAGATTGAGCATTTTTTCAATTTCAGATTTTGCAATAAGCTCAATATGTGACTTTTTGACCAAAGTCTGTAAGTAGTTCTCAAAGTCCTGCCCATGCCCTTCCACGAAAGATTTCCAATCCTGTGATGAATTGGTGCTATACTTCTCAACAAAGGCATGCAAAAAATTGTGAAATTCTGGAATGTAGTGTATCTTGTGGTTCTTGATGTACACTGGGACATGCTCTGGCAATTTCAGTAAAAGATCGTGGGTAATTGCAGTTTTAACTTCTTGGAGGCTGTTGCTGGTGTTCGTAAGTGTAGCTAGGTTTTCGGAAATTGCCGAGAGTCGCTCTTTCAAATCTATTGGTGATTCTTCAAGTACCTGAAGACCATTAAGTGTACTTCTAAACTCCACGATTTCAGTCAAAAGGGCTTGGTATTGTTTCTGTCCTACTGATACGCTTTTCTCGCATTCGAATAGTGAATTCTCGATTTGGTCCAAATCATTCTTCAAGGCTGTGATGAAATTTGTCTGTTTGACTTCGATGAGATCAACTTGACTATCTAGCGCAGTAGTCAAATTATGCAACACTTGAACATTATCTTCCACTTTCAGCAAACGAGAAGTTACACTCGATAAATCTGAAGGCGAGTTGACAATCGCAGTGTTCTTACCCCACAGAAGAACAAGGATGATGATGATACCTCCCAAAATAAAGCCAGCAAGTGTCGAGATCCATTTGGGTATTATAAGACTCCGAAAAGGTAAGTGACGCGAAGTAGGAATGTCATTTTCTCCCTTCAGCTTTTCGATTTCATGACCTACAATGGATTGAGATTCAAACACAGTTTCTTCGCTTTCAGAGTCAGACAGTTGATGTGAATTGTAGATGAAATCACTGAAAGTTTTGTTGAGTTCTTTCACATTTCTAGTCTTCGCATGTTTGTTTACCTTCGAATGCGAGTTGCTCAAGATACTCAATATCTGATGGTCATACTTTGATTTCAGTAAGGGCTTAGTTGGACCTACCTGGCTATAAAGGTGAATGGAAGCATCATCGTCGGTTTCGCCTCTAGTCAGCGGGAGATTGGGAAACCCTGTCATAATGGCTTGGGTGCCCAGCGAGAAGATGCGAATTGACAACGAGAATGCGCACGCTGCAGTAATCATGAAGTTCACATAAATAGATGTTTTAGATCGAACTAGCCGATGTGTATTAATATTCTAGAAGTGCTAAAGTATATTTTGCTGTAGCTTTATGAAGCTGAATTCAAAAAAAGATATTTAATGAATCAAAACCTCAAATATTAGAGTTCTACACATTTCCGAATAAAGAGGGTGCATTCAAAGGTTATAGAAATACGGATGTAAGGGAGCCAGCGAAACTCCCAACATAGACACCACTCAAAATAGTAATTGGCCATTGTTGCCATGGCCTGTCCCAATCTAAAGGTATTGGTATTACGCCAATCCAAGCTCCCAAAATTGCAACAAAAGAAGCAGAAAGAGTCTGATTGCGGAATATCCTGCGGAATACTTGTTCGTTCTTGAAGATCAAACCTAATTGGTTGAGATCTAGCCTAAACAGTATGAGAATAGGATGCACAACTATGACAGATGCATGGCAAGCCAATAGATATGTTTCTTTCAAAAAGCCATGCATTGGTGCCCCGAGCAAGATCAAAGCGACGAATGTGATATTCGCCAAGAGAACAGAAATAGCGATACATGAAAGCACAAGGACTATATTGCTACCTGCACTGCCTTTCGATGTAGCTTTATTTTTCGATTTGATTGAGGGTTTCTCGAAGTAAACAATCCAGAAACCATATAAAATTTGCATCCCAACAAGATTCACGAGACCTTTAGCCATCATCTGAGTCGGATTCTCAGTGAGTCCGGAAGAGAATAAGGAATGAAGTAAAAGTAAAAGATGAATTGGAACAGCAAAAATCGATACACTGCCTTCGAGGACTCCAGGTTCGGGAATTTGTCCATCGGTGGTGCCTGGAACCTGTGTCTGGAAAGACACAGTCTTTTTAATGGACCGGCGTCTCATGATCCTAAAATCGAGTGTCGAACGGCAAGAACCCAACCTTTACGATTGATTATCAAATGCAAGGTTCAAAAGTCAAGTCAGAAGCGTGGACAATAAGAGCTTGTTTAAAATGCATGTTCGGAACGATTGTTCACGGACGAAGAAGAGCGCCGCTCTTCACTACACACTCCACATGCACTTTGTTCAAGTTTGAAACTATACATTAATTTATTAGATGCCCAAGATTTATAAATTGTTTAAAGCATTTTCAAACTCAATCAAGTCCGTCCAAATTTCTGCAGATACATTCTTGACGGAGATCTTTTGTCCCAAACTACGCATCCGATCCCGGTTCAATTTAGCGTAACGTCTCAAAATCTCGCAGTCAAGTATTGGCCGTAAGGTATGATCTGGGTCGGCTTCAAACGCCCCTTGACGATTCAGTCTTGGATTCAATCCACAATGATGATATTCCTTCTCCGTTATTTGTTGTTGAAGGATGAACATTCTTCTGTAAGTGACATCGTTCACAGGAAATACGACGAACATGGCACCCTCGGCAGTTGAGGCAATTGTTTGAAAGGATATCCTGTTTGGTTCGACCCATTCGGTGATTTGCTCATGTTTCGGTAAAGATTTCATACAAGTTGTAGAAAAATTCGTGTTAAAAGTAGACTTGCGTAGCAATCTCTGTCCATTAGCACTTGCAGGATCTTCCGGATTATATTGTAGAACATGGAGCATTTTATCGTTATCTGCAACCAAGATGAAGATCTCCTCATCCTTGTATATGAAATCGGCGCAACTTATATCATTAACATGCAAGTCCTTTCCTAACAAGATCATACGGAAAGGTTCAGCATCAAATCCTGCGAGCGTTACGCTTTTTAGAGTATCTCCAAAAAGTACCATGTTTCCAAAACTCTTTGCTTCTGAAACGAAGACAGATAAATCCATGAATGCCACGGACACAGCGGTCGTATCTTTAATGTCACGAACGATGATCTTTTGCCCCTGAGCTATCAAAAACCTACCGCTTACATCACAAATTGCAGTGACGGCTCCTCTTGTGTCCTCTTGTGTAATTTCTTTAAATTTGTGATTTGTTTCTGGCTTCCCTGGTTCGGGAATAATATCAATGATTTCAAGTAGGCGGAATGAACCGTTAGAGGCCAAATCTTCCATCCTGTATTTTCCAGTCCCAATTAAAATCAATTCCTTCTTGCGTTTGAACCTTTTGCTCTCACTGCCAATATCAAGAGCCATAGATTTGACATGTAGTCCTACCTCGTTATCCTCTAATGGAAATGAGTCAATTGAAGTCCACGAGATTGGTGATAATAAATGTATATGTCCCTTGTATGAATATGCCAGCGGCTTTTCTGGATTTGTACCTATGATTGGATTTCCATCCTCATCTAAGCAATTGTATGCAATGTCTTTGAATGTGGAAACGACAAATGTATGAGAACTTTCATGGTATGCCACGGATTTTATAGTTTCACCAATGTGAATTCTTCGAATAGGCCAGTTATTTTCATAATTAAACTCGGTCGGAAGTTCAACGATACGGGCATTTTTCTTCGTGTCAAGATAGATCAATCCATTTTTGATCTTATCATCAGAGTATGGAACAAACGAGATTATCGGAATCTTGGAGAATTTATGAATTCTTACAAGACTGTGACTTGAGCGAGTGATAAAGTATGGAACCACTCCTGTCACCATAACACAGGTAAGGCCGCTCACATTCGAGAAATATATCATTCTTCTCTCGAGAGAAGTACCGAACGGATAAGCATTTTGAGGTGCACCAGTAATGGGTAGACTGATTTCCTTCACGAAATTGTAATTCTCGCCATCGAAGTACATCTTGTAAGTATAAATCTCGCCACCAACAGTTAGAATCGTTAGGTATTCATCTTTGGAAAAGTCATCACCGAGATCATTAAGGATAACCTGTTTAATGAACGGATCTGGCTCACTACCGTTGATATCAAAGAAGCCTAGTGATAAACAGTTAGTGAATTTATCAACTGAGTTGAGTTGAAAGCATTTCTCATTGTGAAATCTTCCAAAAACAACAACTCTGTTATCACCCGTTACAAGAACAAATGTTTTGATCTTCAGCGCAGCAGTGGGGTTTAGCTGGGAACCCGAGAAAGGCTCCACATTACGCTTTCTTTTTTGACCGCGGTTTATGAGCACACCAACATCTTTCAGGACTACGTTTAAAAGTCTGGAATTCGTAATGTAACCTGTGGTAATGATGGTTTCCGACAATAATTTGGGAAGCTCGATCTTCGTGAAAACCTTATTGTAGGTGTTGATGCTGTAGATGATTACTTCACCAGTAGAAAAGAAGATCATGAGAAATTCATCGCTGAAAACGCTGTTGATGATATTAGCATCGCCAAACTCTTTTAATTGCTCATCCAAACTGACAATTTTTTTCAATTTGTCGTCAAATAATAAAATTTGCTTAGGGGTCACTTGAAGTATAAATTTTCCATCATTAAGCTCGTGCATTGCGATAGTCAACTCTGTATTGATGAAGTGTTTTGATGGAATCCGTGCATATGACTGATTAATGTCAAATATTTCCGACTTTTGGTTGGAGTCATCCGACGTAATAAGGTACTTGTTACTGATAATCCAAAGCCTGTGGATCTGGGAAAAACGAAGAGACGATTTGATGATAGGCTGTACGGTGGGGGTCATCAAATTGAGATGAGCTGATTTTCCTACCCCCCCTGCAGCAACGATAGAAACTTCATTGTATGAAGGGTTTGGAAGATTTGCAACAAACTTGTCAGAGGAGTACTTACCCATTGTGAATGAGGATATCGGTCCGTTGTTTCGCATGACATCATGTTTGACAAATTTGATTGTCCGTTTGCGATCACCGATGTGATCAATCTTATCATCATCGCCGTAAAGATTATCGTCATCATCGTCTGGTCCACAGTCTAGTTCACTCTTTTGTTCTTCCATATCGACATTATTATGGTTTTCAGTGCTTTCAGAGTATACGATCTCAACAAGTGCTGAATCAGAACTTTTTCCCGCAAAAAAGAGCAAATTTGTATCAAGGCTGATAACAGGGCCCGGATTTTCCATTTCTATATTTTCAAAAAGAGAAGAATCCAAGGTTTCTATAGTGAGGCCTTTTATGGTTTTTCCATCAACCTCGAAATTGATCGTGTGCATTTCTCCGGTTTTCAAAACCATCAAAACTCTACAATCATTGGGAATCATGGATATAGAGCAGTCTTCTAGCCGTAACTCTCTCAGTGTTTCATCCACGAAGTCTTTCATGGAGTGCGTTATGTCAGACACATACAGATTTAGCGCCACTCGACGCAGAATTCCACCACTGTCAATGTGCATAATTTCATTGCATCCCACTAACAAAGATCCATTGAGTGGGGACATAAGTGGCACAATCCGATGTACATCGAATGGTAGATTCTCAATTTTGAATACCGTTGTGGCAGAAGCCGAAGCAATATCTAAAGACCAGACTGAATAAACAACATTGTCTTTCTTCTGGGGTAATAACCCTGCCCAAGTTTTAGTCACTTGCGAGAGAACTGCCACAGTCGGCTCTCTGTAATTGTGAAGAAATTGCAAATCAATAATTTCCCCGACTGTGGGATCCAACGATGCAGCATCAAGAATTATGCTTGTTTCAAAGAGGTCTAAATTAGATCCACCGGTGGAGTTCGGGTGCAGGTCTTCACTTAAAAGTGTACGATCTCCCAGATCTGGACTTTTGAGGCGAGCAGAATTGTCATCCAGGGGCCCAGACGAATGACCTTCCGGTATCACATCATTAGGAGGACTAGGTTCTTTACCTATTGCCCCCATGTTCGTCTCCAGGTTGTTAGATTCCTCTTCGTCAACATCGTCATCTTCGTCGTCGATCGAAGTGAAAGGAAGAAAGACGAGTAGATTATTCCGGCGCAAGCAGAACATTGGTCTCGCGGAGGAACCCACAAGTAGTTCTGTCTCGTAAAGCTTCTCGTACATAGAATTTTGCAAAGTATGCTCGTAAAAGTGCAAGGATACAGTTGCGATCGAGTGTTTGAACATATCCCACCTGATACAAGACACCTTAGCACTTTTTGTGGACACGAGTACATAATCCAATTGAGGGCTTTCCACCGTTCTGATTGGCTTCAACTTGGTTATAAGTCCCTGGAGTTTGAAGGAATCGAGAAGTTTAAGTCTGTAGTCAATGCCCTTTCCTGGAGAGGGCCGTTTAATTTTTAACACCTCGTAAATTTCGAGAGTCGTGGCTTTTCCAACTAGCAAATGTCTTTCATTGGAACTAACAAAGTTACATGCTAGACAGTCAGAGATCACAGTAGGATCTATGATGACGTCGTAGACATTCATCGCTTGGAATTGGTGAAGTGAAAACCTAGCTTGTTTCTACAATGAACGTTTTCATAAAGACCTGTGCACCTTCATTATGAGGCATCAAAATTGAGAACAGGTCTGTCGTTATATGCCAAACCCTTTAAAACCAGACTTGTCCGGTTGAAAGAATTTACTCACGATTAATTATGTTTACTCGCAAGTCCCATGATTCGAGGTAGCACATGAACACTCATTTGTGCTGCTCGCATCGCAAGTAATGAACTGGTAGTTCGAACAGTATTTAACAAATTACTTTTGTTGCGTTTACGTTGTATTTCAATAATCGTATTCTTCGTGGTGCATAATTAAATAAACAAAAGTTCGCTTCTCTGGCGTCAATCTATTTCGAAATCTTGATTGGCATACTAAAGAAGGAAATAAATGAAAGGCAACACAATCGCTGCTGGGAAAGCGCGCGCGGCAGCACCTTCGAAGGAGCTAATGATTGCTGTGGATTGAGTCTTGATACTCGAGCCTGGGGTTGAGACAGCTGAAACCGTCTTAGTTTGCGTAAGAATATTGTTAGTGATAACGTTAACTGTCGACTCTGCAGGTGCATTCACTGTGAAGGTTTTGATAGACGATGTTGCCGCGATGTTATCAGTAGCTGAAACAATAGAAACCGAGTTGGGGCCATTTGTTGTATCAATGCTGCTTGCAATCTCCGAGGATACTGTCTCAATCATGGTAGACAACGGACAGTAGGTGGTATATGTGGTCTTGGTTCCATGAACGATTGTTGTGAAGTAAGACACGCCAGTTGTAACAGGGCTCACAGAGCATTCATTCTCATTGCAATATGTCGTGGTCACGACCGTGGTATGAACATCGCTAATTGTGGTTGCTGCAGAATGTTTGTCAAATGATCGAACTGTCGAAACAACGTGAGACGTAATATCGTGATCCATTGTATCGGTATTGGTGGACTTGCCCATCAAAGTAGTGTCTGTGACGGCTGTCGATGCTGAAAGGATAGGAGCTTCAGAAAGGGGGCAGAAAGTGGTGTAAACTGTTTCAACCCCGTTCATCGTGCTAGTTACCACCGTGACACCTGTAGTCATGGATGTTTCTTGACATTTATCCTCAGAGCATTCCGTAACAGTAACGACAGTAGTTTGCTGAGCAGTTTGGACTTTCTGAAGAGAATTGTCCAACATAGTCGAAGAGACTAAAGAGGCCTTCAACCCACTGGTAGTTGCAGAAGCAACATTTGGTTCCGGACTCGAAGAAACTTTCAAAGATTTTACATTCGAATTGGCATTATTTGGGTACAAGCTGGACTCCACGCTTGTAGCTGTCGTTTGAGTTTCTGAATCAATGTTTTCCTGACTGAACGCTGGTGAAAAAGTCTTGGGTGCCAAAGTTCCACTCTTCGCTTCTGCCGATGCTGAAATTTCAGTGGTAACAACAGCAACATTAGATGATGACATCGTGGACGTATCGTCATTGAAAGTAACAGTCACTGGCGATGCAGTTACATAAGTTGTCAAAATGCCATCCACCGTGGTCACAACTGTCGTTAATGTGTTGAGAATGGTCGTAACGGTACATCCATTGTCTGAACAAATGGTTTGACGCATAGTTAATGTTTTCGGATCGGTGACATACTCCGTCTCGTATATGTAAGAGTCTTGCTCCAGAATCGTATAGTTTCCGTAGTAAGCTCTTGAAGAGGGGCACGTCGATGAAATAATCGTTGATGTGAAAGTCGGTAAATCGGACAAAACGCTTGTATATGCTGAAGCTACCGCGAGCAGAGCTGCAAAAGCCGGAATTTTCATTGTTGGTTGAGGATGGCAAAAAGAAAATAAGTACGAGTGAGAAGGCTGGGTACTTGTGCCAGATGAGAATTACATTCCTATTTAAACAATTTCTTCACGGCTTGGTAGGACTCGATGATTAGACTTTTCTGACGTTTTGCAATGCTGGACATGTCTCAAAAAGTACCAAACCAAGAACGAGCTGCTGGTTCATGCACAATATACTACTATATACAGAAATTGAGAAGACTGTTGCTGGGCTCATACGCGTTTTCGGCCGATATACACTTCAGGGCGAAAAAAGACTGAATTTGGCAGCAGTGTCTTGCACATAAATCAGTTACCAATCGCCCTCACAAAGCAGGATTCGTAAATAGGTAGTTGCCAGGTATGATTGACTTTCGGGATTAACGAAAAAGATGTCCCTTCCTGCATTCATAGAGTAGCTGCTCATATATCTCGAACCAAATTATGTATCAATGAATATCACCATGTCATGTGTATATGGCTGGTTTGCTTTTGATTCGCCCAACAAGCCACGTGACTGGTATCTCTGAGACAGCTCACGAACGAGCAAAAGGTTGTTGCCACCTTCCCAAGAAGTTGTTCCAAAGACATCAACCTGCTTTTTGACAACGTGGCTTTTGCTTGTGGAAATCTTATTCATAGCATGGTGCTCGGTCTGCCTTGAAACCCATATCATCACATATTTTTCCAACGATTATGATTTTTACATGGGTTCTATTACAGTTCTTATTGTCGTCGTGTCTTCTGCATGTCATCGAAGTCTCGTCCATTGAAGAAATCGTCACTAAGCCAGTATCCTTGATTTACTTTTATGCACCCGACTGTCAATACTGTCAGCTCTTCGACGATGATTTTCAGTACCTATCGCATATTTACAGTGAAAATTCCAAGTTTCAGATCATCAAGATAAACGGGCGGGAGCAAAAATATTTCAAAGAGTTATTTGATGTCAAGCTGTATCCTACACTTAAGTTGTACGATCATTTAAACAAGCAGGTTATAACGTTCAAGGATGGAAGACTGATTGAAAATTTGCAAGACTTCATAAAGAAACACGCAGAAGTCGAGCCCGATTTAACCCGAGTGAAACAAGAGTTAAATGCTATCCTGCTGAAGGCTGATGTTGAACGGCTACAGAAGATCGGCAGATCTGTTCTCATTGCTTTTGTCAGGAGGCAGGATGAATACTGGGAAAAGTACCACTATCCAGATCATTTCTATCAATCTATTGGTAGAAATCATCCAAGCATTGAGTTTACAGTGAACTTTTTTGAAGACGGGGAATTCGAATTGATGGAGCTATATCATGTTAGCAATATACCTGCATTGGTCTTGATCGAAGGAAGCCACATTGGAGTGTACAACACTCTCTCGACCAATCCAATGTCGAATTATATGCTTGATGCCAATGATGTCGAAGCATTCTTAAGTGACTTTCATAGCAAAAAAGAAGGGACATGGTTTCAAGACGTTCATCTGTTGGCTCGTTATGCTGAAAGCTCCCAATATTTGGGACACAAGCAGCGCAAGACAGGCATGAACTATGTCGAAGGCGTTGTGAAGGGAAAGATGTCGGAATTAGGAATTGAGGAACAATATCGTATTTTGTTAGATAAGATCACATTGTGACCGGTTGTTATAGAAGTCTCTTACTTCACGAATTCAGGGAAGCTAGTGGATAGCTAGTGGACGTAGATACGAAAAGGGGGGGGGGGGGTCTTTTGCTGCAGTGCATCAAGAACGTCCGAACTCAAATGCTTGTGTCCACTTTTTTCCGTATGTAAGAGTTGGATGAGAAATGGGCCAAATACGGAAGAGGGTATTTATTTTTGTCAATTTTCAAGTTGAGTCATGAATTTTCTACCCTCTGATATTCGATTTCAAGAAGAGCTAAACCTTTTCTCTGTTACCCAAAGACATCTCCTCCAAAAACAGCTAGTTTGAATCTTAGTCTAAATTCTTCACGTCGTCAAAGGGCTTATGTGATGCGTTTGTCCGACTTTCTTGTTCGTTCTTTGCACCTCAAGATTTTTCTGTCCTGATTGATGTAAGAAAGGGGAACGGAAAAACATTAAAACTACGTTCCCAGATCAAAATTTAAAAATATAGCATTTTTTTCTATATAAAAATCTAAATTATGTTTCCGAAGAAGTTCAATGGTACTTTTTTCAGTATTGAGGCTTCGAAAGAGCACATTGCTACATTTGTCAAAGCTCGATGATTGTCTTGATGGTCTTGGTCTGAAGCATTATCTGCAAATTTTCACAAAAGAGGTATTTTTTTAATGACAATTATAAAAACCTTGAAGTTAAGCGGCACCACTGACTGGATAGCGAATTTTGGCACTTATCATTAGTCAGAATGTGAGACACACCTTCAGACCTATTGCCGCAAATTTCTGCTTTGCTTGTTCCGGTGCACGAGTGTGCGCGCGCTACCTTGAATGCTCTTGACACCTCATGTCATGAACACGTACACATAGAAGAACAAATCTCTGTGAAAACCCCTCGCTTCTTTTATCTTCATCAAGAACCAAAAGCAGATTTAAAGATTCATATTTGATAATTGTACTGGATCACAGAATAACAGATTTGAAAATGAATATCTTTCGGTTTCTAGGTGATGTTTCTCACATGTTGAGTATCGGAATTTTGTTATATTCGATTGAAGTGAACAGATCGGTTGATGGTCTATCCTTGAAAACTCAGGCCCTCTATGTTGCTGTGTTTGTGATTCGATATGTTGATTTGCTCTACAAATTTGTCTCTCTTTACAATTCGTTTATGAAATTGTTTTTTATCGCAACATCTGTCTACACTGTGTATTTGATGACGCACAAGTACCCCAAAAAAATCAGAGAAGATACTGATACTTTCCCCGTGAAATACCTAGGTTTGGCTGCCGGGGCTCTTTGCTTGATATTTACTCACGCTTACACGTTGAGGGAAATCACCTGGTCATTTTCGATTTGGTTGGAGGCTTTGGCCATACTTCCTCAATTATTCATGTTGCAGAAAACAGGATCTGCTGAAAATATCACTACCCACTATATATTTGCTTTGGGGGTATATCGGTTTCTTTATATTCCAAACTGGCTCTACAGGTATTTTGCGGAAGGAAAGTTCGATTATGTTGCCGTCCTTGCTGGAATTTCGCAAACCCTCATTTATTCCGATTTCTTTTACATTTACTATACGAAGGTGATGCAAGGCAAAACATTTGAGCTCCCGGTATGATGTATACATGGTTGATACATGTAATAGTATGAGTAAGACTCTGGCTTTTAGCAATACAAAATCTGATTGAAGTTTTTAAAAGGCTCGAGATAATTTCATCGATTAATAGTCATATCAGCTATATAATGAACACTTTCACATATTACATATGTTTGCTATCTTGTGTTCACGTTTAGTCTCTCTTTAATGGATAATAGACTTTTCTGATTCCTTCTTTTGTGACAATAAAAATTTCCAAGCCGTCACCTACCTGAATGTGCCTCTCTGTTGCAGATGAAAATGCATCTCTTACCAAATCCAAAACTTCTTCCAAGCTCAAGTACCGTAATGGTCTTTTTTCTTTACCGTCCGATCCTGGCTCATGTTGATTTTTGAAGTTCACTTGGTTATCAAGGAAAGGCATTATTAATGATGCAGCCGCGCCACCAGCTCTGCATTGCTCTCTTTCGTAGGAACCAACAGGGTCGTAAGAGTATACCGCTCCTTTGCCGTCCTCATCCAAACCAGCAATAAGAGTACTGACATAGAAAGGGAAAAACCGTTTGCCGTATAACAAGTGTTGAATATATCTTGCAGCTGACCGAATAGTCAACTTCTTGTTATTGTTGTTGAACTTGTACCATTTGAAGGCAGTCTTGAACCGGTCAATCAAGGCAGCGCCATCCGCAGAGAAACCATTGGCGGTCATCGCGATATTGTCACCAACATCGAAGATCTTTGGCTCATAACGAGAATTGATGTTATAACCAGACACAATACGAGTGTCGCCAGCCAACACAGCAAAATCCTCGCCGGCAATTCCGAGCACTGTTCCACCGTTGTCGGTGTAAGGGTTAAATCTGTGCTCAATAGGAACAGCCGTTCTTTCGGTGCTATATTCTGATGCCACTGTACTCATGGCTATTTATTATAGTGAATGAATGCACAACAAATACGTGAAGCTGTCTTTTTTGTTTGGTTAATTGTAGTTTTCCGTAGAGTCAACTGTTTGATGGCCACTACACTATCCAAAAGTACTCGCCACTTGCGAGCGCGGTATCCGCCTTGGGTAGTGTACGTGAGAAACGTACTTCAGTCTTAGATTCAACATAAAACACGAAACACACTCAGTTAGTAACCACTTGAACATATACGTATCATGTGTATCATAGTCTTAGCATAACATTATGGGCATTCTTCCTTCGTACTTGCTACATCATATTCAAATATATATCGTAGAATTGGGGCTATTTACAGTATTAGTTCGCTTTCTCGTTTTGAATACGAGAAATGTACGTTTTCGAGATTACGTTCCATGATCTCATATACTTTTCCAAACATTGACTGACACATGTGTTCTGTTGTGGGGAAATCAGATCTTGAGGCTGATCGATGCATTTATCGAAACAATTTTGGGTGATTTTGTTGACTAACTCAGTAGCGTTTGCAACAGCGAGCTCCTGAGCAATTTGCTCTTGAAGCTGTGTTTTGATTTGGTTGGACAGTTGTGTTACAGCTGGTGCAGCCGAGGTAGTACTTGATCCAAAGAGAGCCATTGTGTTGAAGATGAAAAGCTATTCTCGCAGACGAATAAGAATGACGCTGATGGTTAGAACACGACTACCACTGCACGCGCAGCCTACATTTTGAATGCGAAAAATTGTGCGAGCTGCAACAGATCGATTGGTGGACATACTATTTTCCCTCTAATTTGGCTGTCTTTGCCGAAATTTCACTGTGACAGGCTCCAAACTGATGTTGAGTTATGAACTTTACCTTGGGAATTCATACCGCTTTGAATTACCAAAAATGGCTGATCTTTATTCAACATACTGCACTGCCAGCCAAACTTGTATAAACTACACACACTTAACCAAAGTTCATGTCAATTGCTGTGTATACTGTTATTATTTATGCATGCAGAAAATTTTAATAAAATGGTTGTTTGCATGAGACATCCGTCTAAATCGGATAAGCACCGCTTCCTACTTGCGCAGATTACTGCAAAAATCGTTCTCTGTGTTATCTAAAAGCGAAATATGTGACATATTCCCAGAAGTATCCGTAATGATATGTTGTAACAAAAAATTCCAACATTACTCCATTCATCTAAGTTCGTCCATTATTTTGCGAACACAACAGAAGGACAGAAGTTGCAATATCGACAACTTTCGCTCATAGAAACACATACAAGTTATTTATCAGTTTTGTGCAAAGTTACGTAGCCTCATTCTGGTGCAGAATCTAAATGACTTAGGCTTTGAGTCGTTGACCTTTTCTCTTTTATAGGTTTTTACTTGAATAAGCAAAAAAAAAAAAAACGAAAACAACTATGGTTTTGATGCTGGAAACGAGTCCTTACTATCTCAAAACACTACGCTCGCAGGTGAACAACACAAGAAAATTATGTTTGAACCACCAAGTGAACGATAAGTAAAATGGTATACATTAATTATCCAAAATACGTACTGTAGCACAATTTGAATTAACCCTTCTCTCATCACATGGACTAGAATATAATTCTTTCTCAGTATCTTGGGTGTATTTGGTTACGCAAACGTGGAGCGTGTTCAGCGCAGCAACCTTGAAGACCGCCGCGATTTCCAATTAGAATGCGCGTTCTATCACGTGACAAAAACAGACGATAAGTGAGATCTCAATTCGCCTATCTGACCTGCCTATCTTTGCAACCCCCTCTAAAACATCCACTACGGAGGGCTTTTCCACACTATCAAATATCAAGGTATTTCCTGTCAATTATTGCCCGATTTTTATTACCTCGTTATCTATTACAAGGCTTTATCACATTGACATTTCTCAAGCTCCTTCTAACGCCGAAATTCCTTGAGCTCGGAACACATGATTCAAGCTGATCTGGAGAGTTCGAGCATCGAGGATGAAAATGTCCACCTTTTTCTTTTCGTTCATGGTCTCTGGGGAAATCCGAATCATATGCTGACAATAGAAAAGGCGGTAAAGAGATCCGTTTCACCCATATCGAGCGAAAGAATTGTCACGATGAAGCTGTCGTCGTTTCGCTTTTGGAAAACTTACGACGGAATTCAAAGATGTGGTGAGAGCACTATTGCAGATCTTTTCTATGAGATTGAAACTCTCAAACTCAAAAATAAATCTCATGTGTCCAAAATTAGTATCATTGGGTATTCTCTAGGTGGACTAATTTCCAGATACGTGATCGGGCGGTTGCACGAATTGGGATTTTTTGAGGAAGTCATCCCCATATTCTTTTGCACATTTGCTACCCCTCATGTTGGGATACACTTTTTCAAAGATACTGTCTTTGATAAAGTCGCAAATCGTATGGGAAAGCGTCTTTTTGGTAAAACGGGGTTTCAATTGTTTTTGGGGGATTCAGAGACATTATTAGTGAAGATGACACTTCCAGAATCGCATCATGTTAAAGGACTACGTCTATTCCAAAAGCGCATTCTCTTGGCTAATATAAAGAACGATCGAACCGTCCCATTTTATACCAGCTTCATCACGGAGTACTCGCCTTTCGATCTGTTGAATTCCATTAAAATTCAATATTTTGAAGTTGAACCTTCAGCAAAAGTCAATAATGTCACTGTGTGGCCTAAATTTGTTGACCTTCGTCGCTCATCCAAAATCACAAGCAAAAAAAGTAAACATCGTAATGTGCAAGAAGCAACATCGATCTTGAGATCAAACATTATTTTTCGCTACACGCTTCTTGTTTTTGCTGCTTTGGTCCTATTCCCATTCTATCTCCCTCTAATTATTTGCTTGTCTTTCTACGTTTCTGGATATAGCGTATTGAAGGTGAGACTAATCAATGGGCCAGATATTGTTGAACATTGGTCTAGTGTCAAAATGTCTGTATTCCGTGGAGGATTGGTCGATGTTAATCATGCAGAGCTAGGAGACACCAGAAGACAGGAGAGGAAAAAAATGTCACGCCATCAGTCATTCAAAGGTGATACCTCCAATCTCACAGAAAACACAATGGAAAAAATGTTAGCTGCTGAGGAGAGATTTACGTCTGATCAGGCTGACATGATTGACGAGGAAAAATCAAGTGATGAGATTGACGAGACAGTACTTGCAGGTTCAAAGCTGAGAGATATATCCATACGGGAACCTGACGAAGAATCTGCCGATTGGGTATCGTTCCTGGACGATTCCAGCAATGAAACGAATGGATTGAGTACCTCATGCGTTGAGCAGCAAGACCGTGGTCTTCTGCAAACTTCAAAGAAGAAGGAACTTATCGAAATCCCTGTCCTCGGGTACGACCAAGCAATCAAGAATCATGCAGAATTACTTGTTTGGGATAGTTCTGAGTCTCCTTCCTTGTTCGAGGATAACGTTAAACTTCCTCTTTCAGAAAACGAATCTACTATTGTTCAAAATTTGAATAAATTGGACTGGATCAAAATCCCCATTTACCATGATCTGTTCAACGCACACGATAGTATAGTCGCGAGAAGAGGTGATATGAGAAATCCAAAGGGAACTTGCACATTGTTTTTTTGGGCGTCCATCCTTCGAAATCATATTCGTGAGGAAGAGACGAAATAATGTTCAAGTAAAATAGGAAATCTATACTAACGAGGTTAATTTATTGCTGCAACAAAAGAGTGCCCTGAGAAAAGGGCTTCCGAACTTGACGAAGTTTCTAAAATTCACCTTTGCCAGAATAAGTCCATCATAAAATTCATGACTTTTCGCGTAGGAAATGTATAGATTTCCGTCCCATGGCTTATCAACGGACGGCGCATGTGTAAAGGGTTTTGCAGGTAGTGCCACCTCAGTGCCTTGCTCTTCACTCCGCAATCCACTTACCGACAAATCCTCAGGCCGTTTGAGGTAAAAAAATGCTACGAACAAGGCTAATCTGCAGTGAATTATTTTCAGTATATTCAAAAAATGTGGGTGGTAGTTCACTATCTGATGGCAACCTCGTTCTTGGTCGGGGTTCACTATGTCACAGGAGGCAAATCACCCATAGAGCATGGCGACCAGCTTGCCATTTCCATGTCTCCATGAAAGATTATGTCGTTCACCAAGATGAAAAGGAGCAGTATCAGTGGAACCAAAGCAACTCGAGCTGGACATGGGTGCGGGATCACATGTCGACATTTCATTTGGGTGTGGGCATAGGTGTGATCTCCCTCTACTCTCTCCAGAAACCATATTACAATGACGTGCTTTCCGTCGACACCTCCATTCATATTTTGAGACCTGTCAAGAACTCAGACACTTTCGAGAATGGCCTTTACGCCGCATCAAGAAAAGAGAGTCAAGACCTTTTCGATGAATTTCGAAACTCCAAGGTGGCTACAGGGTCACTCCTAAAGAGAGCACTCTATATGACAAAATTTGCCATCGTGGATTATATTATTGACCCGCTTCAGACAATAGCGAGATTTTTGGAATTGAGCGCCTTAATATTCCCTTTACTTTTTCTCGCCCCAATCTGTTGGCTAGGCCCCAAAGACAAGACTACCAGCGATCGTACTAGATCGGGCGCCAAGATATGGGTTCAGTATTTGAGATGGGCCACCGAAGCTGCAGGCGCCACCTTTATTAAATTGGGACAATGGGCAGCTTCACGAACAGACATTTTCCCCAAATTTTTATGCGACGAGTTAGGTCAATTACATTCAAATGCAAAACCACATTCGTTGAGCCAAACAAAAAAAATTTTAGCAAAAAGTTTTGGTATGCCCTTCGAGGAGATTTTCGATGAGTTTAACGAAAAACCTGTTGGTGTTGGAGCTATTGCGCAGGTGTATTTGGCAAAATTATCAGAACAGGCCATTTCCAGAGCTAAAGCTGAGGATATAAAGTCAGAGCTGCTTGAGTTTTTGGAATCAGACCAAAAAAAGAGTTCGTTTTGGAATAGCATGATTGTTACGGAACAACAAGGGCGCTTAATCCCCCCTCATCAGAAAGTGGCCATAAAAGTTTTACACCCCAACGTGGAAAAAAAAATTACACGTGATCTCAAAATAATGAAATTCTTTGCAAATCTAGTTGATGTGATCCCGACAATGGAGTGGCTTTCTTTGCCCGATGAGGTTGAACAATTCAGTATTTTGATGCGTTTGCAACTCGACTTGAGAATCGAAGCCCTCAATTTGGCCAAATTTCGCCACAACTTTCGTAACAGACTCGATATCCATTTCCCTAAGCCATTTTTGAATTTTAGTACCAGAGAGGTTCTAGTTGAAGAGTATATTAAAGCCATTCCTATGGAAAAATTGCTTTCTTTGAGTGGGAATTTTGGGAAAAACTTATCAAAAGAAGTTAGTGATAAGGGTCTTGACTCGTTTCTTCAAATGTTGATACTTGACAACTTTGTACATGCAGATCTACATCCAGGCAATATGCTTATTAGATTTTACAGAAATGAGATGTATACTCATGAACGAGAGTACAAGATAGTCAAGTCCACAAATGAAAATGAAACCAATAGAATAACGGAAGAGTTGTTATCTCTAGGTAATGATAGCCAAGCCTGGTGCAATAAGCTTGAATCTTTGTACGAGAATGGTTATCATGCTGAAATATGCTTTTTGGACGTGGGGCTCATCACTGAGCTCAACCATGACGACAGAATTAATTTCATTGATTTGTTCAAGGCCTTATCTGAATTTGATGGCTATAAGGCTGGGGATCTAATGGTGGAGAGATCCCGCACTCCAGAAACAGTTGTCAACAAAGAGATATTTGCTTTGAAAGTGGAGAAATTGGTAGACAGAATGAAGGAAAGAACTTTCACGCTAGGAAATATCAGCATTGGCGACCTTTTGGATCAAGTCCTTTCAATGGTTAGATCCCACCATGTACGAATGGAAGGAGATTTCATAACTGTCATTGTTGCCATTTTGTTATTAGAAGGCATGGGCAGGCAACTTGATCCACAGTTGGATCTTTTCGCAAGGTTTGTATATGCCGTTTTATGGGGGTTTCCGACAGAGGTAACTCGCGTTTGATCTAATTCTTGATTACAAGCGCTATTAATCACTCAGAAAATTTACTAACTGCCTCTAGTTCGCTCCCGGTTTTACGAAAATTAGGAATACTGAAAGAAGGTAAAGAATTGCTTCAGAACGAAGATTCTTTGAACATGATGAAAGTGTGGTTGGCATTGGAAGTCAGACAGCTCATCAATGCGTCCATACAAGACGTAAGTTTTTTTTTGTGCTTTATTTTATCTCCTGTTTCCAAAATTTTTGGTAAGGTTACGCAACAATTCTCATACTAACTCGCAGATCCACGCACTCGTTAAGGCCGACATGCTCAGTGCGAATATTTAGTCTCGAATGGTCGTCGGTTCATATTTTGCTTACCTTACGACGTAGGTGATGAGACAAGATATACTTTATTTACCTTTTTCACTTTTTATGGGCTGATATTCTTTTCTTTTTGAGTTGTTGCAAGCGCACGCATCAGTTTTTTATACTCGTAAGCTTTCGAAAATTAAAATCTTTTGTACCAGTTTAGCACTCGTAGTCTCTATAAGCGCATTTTATGCATTCCAGTTGTGCTAGATACGTCAGATATCATGTCGAATACCCCGTATAATGATCTTCCAACTTCCAGAGCCTTCCCCGTTTTATTCACGTGATCAGATATTCAAAGCAGATGTAATACCCTTTGTTATTTTAGGAAGCGAGGTGTATATAGGACTACAAACACATAGGTCCCGTGAAGTCCCTCACACTATACCTCGAATTCGATGTCAAGAAACGACGTGACCAAATATGGAGACTATACATTTGTTCTCATTCAGAGTTCATCTCCTACCTCACATGCAAAGATAAAATGAAATTTTGAGATGTCTTTTTTGTGTTCTTTTTCAAGATTACGACTTCAAAAACATAAGCGTACGTCATATTCCGTAGCCAGGACAGGGCTCATATGATGTTCTGCAGGTGCCTACCATCAAGTGTCAAATATTGAGTTTCAGTCACGTGATAACAACTGTGATTTCAAACGTGCTTACGTGATCGCTTCTCGCTACCCGCCACCAGTTCATCCCAACAAATCTTGTTTTTCACAATGGCTTCAAACCCTCCAGGAAAATGCTGTGCTGTTGCAAGCTTTCATGAAGGTACGCCCTCAGGCAATCATGAAACCATCTATGGATTGGATACGTATGTTTCCGGATCTGAGCATTCTGACTCAAGAGTTATTGTAATCTTGACAGACGTGTATGGTCATAAATTGAACAACACATTGTTGGTTGCAGATCAGTTTGCCAAGGCAGGGTACAAGGTATATATTCCAGATATCTTGAAAGGTGATCCAATCTCCGACTCTTCTGTCGACTTCCCATCATGGCTTCTGAAGCACACTAATGAAATCACTCGTCCCATTGTTGATGAATTCTTAAAAGCCCTTCGTAAAGACGTTGGAATCTCTTCATTTATTGGTGTAGTTGGATACTGTTTTGGCGCTAAATTCACCGTTCAGCACTTAGCGGAGGAAGGATTGGCAACAGCTGGTGCCATTGCGCACCCTTCATTTGTGACCATTGACGAAGTCGCGGCAATCAAGAAACCGCTTGTTATTTCTGCTGCAGAAATAGACCCCATTTTCACGACTGAACTCAGACAGCAAACTGAGGCGAAGTTGGCCGAGATCAAAGCTAGATATCAGCTCACGTTGTTTTCAGGTGTCTCCCATGGCTTCTCCATCAAAGGTGACATCGAAGATCCAGTCGTTAAGTACGCGAAAGAAAAGACCCTTGCTGATCAATTGCAATGGTTTTCTATGTTCTAGATTCGTCCGGTAGTTGCAGGATGCATAGACGGACTCTCAAGTTTTGCTCAAATCCTTTGATTTCCATATTTCTTATCAAAATAAACTAGGCCATTGAAATTAAAAATCTACACTCGCATCGTAATATAATTAATTTTGACGCATGCGCATTTCCAAGTGAATAATATGTTTGCTATTGCACTTTTAGATAACCTCCTCGCATCCCCTTATATATAGCACACAATTTCGCGATTGCAAGAGATTGCGCATGCCGAATTTTCTTTCAAAAGTATGATGTATGAAGATTCAGTGAAATTGCCTGTAGGCACTCAGCTGCTGAGGTATTCATCAAAGAGATTAAGATTCGCGTGCATGTTTCTACTGCTAATTGGCATTATCTGGTGGAACCTTTTGTCACATTTTAGTGCCCCTATGAACTTGAAATGGTCGATATCCTTAGTAAAAAGCATGGATGATGCTGACTCCCTTTGCCCAATTGTGAAAAAGTTCAATCCCACTGCCTACATCTATAGTAATAATACCCTCAAAAGTATTCTCAACGACGAAAATTTCAGGCATAATACTTTGAATAGATTGCAAAAGGCAGTCCAAGTTCCCACTCAGATCTACGATGGCATGGTTCTTCCTGATTACACAAGCTTGTCGAACATATCTGCTCAACTAGAGGAGGAATGGGTTCCCTTCGAAGATTTCCAAATCTATTTGGAGAATGCTTTTCCATTGGTACATGAACATTTGAAGCTCGAGAAAATCAATAGACTAGGTCTCGTTTATACATGGGAGGGAAGCAATACTTCAAAGAAGCCTATAATGTTGATGGCTCATTATGACGTAGTTCCCGTTCAGCCAGAGACAATCGATCAGTGGACATTTCCCCCATTTGAGGGTGCGTACGATGGGCAATATGTGTATGGCCGTGGTGTTCTGGATTGCAAGAACCTACTTGTTGGCATTATGGAAACAATCGAACTCCTACTCGCTGAAGGTCATTTTTTTCCGCAGAGAACAATCATTTTGTCGTTTGGTTATGATGAAGAGGCAGCGGGTACTGGAGCTGAAAAGATATCAAAGCATTTGCTCACAAGATACGGACCAGCCTCATTCTTCCAAATAATTGACGAGGGAAATTCTGGATACGTTGAAGTGGAAGGCAATAAATACATTTTACCCGCAATTAGCGAAAAGGGTCACTTAAACTCAATCCTCGAACTTTATACTCCTGGAGGACATTCGTCTATTCCCCCCGAGCATACTTCAATTGGACTCTTGTCAAAAGTTATTAGTTTGATTGAGGATAAGGAGTTTGAAAGCATTTTATCTAATGCTAATCCTGTTCTAAACGAAATGCAGTGTGTTGCTGAGAATTCGCAATCTATTGGTCCTACGCTCCGAAAAACTATTTTGAAAGCTCACTTGAACAAGAATGCGAATAAAGACTTACTAGAGTACTTATCTCGTGATTCAAGTACTAAATTCCTCGTCAGAACATCTCAGGCTGTCGATGTTGTTCATGGAGGTATTAAATCAAATGCGCTTCCGGAACACGTGTCAGTTTTAATCAATCACAGAATCGCCTTAGAGGATTCGGTGGCATCTACAAGACAAAAAATTATCTCCCAAGTGCAAAACTTTGCTGTCGATTTTGGTTTGGGACTCATCTGTGACGGCGAAACAGTGTTGAATAAAACTGAGAATGGGTTTTTCAGCTACACCACGGATGAGCCGTTGGAACCCGCCCCTTTAACACCAGTTGGAGATGGCGTTTGGGAAGTTTTTGGTGGCTCTTTAAGGTATTTGTATGAAGATTTGTTATCACCTACTTCCAATGAAACTTACATTTTTGCGCCTTACATAGGCACAGGAAACACGGATACTAAATCGTATTGGAATTTGACAAAAAATATCTTCAGGTATGTACCAGGTACATCTATGTTGGGTTCCAACGTTCATTCAGTGGATGAAAAGCTTGAATTCGATAGCCACTTGCAAATCATTGCATTTTATTACTATTATTTGCAAGTCGTGGATCAGTTGGATGAGTCCAAAATAGATACGCCTGCATCACAGTAAGTACACAAGCATGTTGAACCCCTACTCCGGCCACAGTTTATCAAGAAGCGATCATATGGCATGCCCTCCTTGTCAGAAAATTATATGAAATATTCAAGGTACAAATTTGTTTACTTAAAAATCATCTCTATAGCAAGCCTGCAGCAAAGGTCTCGCACCAAAGTTGCACAACGGCGAGACTGCACAAGTTGGCAACATTGCAAACGGGAAGAAAAAATGGATGAATAGAAGATTACTCATTTTTTCCTCCAGTGATATGCCAACTGAACTAGAAGAGTTGGTGGAGTTTTTGCATTCTCCGCAACCTGCGGTGGTTCAAATAGCACTTGACAATTTAGTAGGCTATTCCCAAGGACCACAACAAAAGGTTTTCGCATATAATAACTATGAAGCCATCAAGGACTTGAAGAAGTTGTCGCGTGACACAGGTAAAACGTCAGTCAGTCAGTCCGTCACTATCCTTGCAAATTTGTGTGATGACTCTACGGTACGTGAACTCATCATAAAAGACAAGGACTACTTGAGTTTTTTGGTGTCAGCTATAATCAGGCCTACAAACATCAACGCCGATTTGATGTCTATTTTACTCGCAAATTTGGCTAAAAATGATCTGATTACATCGATCTTCGAGATTGAAGTCAAGCATACTGATGAGGAGAACAAGTTTTTCAAACTGACAAAGGCAATGGACTGTCTTATGGACTGTTTTGTTAAGGGATTCGACAGGAGTTTGAACAAATACGCCAACTACGATTACTTGGCGTACTTTTTTTCGGATATTTCTCGCTTAAAAATGGGCCGTGCCTATTTCATCACAGAGCAGTCTTATGATGAGGTAGTCCCCATCTCTAAGCTCTTGGTTTTCACTGAGAAATATGACTCTAAAATTCGTCGCGAAGGTGTTGCTTCGACAATCAAGAACTCTTTATTCGATATCGATTCACATGGAACATTGATTACTGATGAAGGTATTAATTTGCTACCATATATTCTTTTGCCCCTTGCTGGGCCAGAAGAATTAGATGAGGACGACATGTTTAACTTGCCCGATGAGTTGCAATTATTGCCCTCTGATAAAACGAGAGAACCAGTCGAAACAATTTTAAATACTCACTTGGAGTCACTCTTGTTGTTAAGTACATCAAAAGAAATAAGGGAATACTTGCGAGCAAAGTCGGTCTATGCCTTGATCCGCGAACTACACAAGGTCTCTGACTCGGAGGATGTGACTGCCTTGTGTGACAGATTAGTGCAGTTATTGATGAGAGACGAAGAAGTGACAAGAGAAAACGTGGATGAAAGTGATGAAGATGAAGATCAAATTGTCGAAATTTTATAGTTCGTAATAATTGAAATAATACAGATCGAACTTGGCTCTCTACAGAGTTTTGCATTTGTTTGAGATTAAGATGACAAACGATGATATACGGTCAAGACGTAACTATCCATGTCTTGGTTTCAGAATTCTTGGTGAAACTTGTTCGCCATTGCTTTTTGCTTCAAATTTGTTTTTCTTTTTGTGCAGAAGATTTTATCGCCCCTTACTTACAAACGCACTATTGCTTTCCAATTGTTCTATTACTCCTTAAGTTGTAGCTTTCCGTCCGCCAATCTGAGATTTTGCTTCACGATTTGTATGATACGCGTTTTGTTATCCTTATGAGTTCCAATCCTGCTTCTCAAGTTTAGGAGTAACTCTTTAGTCGTGAGGGGATTTTGCCTCACTATGTCCAAAACTTCCAGTGTTGTCACAAGTTCACCGTTTAGTCCTGAGTATCCTAGATCAGAAGAGTTTGATGGCACTAATCCAGGAACCAAAGGTGATGACTCTTCACACTTTATTTTCTTGGTGGGAGAAGGGCTCTCAAAACTCTGTAGCCTCTTTTTCGCATTTGGGTTCCACTCACCATGCGGGAACTGGCGCAAAAAGTCTTTCGTTGCATTTATCACAATCGTAGAATTATTGATTCTGGAAATGTACACTGTACGTGCTCTGGGCTCTTCTCGGCCTAGTTCACCGTCGACGGGCTCTGTCTTGATGTTTGCTTCAGGTTCTGAATCATCATTGCTCTCCAAATCTGACTGAGAGACATACGGATTTGACTCTTCATTATCACTTTCATAGACTGCCCCTTCAGTTTTGTTCAAAACTTTTTTCAATTTTTTTCCTTCTTTATCAACCTTCCTTGATTTCTCAACCTCAAACAAATCATTGAGGTCGTCGCTGTCGTCTCCACCATCCAGCTGACCGTCAAAGTGAGCAGCTTTGAGCATTTCTTTCTTGATCTTCTTCTCCAGTAGTTTGTTTTCTTCCTCATCCCCGTCCATGATTGGGGCCTCTTCATCATCAGCAAATTCTTCTTCAAAGTCCAAGTCGTCATGGTCAGAATCTCTATCCTGGATTCCGCCCTGCACTGTACGCATTCTGTTGAGCCTTGTTTGCAGATTTGAAGAGGAACCAGCTTCAGCACCCCCTCTTCTGAACCGCATGTCGGATCTTTCGCTCCCCTCGTCCATGTGCTTCATAAGCCATCGGGGAGCGGACAGATTTTTTTCCATTCTGGCTTCAGCTTCTTCAAGAGTCAAGGTGGCATACTTGTTTCTTGGAGTGAATTTGTAAACTTTTTCGGCAGGTACCATTTTGAAACAGTTTTTGTCAAATACAAACAAGACATGAGTAGATTCCGTAGATCCTGCCTCATAACTTCCAACAAAAACATTGTCACCAGTGTAGTCTTCAATAACCCATGGATAGTATTCCTCGTATCTGAGCTTACGCTTAGTTTCATCCATCATGTGAACTTGTTTAGTTTTCCTTTTGAACAAATTCCTGCGGTGTCGACGTGCGCCCCCATCCGGAGCGACTTGGGACATGTCAGCAGATTGTTGTCCATTCCCATGTGAGTCAGAAGCTTTGCCGTTGAGATGATTTGGGTTGTTTTCTTCATTTTCTAAGTCTAACTCAGCGTCAGCAGCAGCTTTGGCCGCAACTTTCTCGCGGCGTCTGCGATCCATCTCTTTACGAGAAAGTTGAAACTGAATGTTTTGAGGATCTTTTCTGTGCATTCGTACTGGTTTATTAAAATTCTTCATCACATCGACGTCTTGCTTGGTGTGGAATTTGAGAATATGGTGCCGTGTGTCTTGTAGTTCCTCGGTAGTACATGCTTTGAGAGGGATGACATTCCACTCCGAGGAAGGTGATGAGCTGCCTCCATTGCTTGCCAGAGCAGCAGATGTCAGGATTCTGTTCGGACTAGGAGCCCCAACACCTGGCTCTTGTTTGATGACTGGCTCCGATTTGATGGTTGGTTCGCTCATGTTCCAACCAGTGAGTACTGAAAGAGATCAGCCTTGCGCAAGACTTGTGATTATCAAAGCCGATAGAGCTGTACGGGCTTTTTCTGGGGTAACCGTGCGGAAAGACATAGGCTCAAGACTAAATTTGGAAATAAGTTGCCGCAAATAATAAATATACATACGGAATTAATAGGTCTTTGAGGGTCCGAGAGATAAAGATTTATCTCACGCAATTGAAGTCTTAAAAGGCCTTAGAATCTATTTATACCGAGAATCCCAAGCTCATGCGTAAAGTCTCATATTAATGATTTTTTCCAATATTGAACCGCAGTTTCTCTTGAGATGCAATTAATTATCTGAAAAATACTAATTCTAAATTTCAATAAGCTCTTTCGGCTTGAGTATTCTTGGAAACCACAAATAGATCAAAAATATAGTCCATGGCTGAACTTTGTAGAGGTTTTCCCAAGGAGATGTCATCAATTCCTCGTCCTTTGTGCTGGCGCTGCGCTGTTCCGCTGCACACCGCCGGTTCCGGAGCAGACATTTCTCCAACATGGAGTCGAGATGCACTAAACACTTTTAATCACTGAACACCTCATAGTATTTCATTTGTTCTTCAAAAAATTGCCCAACAATGAAAGAGGGAGACAAAGCTCCGCCCGGGTATTTGGGTTTTGTCGCTGGCATGTTTTCCGGAGTCACAAAAAATGCAGTGGGCCACCCGTTCGATACGGTGAAAGTCCGTCTACAGACCTCCGAGGGCAGATTCAAAGGTCCGGTTGATTGTGTCATGAGTACATTCAAAGCAGAGGGTGTTCGTGGATTTTATAAGGGGTTTACTCCTCCATTGGCGGGGTGGGTCCTCATGGATTCCGTTATGCTCGGCTCTTTACATCTCTATCGACGTCTATTGAAGGAAAACATCTACTCTGATGAAAAAAAACTCCCCTTGTTTGGTCATATCGTTGCTGGATTGGGAAGTGGATGGACTGTGTCGCTTGTGGCGGCACCCATAGAGCAGTTCAAAGCTCGTCTCCAGGTGCAATATGATGCCAAGTCAAGCAATTACAGCGGCCCTATCGACGTAGCGAGAAAGTTGTGGAAAATCTCCCCTCTCACCTGGTACACTGGTCTCATCCCCACTATGATCTTTCGAACTAATTTCATTTTCTGGTGGGGCTCATATGAAATTCTCACCAACTGGTTCACAACAAATACCAAGATGTCGACGCCATCCATTAACTTCTGGGCCGGAGGTCTTTCTGCTACAGTTTTCTGGATTTTTGCGTACCCAACCGATGTGGTCAAGCAAGTGATCATGACAGACAGCCCTATTCAAGCTGAGAAAAGATTTCCACGTTACATGGATGCAGTTCGATATATCTACAAAGAAAGAGGGTTGGCAGGGTTTACCCGCGGATTTGGCCCATCCATCTTACGTTCATTTCCTGCAAACGCAGCTGCATTGGCTGCATTTGAAGCAGTCATGAGATTTTTGCATTGACTTTTGCAACAGCTCTTGGCATAATTTCGTCATCTTTCCTCACTACATTCATAAAATTATATAGAGATCCATCTGTACAGTAACCAGAAAAACTCTTATTGGCAAAATCCGTGAGTAGTATATCTAACTTGTTGTCATATCCAGCACGTTAGGTTTGTTAGCAGCTGCGCACTTTTCCCATGGTTTGACCCTTTTCTCCGCCTTAGGCTCAGAGCTTTTATCCGACAACACGGTATCAGGAATCTCTTTGATACCAGGGACAGGTTTACCCGACACAATAAGATCCACAAGCTCCTGATAATTGGAGGAATATGGGGCCTCAGAAGAATCCTTATCGTCAGAGACATCCTCCTCTTTGCTACTCTCTTCTAAGAGTGTGATTTTCCCTCCGTTATTTCTTTTCCACGCATAGTAATCATCTAGGTTAAGAATGTGGCCCGTGGAAGAACAGAAAAAAAAAGATTTAGCTTGGTCCGTCAATTGTTGTTTCTCTGCTGCAGGTATGGTCTTTACAGATGGGTCTCGCTCTTGCAAGGATTCTAAGTGGCCCTGCAAGATTTCACCAAGACCTTCCTTAAACTCGGTAAAAGAGCTCCAGTCGAAAGTGGAGAATTCAGCATAAACCCTTTCCTGTGGATCAGCCATAATGATTATTTATTTTAGCTCAGGTCTGAAAAGCTCGTGTTGTCGTCCTCACAGTTATTTGGCGGCGAGCTCATGGGTGAGAATGTCATCTCAGTACGTGCAGACCGTGTCTCGCAATGCGCCCGCTGAATCGCCTAAGTAATGTATTCACTGGGCTTTTTGTGGGGGTGGTCTTTTTTTTCTTTTCAAAATAGCCAAGAAAGAGAATTGCTCATCTTTAGACTTGAGCTTTATCTGGATGAAAATCAATTTTGATTAACCATGTGGTTTGTGGTCAGGCGCACGATAAATGTATAGTGCGTCCGACTCGCACTCGCGTTGTCTAATGACATTCGGGCGCGTCACGCTCAGAATCATCCCGTTCTCTATCGTACCTAGTTTCCATATTGGGTTCTTCATTATTATTGGCCAAATACAGCGCTGGCCGACGCCATCAATAATAAGCCTGTTCTTGGTCCTCAAATATTTCCACAAGTTACAACAAACATATAGGTGTGTTTAAAATATCAATTCTCAAAAAAGATGATGCAACTCACACTGAAGCATTTATTCGTGACTGCTACACTTCTTCGAGTTGGCTTTTTCTTGTTTGGCTTGTACCAAGATAACAACTTTTTGGTGAAGTATACCGATATTGACTACTTGGTTTTCAGTGACGCTGCTCGATACGTCTATGATGGGTTATCGCCCTACAAAAGAGAGACATATAGATACACGCCTCTTTTGGCTTGGATGCTTGTCCCCAACTCATGGGGAGGGATTTTTGCTCACTTTGGAAAGTTTCTTTTCATGTTATGTGATATTCTTACCGGGATTTTAATTTCAAGAAATCTAGCGCATTCAAAAATATCACATCGGAAGAAACTCATCTTCCTGTCAATATGGCTTTTAAACCCAATGGTAGTTACTATCAGTACACGAGGCTCGTCTGAAAGCATACTCACCTTCTTTATAATGCTTTCTGTGGATTTGTATCTCAACGAAAGGTACGTCGAGGCCGCCTTTTGGCTCGGGTTGTCAATTCACTTCAAGATATATCCAATAATCTATCTTCCAGGCCTCATGTTAAATTTGGCTACAAAAAGCCCGCCATTTCCCCTATTTCGAAATGTTCCAGTCTTGAAATGGCTTAACAGTATCAATGTCAAGTTTCTTGTGCACACTTTGATTTCACTAACCGCGTGGAATGTTGTGATGTACTATATTTACGGGTATGAATTCATATACCATTCATACATTTACCATTTTACCAGATTAGATCATCGTCACAACTTTTCTTTGTATAATGTGATGTTGTATTACAAATCAGCATATCCTGATGTCGTGAGTTTGACAGAAATGAATTGTTGGAGCTGGTTGGGACAGGTCAGTGGCCATATTGAAAAGGTTGCATTTTTACCGCAACTATTTTTGAGCGCTATAATATTGCCGCTTTTACTAGCTCAGAAAGATATCATTGCCTGTCTTTTTGTACAGACTTTTGCGTTTGTTTTGCTCAACAAGGTAATAACTTCCCAATACTTCATCTGGTTTTTGATCTTCTTACCTCAATTTCTTGCTAATTCAAAACTATCGTCCCCGTTAAACCTCAAAAGGTCTTCAATTATGATCGTGATGTGGTCATTTTCTCAGGCCTGCTGGCTATTCTATGCTTACAAGTTAGAATTCTTGGGCGAGAGTACATTTACTATGGGTTTGTTCTGCAGCTCTGTATTTTTTTATCTCACAAATTGCTGGGTCTTGGGCCAGTTTATCGAGTACATATAGGAACCAAAAGTAATTTAATTAGCTATTCCGGATTATGTACCAGGGGTGATAATGTTGTTTTTAGTAATACTTTCTCGAGGCGCCGCGGATGTGTGTGATAGACCTGAGAGTATTTCCGATGTACTTAGTTTCATCCACTGGAACCCAAAAATATATATTCAGAGCAGATTACAATGAAAAATGACTTTCATGAATACCTTAGGAAGAGAACAATACCAAACGCTAAGCTTGTGGTCCGTAAAAGTATTTTTTTAAGCATGACTATATATATAGACAACGTGCACGAGATATGTAGTCACGTGAGTGGGATATGCTCGCGAGATGAGAGAAGATCTTCAGGACACAAGCATACAAGGTCAAGTGTAAAATGTCTCGTATGGAATTATACTCTCCCGAAGGCTTACGTATCGATGGAAGAAGATGGAACGAGTTACGAAGATTTGAGTGCAAAATCAACACTCATCCAAATTCGTCGGACGGCTCATCTTACGTTGAACAAGGCAACACGAAAGTTATGTGTATGATTCAGGGACCTATGGAACCTCCTTTGAGGTCACAGTTGAACCAAACACAAGCTACCATTGAAATAAACTTGAATATTGCAAGCTTCTCTACATTGCAGCGCAAGAAAAGAAATAAAAATGAGAAAAGAATACTCGAGTTAAAGACTACCTTAGAAAGAACGTTTGAACAGAGTATAATGTCTAGTTTATATCCAAAAACAGTCATCGAGGTTAATGTTCAAGTTTTGACACAGGACGGAGGTCTTTTTTCTGCTATGACCAACGCCATCACACTAGCTCTAATTGATGCGGGTATAGCGATGTATGACTATGTTTCGGCTGTGAGTGTTGGGATCCATGATCAAACCCCATTGTTGGACCTAAATAATCTCGAGGAAAATGACATGAGCTGCCTTACGATCGGGGTAGTTGGAAAAAGTGAAAAATTGGCAATGTTGCTTTTAGAGGATAAGATGCCGTTGGATAAATTGGAGTCTGTCATGGGAGTCGCGATTGCCGGAGGCCACAGGATACGAGAATTAATGGATAATGAGGTACGTGGACATGGGCTTATGAGGCTGTCTAAGCTCACATCCTAGACATATATGTTAATAGACAAAAAGCCTCTTGATCTTGCTGAAATGGTCTCATTGGTGGTACTTTGAACAGTAAATGAAAGGTTATCTTCGGAGATGACATCAAGCTTTTGACTACTATAAATGCTGTTTTTTTTTTAGAAGAATTAGTATACCCGGATAGTATTTGGCAAAATTTCCAAAAAGAAATAGAAACATGCTAAAATCAAAAGACTGATCTCTGCCAGGATTCTCAAAAAGGAGTGACACGGACAGGAATCGAACCTGCAACCTTTTGATTTGGAATCAAAAGCTCTACCATTGAGCCACCGCATCTTACCTGCGAAAATCAGAAGCAGGATTGATCATTACCGACGCACAGTACGTTTCTATAAATCACAGAAGCCTTGGAAAAGTTTGTCAAGAGTCATACTGTGCACATCCATCAGTCGCGTGCATAAAAAACTAGTCTTCTAGATACAGAGATCTAGACGTACTTTTTCTAGGATTTTTATATATATTCGTTATATAGTTTTGCCCCTTTAATCAGATGAATCTACCAAAAAAAAAAAAAACCAGAACAAAAAGTTACTGCCTAATACGTAGACAGATCTGCGCCTGGAGGACCGTCGAGACTGTGGTAAATGGAAAGGACGGGCGGAGCTTCGACACTAGGTACATATTGGGGAGCTGATAAGAGGCTTTTATATCATTGTTTTATGGTTTTGTTTTTGACCAGATGATTACACCAAAGTATGGCCTTTATACAGTTGAAACATGGACGAGATTTTCAGAAATCATATCTGATCGAGTGATGGCAGTTTTGCAAAACCTGAACTGTAGGCTTTAATATGATTTTAAAAAAAAGTTCCTTTTATTGAATGATTTAAACGTATATGGGTGCTATATAAAAATTTCATAATTTTGTAATTCGGAAGGGGGCGGGCCGAATTTCGACATGGTATGTAACTGGGAGCTGTTTAAAGGTTTTTTTTCTATGTATAAGTTGTAGTTCTGCTCCTTCAAATAGATGAATCTACCAAAAAAAAAGTTCGTTCAACCGGATGAATTCAACAGAAAAGGGGAAGGTCCCTGGGGCGAGCATGTCACTGTTGCTGGAGGAAGTAATTTTGGGTGGTCAAAGAGAGCTAGCTTTTTGAAAAGATTTTGATCCACATCCTTGACTCAAAGTACTTTCTGGAAATTTATCCAAGACCACAGTTCGAAGTGACGAGACGATCATACTACACTTCTGAGAAGTTGCTGATCTGAAAGCCGAAGACCAAACACTATTAGTTTTCTTCGAGTCTATATTCACCTCGAAAGAAGGGCAAGAGCAGCTCTTTGGTTCAATTGTACAAGTCTGCAACTAAAAATTTGTGGCTGATAATCATGCATATACTGGAAGCTTGTCTTTTTGTTCTGGGAAGAATTTAAGCCTGCAAGATGCCGAACAAAGATCCAGCTGAGTAACTTATATTCCAACGAGAGGTCACCAAATGTTCCATACTACGATTTGAGTGCATATAGGTTCGCTAGATATATCTTTTACGTCAATGCTTCAAATATCATGTTTGACATCTTGGAGCGAGGGAAATTTTTTGTGTTTGAAAAAAAAAAAAAGAACTGTCCCGTGGAAAACTAAATGTGAACCAATAAGCTCCATAAATTTTTCCAACCTGAAATGCACGAAACAAATGAAGTGACAGACCTAGCCACAAGGCTCAGACCAAAATGCTACCCACTATGTTTATCCTACCAGTTGATTGCGTGAATGTTCGACATGGATACATCCGATCTAATTTGTGACTACAGGATAATTTTCGCGATCATACAGTCTTTACATGTCTTTATTCTAACATTTTTTGGAAATACAGTATATGCACAATCATAGAATGGCGAAAAAGCCGAAATTCACAAGTAGATAATTAGAAGAGGCACAAACTTCGGAACGGTTTACCTCCCTCTTACATCCTGCTCTGGCTAACTTGACTATTAGAGAGAACACGACCTTGACGCCCTGCACACAATCTTGGGTCATTTTGGTGTTCGTGGTCAGTTGTGAGGTGTTCACATGTAAGCTCGCTTCGGAATTTCTAGACGATCTTTTTTGCACGGCACTTGTATCGCTCTAAGTCAATTCACGTGAAAGCTTTAGTACGGATCTTGACAATAGCTTCTAGTCCTAATATCTAGAGATTAAACTCTGAGGGTCGAACTGTTCATCGTTTGTCCACGTTTCAAACTTTCAAAACATCTCTAATTGATCGTTGCTTAGTAAGGCTTGGAAGGATTACAGAATCTAAGAAAAGATAAGCTCATCTTCAATAATGTCATATAGAGGGCCAAATCAGTTCAACAATAATTTTGGCAACAACAATTTTGTCAATGGTGGATTTCCCAATCAGTTCCACCAGCAAACTCCTCAAACTTCATCAACTGGGCCAATGCTGTCACAACTAAGTGGATTAGAAAAAGCTTCCGCTTTTTCTAAGCGGTTTGAGGATGTTTTTGAGAAATTTTCCCCAATCAAGCCGTACGTCCCAGCGATAGGCCGATTGTTCATTGTGGCTACATTCTACGAAGACACAATTAGAATTTTCACTCAGTGGAGTGAGCAGGTTTACTACTTGCACGTTTATCGTAAGATTTGGAACTGGCTTACTGTCCTTTTCCTCGCAGTGAATATCGTCATGATGTTGATCGGATCTACTTGTTTGGTATTGAGAAAGAGAACAACCTTCGCAACAATCACATTGTGCTCAGTTGTCTTTTTTCAGGGTATTTTTTATGGTTTAATGTTTGATAGCCAGTTTATTTTGAGAAATTTGTCTGTGATTGGCGGTTTGATTTTGGCTTACTCTGATTCTCTTGTGAGGGATAAGAGATCATTGACTATGCCAGGTTTACCAATGCTTAATAACCAAGACAACAAGAAGTATTTTTTGTTGGCAGGTAGGTTTTTGATGATTTTCTTGTTCTTGGGATTCGTGTTCTCTGCCAACTGGTCTTTCACAAGAGTATTCGTCATCTTATGTGGCCTTGTCGCGTGTGTCTCGATCGTTATTGGCTTCAAAACTAAGCTTGCTGCATTCGTATTGACTTCAGAATTGTTTATCTACAACTTGTTCGTCAATCAGTTTTGGAAGTACCTGTCTCACAACGCAAACAGAGACTTCTTGAAATATGAATTTTTTCAAACTTTGTCAATTGTGGGTGGTCTTTTGATCATTGTCAATGCCGGTGCCGGTGAGTTATCCATTGACGAGAAGAAGAAAATTTACTAAGTTGGAAAAGAAAACCAGAGGAATGGAGAACTGTCGCCCTGTCAAAAATAACAAGGTCATAGTTGACATGATCTCTGATCTGATGGCAAGGCTATTCAGCTGTCTCCAGCGCGCACCCGTGCATCGACACGAAAAAAGTGTATGACAGCTTGTTGCGACGAAGATGTACGATCGGAACAGACTTAGAAAAATTTAAACTAATTAAATCAATCTGATAAGCATGTCATCAGAAGACAAATGCCCTGTAGATCATGAAAAACGAGCAACATGGTTGAGTGCTATGAATTCCAAACTGGTGACTACTGACGGGACGCAATCAGCAGAGCCGCGAGGAGCCGTGGAACAGCCGAAATGTCCAGTTGACCACAGTACAAGACAAAATTGGGTAGGAAACATCTCTGTTTCAACACAGGCAGCCTCTGAAGCTGTAGAGCTTGATTCTGGGTGCACGTCTGAGACAATTAAGAATGACCCCAAATACACCTCTTCCACTAACTTGCCTACGGAACGAGAGATAAGTTCCATCCCCAGAACAGACAATCGTTCTAACTGGATTTATCCTTCACAAAAACAATTTTATGAGGCCATGAAGCGGAAAAACTGGTCCCCCCAAACCGAAGATATGAACACCGTTGTCCCTATCCACAATCAAGTCAATGAACTTGCATGGAAACATATTCTAAATTGGGAGAGAGCGCACATACAAGAGGCAAAAGAAAAATGCGGCGGAGTTTCTTTGACAAGTTTCAAAGGTGACCTGAAAAAGCTTACCCCACGTGCATGGTTCAAAATGGCTGTATTGGGTCAAGAAAAGCCTTTTGACAGGCACGACTGGTTGGTTGACCGCTGTGGGGTATCAGTGCCTTACGTCATTGACTTTTACAGTGGTGGAGAAAATGGTGGCGTTTTCGTGGACGCTCGCCCGAAGATTAACTCATGGGAAGGGTTCAAATTGAGAGCTGGCCGGGCGTTTGGGATTTTCTGATATCTGTCAATACTTCAAGACGCGGGCAAGAAGACAAACGCTGCGAAAATGTAAATAGTATAGGACATGTCATAATCAGAATGTCATAGCATGTGGTCAACTGTCTTACATTGCATTATTTACCTTCTAATGAGAATGGAATGGTCGAGCCTCTAGAAAAATTGACGCCAATGAGGTCTATTCATTGTTACTATATACCAAGGATGCTTCTTATACTCTTTATCTGCCCATGAATTGGCCGGATTGGCCCAACTTTTGCATGTTCTCACCAACTTGAACGTTCGTCTCAAAGTACTTCGAAACGCATCTGTCTAAGCAAAGAGCTTCTTGCTTGTTCACATCTCCCTCGGCATATGATTTGTTGATGCACTTGGCATGACATTGCTCTACCAAGGAGTTGAACATGCCAGTAACCATATCCAATTCAGCCTCAGCAGCCTGGATTTTCTGTTGGGATGAAATTTGTGGAGATCCACCTAAACCGAACATTTTGTGTTTGTGTTAGATTCTAAGAATATTGCTCTTAATAGCCAACCACCGTCTAAGCAGCATCCATTTATTGAAAAGTTTTCTTCGAGAGTGCACGGGTTTAGCGAGCAACCAAATTGTGCGCGTAGCTAAAAAAGGCTTGACACATAGTGTGTTACATACCTGGGAAAGTTAGATGAAAATGGCCGCCCATGAGAATTGAAGAATTTTCTAGAAGCCGTTGAATCGTCTCAAAGTCTGAGGCCTTCTGAGGAACAAATTGAACGAGACCGTGGCAGATCGTTAACTGCTTTCCAATAATCAGTATACCTCCACCATTGATGGCTAAATTCGAGTTTCTCATGCAGTCGTGCTTTAGCAATTCCATGAATCCAGGTTTGGCCAGTTCGGTGAGATCATAAAAATATCGCTTGAATTTCCAGACTTGAGATCGGAGATTTAACACTGGTATTCGAAGTAAATTGGGGTTCACAGAAGAGACCAGCAATTTTGCCAAGCGTGACACATCAAACTTCAGACTCTCATACGGCACGCGATCATAATGTCTTAAGAAGTCATTGTTAAATCCCCCAACAAATGCCACATATTCCTTATCACCTTCCCAATAAACCATGGCTTTATGATGACAACAGCGTAGCTCGGCTTCAACTAGCTTGGGGTTTTCAACTTGAGCATCTAGTTGAAGTTTCTCGCTGTCCTCGTCTTCAAAAGGTTTTTTTGGTATTTCGTAGTAATCAAATGCATATGTGTCTAGCGACACCCAACATTCTTTATCAAAATTGAAGTAGAAGCAATCTCCAAAGACCTGATGATCACTATCCACACCCCCGTGAATAATTAAATGTATACTATCATCTCTTTCACAGCTCAGGTCCAGTTCATCTGTTTGGATTGACCCATCACTATCAGAGAAGGCATCAGAATTGTTCACGGGCATAGACGGGTCAATTTGATCGTAATTTAATTGTGTTCTGCGTTCTGGCCCAAAAATATTGCACACCTCATTTGAAAGATTTGCCGACGTCAATATATGTGCGAAATAGCCTCTCGGACCTGGAATAGTATCATTGCGAGGATGTATAGTATCAATCAAGGCCTCACGATGAAAGTCAGAGGCCTGATTGTCATTGAGGATCAATTCCAACTTGAGTAGCTCGTTCGTAGCTGTGAAACCGCGGCGCCCATCAGACTTGACCTCGAGAAAGAATCCACCAAACAAATAGACGCAGATTGAGGAAATACCGGGCTTCTGATCATTCTTTTGCATTTCAGGATTGAAGATAATAAATTTATCCTTTTTTGCCTTATGAGAATTGTCTGTATGTTCGTCACTAAGCAGTAATGTGTCGGTTGCCCGCGCCGGCTTCTTGCCCTTTAGATTTCCATTCCCATTCATATGATGTTGATGTTTTGATTTGTGTTTGGATGACCGACAGGAATCGATATGATCCATATCATTTTTGTCAGCTGCCGTAATCGGAGACTTAAAAGATTCGGGTTTCGTTGCAGAATTGATATCATGTGTAGTCAAAGGAGCCATTATTCTGTGCTGCTTGGCATGAGTTGATGAACGATGAACATTTTGATGATTAACTTTTGATGATTGCTTCGACAGGCTCCTGTGGAAAAATCGGCTAGATTTTGCTATCATAGACGGAACTCTGTAACTGGATGAAAGTAATGCATCTGGTAATTTGTGTTCTTGCTTCAAATCAAGTCGAACATGTCTACTATCTAGCTGGGTATCATCAGTAATATTCAGTGCTTTGTGGCTTGTGATAGATGATTCACCTGAATCCCTTTTTTGTAGAACATCAGATTCATCATCGATCATGTCGGAATGCGTGACAGGCGACGTAGTATGCCCTGCAAAACTACTCTCACCAGACATTTTGTGATGGGACGATTCCTCGAAACTCTTGGTATCAAATGACATCTGAGGCGTTGTCGAGTACCTAGACGAAAATGAGTCAGCAGAGGTTTGACAATCCAACTTCTGCTCCTCATATGAATGTGATACATTCGGTTGAGCGAAGGAGACCAGAGAGAAGGGAGACAATGGAAACGACAGCGATGCCGTCTGCTGCGAATCAAACCTTGTAGAATTGCATCCCGAGGTACAATAATTTGAGTCTGTTAATGACTGAGGATGAGAGCCGAATTGACTAGCTTTGTGACCCGGTCTTTCAGTCGAAAAGTTCGAACATATTGCTGCACCAATTCGTCCAGAATATTTTAGTTCCAGTCTTGTTATAAGGGAAATCTTGGTGAAAGATAATTTGCGAACATCTAGTATGAAAGCATCGTCGTTTGTTGAGATGCTCTTTTCAATGATCCACCTACCAACACTTTTGCTAAATTCGACCTTTTCCACGTCTATCTTGAAGCCTCCACAGAAAAAGACCTGGAAGTCAGAGATCTGAGTCCCTTTCATATCACAAACATGGCCTGGTTCAAAATCATCCGAGCAGGGTTTGGAGTAGTCGTGTACTGTACTTCTTGTTGGATTGAAAAGAAAGAAACACGGGTTACGAACAATGAACGGTGACATGAGCACTTCTTTGTTGACGTATGGTGGCATGTCACATGGAAAATGCACAGAGATAAGCGAAGGATCTGTCGAACGGGGTATTCCTAGATTCTTCAATGCTCTCAAGGGATCAGATTGTAAACCTCCAAAGAAATATGTCACCTCTCCCACCTCGAAATGAGACTGATGAATATACTGACTGACATCAGTATGTGGCTTAACATTCTCAGGCCGCGTGAAAGAAAAAGAGGGCACATGAAGTAAGCCAGAAAACGGAGACTCGAAGTCGTCACTCTGAAGCGTGCCACCTGTCTTATCCAGCGGATCCTGAATATCTGGGTCGTTCGTGGGATCCAAGGATGAATGTCTCGTATTTTCGGTTAAGCCAATGTCTGAGAAAGTTAAGCCGGGAACTAGGTAAGCCTCATTTCCCGAGCCTCTTTCTGAACTGGAAAGGGATGTATATGTGATAAGTGAACGAGTGCTCGGAATACCATGTACCCAGTCTTTTTGATGATCCTTCTGAAATTGAATGGCTTTCGCTGATGTGTCGCGTGCTTGATGAATATTCTTTATCTCCAATGGACTCTCTACCATGGTGAATAAGGAAGAGGTGTTCTCTAGCGCTGTATTGTTCTCAACCATTTTCTTTTGTAAGATTTCAATCTGCCTAGGAAATGCTCCTAGCCAGTCGACGATACAGGAGTACCAGCAAGTTCAAATCGTGCTGAACACTTTTCTTTGGGTTTCACTTCGGCAAATGGAGACAAAAAGAATTCACTAACTGTCAAAAGCTAGCACGTGTCCAGGATGCGCCCTTTTTGTCTAAAGAAACACGGCTTCAGCAACGTCAATTTGATTTATAAAGATAGAACTCTTCGAGTATTTCTTTAGCTTTCTCTAGAAAATCTAGCAAAATAAAGAATTATGGCTTTTTTGAGGTGTGTTTCTGGATGGTTTTCTCTTGGAGAGAGATATCGTCTGATCCTGGGGTCTATTGTGGGGATCGAGTGCGAATCTCCCGAGTCAGGAGGAAAATAATTCGAAAAAGCTTAAAACTTCTTATTATACATTTTTGCTTCATTTGTTTTACCGAGAAGATAGCTTTGTAATGAATGAGGTGAAACTTGTAGCTTGTTATGAAGAATTATGATATGTAATCTGGGAATGTTCAAGTGAATGCTTCAGAATCTGTTGTGACGAAACTGGGAGAACAAGTTGCCCCCGAGCAACTTTCCGCGTTTTGCTGGGCAAACAGTCAGATCCAATGTCTCCAAATCATAGAACAATAGACGCACAGAACCCCTTTAAACGAGAAAAAAAAACACTCGAAATGCCCAATTATAATAACTTGCTCAGTTTTTTGAAGTTTTGAAGTATGGTATCTAATTGTGAACTCATGTAGGTTCTTCAACAGCAAGCTTTGTATCAAACTTAGCCTGCCCGCGTAAGTTAAATATTCGATGCGATAGCCTTTTGCTTTTTAACTATTTGCATTTTCATTTGATTGAGATGATTGTATCTGCTCCCTCCATATCTAAAGCCCCGGAGATTCGGTCATACTAAATAGAAGTGTGTTCGTACCAAGAAGCGGTACCAATCGGAACCTACGATGGTAACGAGTGTTTCTTCTATCCTTGCGACAAGAATTGGCTTCAATAAAGCAAATATTGTGACTCAAATCCAAACCTGTGAGGGAGAGCAAATCATTGTTGCTGAATTCGGTCATGACCAAAGAATCTCTTATAAACCGAAATAATCCTCAGCTAACTCCTCAACAATGCCTTGCGATTCTTCAGTCAACTCTAACCACGTGACAGAGGCGAAACTTTCATCTAGTCTTGTCGTTTGTTTCAAATTTGCTACCTGCGAGGAGTCCACAAGTAGGCAAATAGCATCATAGCCCCCTGCGCCAGGGACCACACCACCCAAACAGCCTGGAAGCTCTTCGCATTTATCAAGCAAATGCTTTTGCTCCGGCGGTTCGATATCAGCCCCTGATTTTGACGTAAGCAACTGCAAGCCCTCTCTAATCGCGGCAATACAATTGGAAAGATTCATGAATAGTGTACCAGCCTCCAATTCTTGCTTGTACTTTGAAGGATTCTGACTCGAAAACTCATTCAACTTCTGTAGCTCTGCCATGAATCTACAGTTTGCCAAGTTCAAAGTTTCGTAAACTGAAACACTATCCTCATCTTTATTCCTCCAATTCAAAACTTGCGACACTAGTCTCGGAGTTTCTGAGCCGCCATTTACATCACCCATAATCAAACGAAGACCTGGGGGAAGAGAACAGCTAGAATGGACAAAATCCCATTCAGTGTTCACTATTTTCTTGATAGACGCGCAGTACTCACTGGAAAATTGCTGGTCAAGTATCTCACTAATGACCATGGGCGAAAATCTTCTGTAGATAATGGAGCCATAGACTGCGGCCGCCACATCAAAGCCCGATCCTATCTTACCTTGAGCCCCACAATGTGCTATTTGGGACACGTTATGAATGATGTGAATGATATCTGAAGCAGGCTTGGCCAAAAACGTGGCTAGCAAAGCGGCAGAAACAACCGAAACAAGACCCGCAGACAGACCCATACCTGTCTTTGAGACTTGCTCAATTGGCTTCTTGTGGTAGAGAAACATCTTCTTGGAGTTATCCGAGTAGCGCTGTTCAGTGTCATCTTGTGTATGGAATCCAGGGTCGGAAAACAACGTGATTTGGAAGTTAAAAAGCTTCTGTGGCTCGACATATGCAAGCAAAACCTTGACAGTCTCTTCTATAAAAGGATTCCTGCCACCAATTCTAGTTTTTGTCTTGAAGAAGCCTGTGTCATGAGCTATCGTATATTCCCAAAACCCATTGAATTGAGGAGAGCTGACCGTAATTTTAGAGTAAGTATCTGTCACAGGGTCCAGTTGAATCCGAGCATGCATTCTGCTGGAAAGAGCAGTCACGTAAGAATTGTATTCTGGGTCAAGGACCAAATATCCCCCAGCCACAAGCGCCTTACCAGGTGCACCAAAAACACGTGTCATGAAACAGGAACTAAGCTATCGACAGAGAAAATAAATGAAGGGATTTTAGCTGCCGCACAGCAGAATGTGTGTGGATTTGTCGGAAATGATTGTTAAGGATGTCAATGCGCTGGTGTCCGCGATCTGAAAGATCTCACGTTTGGACGCGCATCTTATAAATGCATGGGAGGGCACGCAAAAGACAGGATGGGTTTATGGTTGCGCAGTTGTGCAATGGACGCAGAGGAGCGCAACGAAGTCGCATTGTGTTTGTTCTGAACATGCTACGAATAGCTGCTATCAGTCAAAAGATCTGAAAAACAAAAAATATTGCGTTTCTTGCTTGACTTATTGGAATAAGAGAAGCCATAGCCGTCATCACAAACACCCGTGCATTTCTGAACATACGTCTGATCTGCGTTCTGTTTGGGAGGGTTCATTCTCTAGCCACTCGCTGACACATAGCTTCAAGGTACACCCTACTTCTCTAGATCGAGGAGTGATAATCCAGGGCTTTCTATCTTGCAAATTCTGCTCACCTGCTCATGATGGAGGAGGAATGGAAGAAATCCAAAACCATTGGTATCATTGGGCTCGGTGATATGGGCGCCATGTACGCAGAGAGATTCTCTAGCGCAGGGTGGAACGTCATCGGGTCAGATAGAGAAGACAAGTTCCAAGAAACTCTTCAAAAATACCGCGGTCGTAAATTTAAAGTATTGCCATCCGGCCACTTTGTGTCTCGATCAGCAGACTACATCATTTATAGCGTCGAGGCAGAGAACATTCGCTCCATCGTGAAAACATACGGACCTTCCACCAAGGTAGGAGCCATTGTGGGAGGCCAGACTTCTTGCAAGAATCCTGAGATCGAAGCTTTTCAGACTTATGTCCCTGAGGATGTCGACATCATTTCCTTACATTCGCTTCATGGCCCCAAGGTCGACAGCACTGGCCAACCTTTGGTTCTCATCAATCACAGATCGAAGTCAGAGAACTTTGAATTTGTCAAATGTATTGTATCGTGTTTGAAATCAAAGGTTGTTGAACTTTCTGCCGCGGAGCACGATCGGATAACGGCCGATACCCAAGCTGTCACACATGCCGCTTTCCTATCAATGGGAACAGCATGGATGAAAATAAACCAATATCCATGGGAAACGCCGAAGTGGATCGGTGGAATAGAAAATGCGAAGATCAATATAGCGCTCCGAATTTTTTCCAACAAATGGCACGTTTATGCTGGTCTAGCTATCACCAACCCCTCTGCACATGGACAAATTCTCCAATACTCGCGTTCGGCGACAGAGCTTTTCACTTTGATGATTGAAGGAAAGAAAGAAGAGCTCAAAACCAGAATATACAAGGCACGTGACTTTGTGTTTGAACATAACTCTGGGCACGAGTCGCTATTGTTGAATGACTCCATCTTAGAGAAGTTTTCTTTGAGCAAAACCCCTCCCACTTATGAATTTCAACCCAACTCACATATATCACTATTGGCCATAGTCGACAGTTGGCATAAATTGGGCATTGTGCCATATGAGCATATGATATGTTCTACTCCATTGTTTCGCATCTTTTTGGGCGTCACCGAGTACCTATTTCGTAGTCCGAAGCTTTTGGACCAATGCATTGAATTTGCAATACATGATACTTCATTTCGTCACGATGATTTGGAATTCACGTTTGCTGCACGCCGCTGGGCAGAAATAATTGCCCGAGGCGACTACAGATTGTATGAAAATTCTTTCGTCGAGGCGCAGGAATTTTTCAGTCCCATGATCCCCGAGGCAAACGCCATTGGCAATGAAATGATTAGAACCATTCTAGAGCGCGTGCGCCAGAGAGGCGAGGAGTAGATCACGTCGATTTACTGAATGACCGGCGCTGAGATGAAACAGGAATTAGCGATGTCGACACTCACATGATTTTTTATTTGCTATAGAAATGCATATACTGACCAACACCTCTGTTTTGCTCATACGAGATTTTTATGGCCATCAATGTTCCATGTGAGCCTCTCACGAACGAGTGATGAATGTACAACTATGGAACGAATACCCATGGTCCCGATCAAACCTATCACCAAATCAGACCGCCAGAGAGGCTCCAGCCACACAATGCAAGATTCTAGAGTACTCAGAGATCTCACTGTTATTGGTCATTTTCTTCTACCGTGTTGAGGATCGCACCCAGCTAGTACAAGGCGTCGAGACAACAAACGATTGCATCACATTTGCTCGTCTTTGATCACGTCCATCAACCAGTCCAAGCCTTCAGTTAGCCCCTCGCCCTTGATGGCACTTGAAGCAACAATACTCCAGCTACGATCCTTCAAATCTGTCAAGTTGAGAGTCTGCGATACTTCGGCAGCTGTTAAAGCACCCGGCTGGTCCTGTTTGTTGGCAAAGACGAGAAGCGCGCTATCTAGTAATTCCTCTTCTTTGAGCATCATGTGAAGCTCTTTGCTGGCCACGTCAATACGATCCTTGTCTGTGGAGTCCACCACGAAAATCACAGCCGCAGCGTTGGTATAGTAGCATCTCCAGTACGGCCGGATAGAGGTCTGTCCACCCAAATCCCAGATGTTCAAGGTCAAGTTCTTGTACTTTAACGTCTCAACATTAAAGCCAATGGTCGGTTTGGTTGTCACCACCTCGCCCATTTGCAAGCGGTAAAGAATGGTGGTTTTGCCAGCACCGTCCAAACCTAAGATTAGAATCCGGATTTCTTTCTGCACGCCCCATAGCTTTGAGAATATACTGGTGAAACTGAGAACCTGTCCCATTTCTATCAATGATGCTGCAGGACTGATATATTCAAAAGTGTCCGACTTGCTCGCTGGCCTTTTGCAAATGTTGGTGGCGGAGACGGCAGTGGTGATACGAAACGAGCCTGGCCAACAGGTCACAGTGCTGAAGCGCTGTGAGATGCACGACCGCGCGCTGCTGGAAAGATCTGATAATCTGGATGGTGCCAGGGGCAGGACAAGAAGACAAGAGGCAGAAACCGCGTGAAAGCGAAGATGGCGAAAACCCAAAGAGATTTTCTGATCCACTCCACAGGCTGGCCTTGCACCTCACGGACAAGTGGAGCGCCCGGCCCGCTACCGACCCGCGTCACGTGACCCCCTCCGCGTGACGGGCCGATGCACGGGTCTTGCATCCCCGGCTTCCTCACTTCTGCACCACCTTGTTCGCTCACCCCACGCAATCAAATCCGAGTACATCTAGACAAAAACCGGCTACTCGTTCACATCAACACCTTAAAAAGAAAACAAACACAGTCTGCAAAATGGAGCCTCGAGGAATCTTGAGAAACAAGGAAACCAAATCGGCGGAGGAGACCCGCGCAGAGGAGTTCGACCGTCAAGAGGTCATTCGCAATACTAGATTGAATGCACAGCTAGCAGCAGAGACCAACCGGGGAAAGGAGATCAGAGCCAAAATCGCAGAGGCAAAAGGAGACAGCCATGATGCCAGGGCCCTTCCGGAGCACCTCAAATGGGATGAGCTTAATTTGTATCAGACGGAACAGGAGAAGGCCGCGACCATGAAAATCGACGAGCCAAAGACGCCATACGAGGGTGGATTCGACCCTGAAGGCGAATATTACAGGGACGACGGAGATGAAGATACCGGTCCGGGTGAAATTCCCGAGCTCCTGCTTGGGGAAGGCGAGTATGACATGCGTGAGGTGCAGAGTCTGTCTTTGAATGGAGGCGAGTTGATAAATCCAGGGGTGGGTTCGCCCGACGGAGACGAGCAAGGAGACGCAGAGCCCGAAGCCCCTGCCTTGCTGGCAGAAGAGAGACACAAGAGATTTGAGGAGATGAGGAAAGCACACTATCATAATGCTGCCAATCCCCTCAAACACGAGATTGATATACCGGACGTGGATGAAAGCGAGCAAGGGCCCGATAAGCAATAGGAGGGCACGAGAGTGCCCGGAAATACGCGGCTTGGCGTCACATGATTTGAAATGATCCTCGTCGAAATCACACGTGCGGCGCTTCCCTACACCGAGGACTCAGACTGCGGCTTGCCGATCAAACCACCGAAATCAGTCCATCAGAAGCACATACAATAGTCAATATCAAATATGGCCAGAAACCCCTCCCTCCGCTCCTCGAAACTGAGCTCATGTGCATAGTGTGAGATAAGCCCTGGCAGCGACCGCTTCCATTATATGTCTATATACTCGCCACTAATTAGCGCATCGCACGTCTAGGAAAAGTACTTGACGAGGGAGGCGTTCACAGTGCCAGCAGCCGTCAACTCGCCAAAGGCGTTGGTGATCGCCACCTTGACGTCGGCAGGCTCGCCACCAACCTTGGCCGCGAGGTCGGACAATTGGACGTCGTCCAAGCTCTCGAGAAGCAACTCAAGGTCTGCGTCAATGGTGGCGGCACTGGACTCGTCGCCAAAGTAAGCCTTGTCCTTGGCAGCGCCTCTGATGGCCCTCTTGTTCTTCTTCTTGGCGGACTTGGCAGCCTCCTTGGCCTTCTTGGAGTCAGCCTTGAGCAAAGCGGCGTTCTCCTCGGCTTGCTTCTTGGCAGCCTCCTCCGCGGCCTTCTTCTCAGCCTCGGCTCTGGCACCAGCCTCCTTCTCCCACTTCAATCTTTCCTTCTCCTTCTTGGCAGCCTCCTTGAAGGCCTTGATTCTGGGGTCCTCGGCCTGCGCACGAGACACAAGCTCAATGAGGGCCTTGTTGTCCTCTTGCTTCAACTTCTTTCTGTTGGAGATGTTCTTCCGCTCGATGTAACGCTTGTGGTCTCTGTTGGCAGTGTCGTCTGGAACGTCGTCGTCCTTGAACTCAAACGTCTTCCATGAGTCAAAGCTGCCCCAGAACTTGTAGAATGCATCAACCTCCTCCTTGGATGCGTTGGCGTCGCCCAACAACGGAACAGGCTGCTTCTTCGAGAAGTGGGCGTTGGTTTCGAACACTGGGCCCCAGGCCTCGAAGAAGTCGTACGTGCTCTTGGCGGAGGGTGGCTTGACTGTGGCGTTCTCGTCCACCGAGTCGAACTGTTGCCTCTTCGAAGGGTCCAAGATGATCTCGAAAGCCTTCTGGATGATCTTGAAAAAGTCGTCCTGCTCCAAGCCGCCGGCTGCAGACTTCTTGTCTGGGTGATGCTTCAACACTTGCTTTCTGTGAGCTCTTCTGACCTGGTCCTCGGTGGCTCTCCATCTCAAATGGGACAAGCCCAACACAGCGTACAAATCAGCCTCCTTCCACTCTCTTGGGTCGTGCGCCAACAACTCTGCAGACTGCTCCTCGTCCCCCAAGTCGGCGTCCTCGTCTTCCTCCACAGTTTTCACGTTTCTTTCAGCCTCCAACTTCTCGAACTCAGACCAAGTGTGGCCTCTCAAGGTTCTGGTGGCGTGAGCCAAGAAAAACCTACCGACAGGCTCCACAGGGCGACGGACTGGCTCGGTGTAAGACTTCACGGATTCGAAAGCGGGGGTTTTGGGGCCCGAGAGGGCTGGCAAGACAATGGACATGATTCTTGATGGAGTTGGATGGTGGAGGGAAAAAATCTGAAGCGCGAGCTATAGCCCAAAGCTTGTGTGTACGGGTGTAATCTCGCGCGCGATGGGGCCATGCAGAAGGCGGGGTGGGCCATCAAGCTCATTCCAAGATGCAAGACTATGCTTACTATTTGTTAGGTTAGGATTTCATCACACCCTCGAAAAACAGATTTTTTTTTTTTGGGATTCTATAATTTGACGGTTGGACTGACAGCCAGCTGGCAGTGACTCAGTGCTGCAAAGCTAGGGTGCCATAGAAAACGTAGCCCTTGTCAGTCGTTTGGAGGGTACCCGGCCCCCATTGTCTCCCGCTAACGCGGCCAAGTTGCTGACAGAAGCGTTCTTGGAGCCAGAGGGAGACGAGTCGTTGGAAGAGTTGCGTGAGGCACCTCTGGTCGAAGATGCTCTGGACAAAAACAGCCTGTTCTGAGAAAACCCTAATTGGTTTGGACTGGAGGCACCTTTTTGCCTGGAGATGTTTTCTTCAAAACGGCGATTCACCTCTGTCAAGTCGATCAGCGACCCTGGAAGCGGCGGTATGTACTTGGGTGCAAGGGTGTCGTCTACATTGCTCTTCATAGCTTCGCTGTAGGACGGCACTTTGGACAATGCGTTCTGATCAAGGTTGCTCTCTGAGTTTACCCGAGACAAGTGAACTGGGGAGATTCCCTCCGGTGAAAGTAGTCCTGGGGCAGCCCCTGTGTGGTTTGCTTGGTTAAAGCTCCCCGAATCAGTGACAACGGGGCGCCCTTTGGAAAAGTAGTCACCAGATTCTGCCTGATCACCGTCCAAGTTAAACGTAGCTCGCCCAGGTGTTGATGCACGACTCCCTTCAGTTCCCTCTTGAAGCTGCCTCTGAATGCTCAATTGTCTCAAATTTTCCGACAATTTGGCCGTATCAATTGCTGACATGGAGAATTGCAGCACGTCCCCGGCTGGCGGACGGCTGTAGAGGGATCTTGGAGTTTGAGCTCCTGAACTCAAGGGAGATTCGATTGGCGATACATCCGTCCAAAGTCTATCCAAGACATGCTTCTCATAAACGGGCGGTGCAACAATACCGGTGAAAGACGTCACCGAATGTGGATTTGATCTCAAAGCGCTCGCATCGGTGGATGACTCTGTGTCGTTTTGACCCAGGCTTGTCTGGGATATGGCACTAGAATTGGAATGGAAAATCTCCTCTTCTTCAAATGGACCTTGGCTTAGGTCGTCTTCATCGTCTTCAGTTCTTGCACGTATTCCCACAAAGGGAGAAATGAACAATTGTACGGGAAGTGAAGCACGCAACTCTGACGTATGACCATCGGGGTTTTTCAAGCCAATGACAAATTTCAACTTGTGGCGTACTTTCAAGTGGGTCTGAATGTCACAATCTTGTGTGCATTTTGACAAATTGGGCGGTACTTTCAAAAAGGTAGTCAACTCCCACTTATCCATCTGGTAATTAGGATCATTTTCGGTAGGCGCAGGGACTATTTTCTCGCAGACCACACGCTCAGAAGTATGCGGGGGAGGACTATAACCCACAAAAGAGTACATTTCGACCAAGGTCATTTTGATCTCGCCAAGCTGCAAGCCTTTCAAAAGCGGAACAAGCATCATGCTAACTGGAGTGCCTGAGCCAATGGCAATAGCCTTGGATGGTACACTCAATGAATACTCCACCTTTTTGGGCCATGTGTTGTCCACAGCCATGGTTTCAGAAAGTTCAGCAGCGTCAGTTGTCATTGTACGAACAACTCGTGCATGCTTCTTGGTGATCATAGGGTTGTGAAACTTGCCTCTTTCGATTTGAGCCTCGAATTTGTACACGATATTAGCCCCTGGTAGACCTTCAACAGACTCTGGCATGTCTCCGGGCAAGATTGCCTGAAATGGGATTTCGTAGTTGCCTTGAACCAAAATATGGTTCCCCTTTCCGGTGATGTTGGATGAAGACGAGCTATGGGAACCATGACCTGGGGCATTCGAAAGGTGCGACAACGATGTAGATGAAATGGATCTCAAAGACATTCCTAAGTTTTTGAGTGACGTTGTCGAGCCTTTCAATGAGTGGCCCTTTGATAAATGATTGTTGTGTTTGGGAACTGGGGACAGCGCTTTGTCCCCGGGGACATGTCCAGATACATGTGTATTAGCATTTCCAGTGGCAGACGAATTGGTGTACATGTTGCTCAAATACTTGGAAAAGTCGTTGCTATCCCATGCAAACTCGTAGACCTTCTTATCAAACTTGGTGGGCCTGTTAGCTTGCGATTTGTGTGTTTCAGGCCACCGAAGACGGAGTGTTCCATACAACTTCAAAGTGATCTTTTTCACAGTAATAGGCTCTGTTACAGAGAAGACAATTTTGCCACTGACAAACGCTGAGGCCGCTGTATGCTCTGAGCCTTTGAAGACAATAACGTCATGATCCAAGTTCTTCAACCGAATCTCAAAAAGAGAGGACAGTTTACTGTTATGTTTTGTTTGCTTCGAAATATGCATGGTGCTGCAGGTGTTCAAAGATATGCTATAGGAGACCAATCTTTTCTTTCAAAGCGTGAACAGGAGGGTGTATACAAAGTGGAAGTTTGGGCGATTAGTGAACTCTGGGTTGTGAAAATGAGACTGTAGGCTTGATAATTCAGATCCCTGTAATCAATGAGACGGCTCAGACAAAGTTTGTCTGGAAGTCGTTTCCACGGTTTCAGAGCTAGTAATCCACTGATATGCAGAGAATATTTTTTTCCCCCGAGAGTTGATATCTTCATCAATGGTTGCGAGAATAAGTCATGTGATGCGACGAAGAATTTTTAGATACCGCAAGCATGATGGGACTTCAACAGGAACAGACAAAAACACTACGAATAATCAAAAAGCACAAGCAATGGTGACGATCAGCATTCTTTTCTAAGAGCAAGCTGTGTGAGCCGTCGAAAAAATAATGTACTACTTCATTAATATCTCACTTAGAGTAGAAAACTGTCTCATACTATCTCGTGAATTGCTTTTTTCGGTTTCCTCCTGTATGGAACACCCATGAGGGCCTGTCCTATGTTTTGACCAGCAGACGCGCACCGCAACTTTATCTCCGCGGTTTTGAAGAGGTATGGGCACACGCGATTTAGTCCGACTGAAAAGAAAATGTGGTTTTGAAATTGTACAGCTTCGCGTCTTCATGGCTTTGACGTTGAGTGGCCTTTTTCGGCTTGACAAACTACAAGAAAGAGTCTCGGAAAGAAGCCAGCATGGTTGGACTGGGTATTAAGTATGTAGTTTATTTTGTGGAATTAAGTTTGTATTTCACCCCAAGATGGTAGCTAGACAAAGACCGCGATTGTGTTTGTATGATTGGAAAATTGGCCTCGCTTTGAATCCCATTTGAATTGGAAATCCAAAATAAATAAATTTCAGGAGACCTGTAATGATCCGGTCGCACAGCGTCGAAGGTAGATTCATCATATGCTCGACGGCACTAAAGATCTCGCCCAATAAGATAAGCCTTTCTCCTGCAATCAATCTCGGAATATAGGAAATTCGGGTAACTTTTAGTAACATGAAGCTACATAGCCTCCCGGATTGCTAAAAGGGCGAGGCAGGTTCTGCGAGGCAACAGACCTTTTGATTCTTCCGGCTTGCCAGGGTGACGCCATTCGATGTAGATAAGTCATTTTGGCCGGTTTGCAATTCGTTAGTCTGAATGTATCACAGGTGAATTCGTGCTCTTTTGTAGATCCGCAACCCAAACCCACCCGTTGTTTTGAGTCTTCTACTACAACGCAATCTTCACACAAGAAGGCTTCGAGTTATTTGTCCGCGCTCATACTAGATATCTGATGTAAACTTGTCAAGAGCGTAGGATTTAAGAGAGGATTGACTCGAAAGCGATATTCTCATTCGGACTGCCTACATGGCTGTGTCGGAAAAGTCCCAAAGATTACCAATCACAAGGTGCCAAAGATGTTGAGGCTAACAAGTACGCCGTGCAGGCTCTCTGACTTGAAAAACTATAGAGACTATTTTGGTTCCAGCCAACCTGGGAAGGGACATACAGCAGTGTGGCTTTTGATTTTTTGGGGGGACATGCGCGTTTGAGAAAGCCCTTCTCAGCCTTCCTGTTTCAGGTGGCTGGCTTGCATAATATTTTTAGGCGAGAAAAAGGTACCGATTTAGCTGTAATGCTTCTTGAGTGTCGCATGCCGGAACTTCTTGTTATGTTTATATGCCCGCCACGGCTTCTGTCACACGCTCAAAATAGGCTGGCTGAGCTATCCCCTTCTGGCGGCTTCCTGCCGTCTCGGCATTGCTGGAGGTTCTACCTTCAGGTGCATTTATACATCTGAAGTGGCCCCAACTATCTGAGGCTTTTCTTTGATTTCCTTTCTGCTTACGGCGCCCAGAGATCTTCTCATAAGTCACATTCTATTTCTTTCGTTGACCAGAAGAGATTCAACGTGGCTGTAATCATCACCCTGCATCAACATTATTTCAACGTTCACGGAAGTTTTTTTTTCTTGTTTAGAAACGTTGGAATCTACCCTGTGTCTTGATCAAAGAGCAGAGCCCATCCCCACAGGCTGCCATCCATTCATTATCCTTTGCATATTTCTTCGAATGGAACTTTGAGTGAGCCAGAATCGCTTTTCTTTCCTTTATAAAGCTTCTGAGATTTGGTATCCTAACATACCATGCAATATCCCTCCAGCGAAACTGAGTCTGATTCATCATCTGGAGATTGCCTTTCGCCCGATGCATCGTTGGCTGACTACGACGACTATCTTTCAGTCAGTCCTCTGAGAAGCATCAAGAGAGCGAAGTCGACTCGAGATGCATACCCACCAAGCCAGTTTCGGACATCAGTGGCGCCCTCATTAAATCGAAGACCGACATACCTCAATGCCAGAAACACGAATGGACGGAGATCGAATGACAGATTTGAGTCTCTGAGGTGTGCTAGTCATGAGTGGAGTTCAGCATTTGAACCCTCTGATTGTGAGTCAGTACCTGACCTCTCAGACTCCAATTCTGCATCCGAGTCTGTTCAAAGTGCAATCACTCCAACAAAACCGATGGATTCTACCTCGTTCTCGTTCGAGTTTCTGGCGTCAGTCAAACATTTGAGCTTGTCACTTCTTGAACCAAAGCCCTCTACCAGATCAGTCCCAAAGCCTTCAATATTTGATATTCCAGAACTTGTCTACAAGATCATCGAATATGCTGACTTCCAAAACACTGTCATCCCCAAAGAGACCCTGCCAGTCCGCAGAAGACCACTTTCTTTGCATCATGCCACCCTTTTATATGACGGCGATCGTGAAAAGGCTAAGTCAGTCATGCAATTACCAACACTGTATTGCGCAAACAATTATTCTGATTATAATGCTTTGCACACCTGTTTATTGGTTAATAAACTTTTTCACCGCATTGCGAAAGAAGTCTTGGGCAAAAAAATTCTTTTTAGAAAGGAAGAGAATTACTTGAGCTTTGTGAATAGTGGAAAGGAAGTATTCGAGACCACAAAGCCACAGGTCTTTGTCCTCAATAAGTTGTTCCATGCGAGGCAGGCTTCGCTCGATAAAATTGCTGAAACCATTGACTATTCATCATTGGAATGGCTAGAAATTTTCATGTGCCCAAGACTTAAACCTTCGATCTCATTCTTGCACAAGTCTTTGAAGTCTTTGGTTGTAACAGGCTCAAAGGTTCTAGATGATTCAATGCTTGTATCTGTTGCCAAAAGATGTCCCAACTTGGAGACATTAGACGTAAGGGCCTGTGAGAGAATCACTGACTCTGGAATCTTCTCGATAGGCTCGCGCTGTCATAACCTAAGAAGTATTAACCTTGGCAGGAAAGAGAATGGACACCTCATTACCGACTACGGCGTTGTGAAATTGGCTATCAAGAATCCACACTTGCATACTGTTGGTTTGGCCGGGTGCCATATCACAGATCGCACAATTTGGCAATTAGCTATGAGCTGTGGAGCCGGGCTAGAGAGGTTGTCTCTCAACAACTGTGTGCAACTTACAAATGAATCGATACCTACTGTTTTGAGTCATGATTTAATGCCTATGTTATCTGTTCTTGAAGTCCGCTTCATAGAAAACCTCACGGATTTCGACTCCATTCTCACCTTCAAGAGAAAACAGAGTGCGAAAGGCATCAGTGTGCTCATTGAGACATGCGAAACGCTTTTGTACCGACTCCAATCCAGTGAAAAAAAGATGGACAATCACATATCTCGCAGGATTTATCAAGACATCGCAGAATGGGCAAACCGAAACGACGAGGACGCCTCTTACGAGGAATTGATCAAAGCCCGCGCGGCTAGCATAAGGCCTAGCCAAATATTTGCATGAGAGACCCGGGTCTCTCCAATTATTCAACAACCGATAAATAATTTCAATTACTTTTACTTGTCGCTTTGGCAAGCATACGTAGTGACACAAAAGAAACGAAATATGATCTTGTTCCGACTTCTAGCTCGGAGGCACGAGCTAGATTTGAGACGTCGACGTTTTCCGGCTCCGATCAATACGTTTCTTTCAGAGATATTTAAGCAGCTGCTAAACCAACAGGGTCAAACGCAACAAGGAGACATGCACACTGCATCAAAGTAAAATTTGGATGAATAGACCTCTACTGAAGTGAATGGTCGTGTGCGGATCGCCACGTGATCGTGTGTTCCGCTGCGCCCGCGGCTTCCGCGGTCTAAGTGCGGATTCTCCTACGGCACTTGTTGTTCTTTCCTAATTTGTACAGGTAATAACTGAATAAACTCTTCGCACTACGTGTCGCCTGACAAGACATTTGTTTAGTTTGGCGATAACGTTCCGGTTTCATGACTTATTAAAACATCTTTAAATGAGATCTATCATGTCAATAGACTCATATAAATCATCGATAATAGCCATGCTGATAAACGAACTGCCTATTCAAGTCAATAAGAGGCACCTAGATATAGATATTGCGGAGGAAAGCCGGGGCTTGAACAATATTCTCCTGAAACGTTTGCAAGCTAAACTTGATGGAGCTCAGAAGAATTCCCTGGTCTTAAAAACAAAGAGTCTATCCTGCGTTAATAGACCCCGTCGGCCAGGTCTTCGGACCCACACTTCAAAGCTACATCTCATAGACGATACGACCTTGACATCGCTACCGTTTCCTCCGCCGGCACCGTCAAAGCGGTTCAAACCAAAATTTCTGTCCGCATCACACATTACTCAAAACTCAGAATTTCTTCGAGATGAGAGTCAGCTGTTATACAGTGTTGACCTGGCCCGAGCTACACTTGATGGCACTCTGTTTGCTGAGTCGATCGATTTGAGTAAACAAGACACAACCATGAATGGAACGATTTGTGACTACGAAAATGACACCCTAGAAGAAACATTTGATGATTCCCAAGATCCAATTGTATTAGTGGAAGACTATATGACTGAGGCCCAGTCTAAGGAAACTGTGTTTCGCAAAAAGTCTTTGGCCAATATAAAGAAACGACTACGCGAAAAATCCCTGCGGCCCTCTTTAACCCCAAATTCTGCGTCACCTGGAAGTTTTAAAGTTGATTTTGGGCGGTGCAATCTACCACGCGTGTCCACGCCAGGCAATGAGAACTTGGAGGCCATCTTTGGAAAAATTCCTGGATCCGAGAAGCTCAAATACTGTACGCTCTGCGACAAACCCTTGTATGAAATCAGCTCGGTGCTCAGCAGCACGGAAGCCATGAATACATCTCACGCGGCCAATTTGTCTCATGCATATCAAGAATTTGTGTGCTGGGGTTGTATCGATACATATGAGGAAGTTTTCAACGAGCTTTATGAAGCGGAAACAAAACATTCTGAGGAAGTTGCTCGTCAATCAAATCATGCAATTCACCAAACATCAAATTCTATTTTGGACATAGACTATATGAGTTTGATGACCAGTGAAGAGCAGCATGAAAAGACGCAAAATAGAGGCGATTCAACGCAGCCCCAAAAGAAGCGGAAATTCTCAACAGACTTGATCTCTCGGCTTCAGCGTCTCAGCGCTGTTTCCCAACCAAAAAATGGAAGTGCAGAATGGGTCGCCGGGTGGCAAGAAAAGCTAAGACGCAGCTTAAACAATGTCTTGACCAATGCCTTTGCTTCAGATGACCAAACCTTATAAAATTAGATCAATCATGCACACTTTTGGACCATTTTTTTTTAATACCTCAGATTCTCCTATTTACAATAATATATTAATCACTCTATGGCAAATACCTGCGGAGTATATGAAACGCGACCTGTCTTTTGGCGATCTTCGCCTACTTGCGCGTTTTTTTTTCCATCTTAGGCTGACATCAACTTTTTAGCTCCACGATCCCGATGGCTGTGCGATTCACTCAACTTTCGAGATTCTACTCTTTGAAAACAAAGAACATTTTGTCCTTGGAGGAGTTCATATTTAGACAGAATGTACTTTCAACATATCGGTCTTTGATGAGAATTATCTATAAGCACCACGAACGCGCGGGATTGGCTCAGTACGCCCGAGAGGAGTTCCGCATGAACGCTAAGGAGACTGAACTAACCACAAGAAAATATTTGCTTCAGACAGGCATCGCCAAAGTTAATGATATGGCTAATGTGATGGGAATCAATGCAAAATTATAACTTCCTAACGCATTTTAAATTTTGAGGCGCGAATGCCATCCTCAAGCCTTTCCAACTGCGATTGAATGGAAGACTTGGGGAGGTCGTCCAATTTTAAAGATGCTTTAATGTCCTTGAACTGGGTCATTTCCGGGTTTGTAACAACGTGCTGGATCAAGCCTTGATGGAATTTCTTGCTCAAGGCTGTGAGCAGGTCGTCGCTCAGTAAATGGTTCATCACTTTCACCAATTCCAAGGAGTCAGTAAGAATCTTATTTGCAGCGCTTGACAAGGGTGACGTTTTCGCAAGGAAATTCAGAGAAATTATTTTGAAATCAAGGTTTTTAGTCAAGAAGTTCATGCATTGGTCTTGATCCTTGTCTACCGCGCCCTGGCTTAGCTTAAAGATGACGTGCAAGAGTTTGAAAAAATAGATCTCAGAGGGGCTTAAGGTCTTGGTGAACCGAGGATTACACATCCATTTATCAAGGAGCTTAAGCAACCTCTTCGCCTCGACATCTTGATTCTCTGCGATGAGAAGCTCTTTGAGGTAATGCAACTGCACATACTCTTTCGTCTTCTTTGACTCAAAATTAAACATGACTTTCCCCTCGAAATCGAAACCCAATTTGTAATCAGTATCGAAGTCTCTGTTATCTGAGACTTCGAATCCATCACTTAATATCTCCGCTTTTTTGTCTTTTATAAGATTCACGAAATAGTCATAGTAATTATTGTTCAACATGCGGCTGAATTTCAAAATTTGTAATACCAAAAAGTGTTTTGAGAAGGAGCTTTTGAATCTCTTGGAAAACTGATATAAGTCTTCAAGTTTTGTAAATAGACCCTTTTTGAGAGCAATACCGAAGTAAGTGTTCATTTCGTTCTCGCCAGTCAAATAAAACCTGTAAATTTTTATAAGATGATTGAGATTTTTGATTGAAGGCTCGAGATTCAATTTGTATGAAAGCGCATCGTGTTGAATCATTTTGATTTTTAAATTTTCGTAAGTTTCGATGGCCATGCTTGATCCGCAAATACACGAGTAGAGGTTAAGCAACCAAAGCTTTATATTGAAGTTGTCGGGGTCCCGTTCGGATAAACTTTCAAGTTTTATGATGTATTCTATCACCTTTTTGATAGAAACTTCATGGCGTAATGATTGAACCATGGAAGCAAGATACAAATCGTTAAGTTCTGAATTTTCGAATCTTGCAAATTTGGTCCACTCAATGTCATGCTTGTCAAATCTTGTCAAAATCTTCTCAATATTCACACATGTGGTTGCTAAGCCATTTTGGAGCTCACTTTCTTTGAAAAGCGTACTTTGCTTTTCACGAATCTTCTGCCTAAAGCACTCGCTTAGGTCAAAAGCAAGAAGGTCAGACGCACAGCACAGTTTGTCTTTGAACTCATCAAAATAGGTCTCGACAGCTTGTTCAAGACCAGAATTATAGACTCTACAGATCTCCATGTTCGCAACATATGAGTTTCTCGAGTCAAACTTAAGACGCGCTGAAAGTTCTTCTTGTGGGATCTTCAATGCAAATCCAGCTTTAATGAGGTACTTCCATGTGTCATAGTCGTTGAATTCGTCCTCAAAAAGCAATACTTGGCAATAGTGATACAATTTCTCCCAGTTTTCCGATTTGTCAAGTGCTTCAAGAAGCAAAAGCGTCAATTCAAGCTCTTTGCATTGGACAGGTTCCAACACTGAAACGATAGAGCTAAAATCTTGCTTTCTCTTCAAAACTGAAGATAATAGAAATGCCTCTTGGTTTGTTTGCAAAGGCTGTAACTTTTCCATCGCCTTCAATGCTGACTCCAAGAGCGTCTGTGCCTCCTTCTCTGATTTGGTTTCTAAACTCCTGGTCAAGTCAGCAAAGACTGATTGGAGATGATACAGCCGATTCAGAGGCATGCATTTTTTGAGAGCCGCGGCAGATCTCTGCAACATCTGGGCATCAAGAAGTTGTTGCAGTTTCTTGAACCACGACAAAATAAGGTCCGGCGACGGATATTTTTTTGCTGCGATTTCGAAGACAGATTGACCATCGTTCTTCCTCCCAAGTTGACAGTAAATTTCAAAGAGAAGATTCAAAGTGAAATGGTCACTTGGTGACTTGGCTTTGATCGCATTGCACTCATCGAGCGCTTCTTTCAAAGATCCAGTACTCAAAAGATAAAAAGCATTCAAGACACGATACTGATTTTTCTGAGGAAACCTCAGCATCTTGGAATTAATCTCACGCTTTGCATCAGCAAAGCGCTTTTCTTTGATGGCATTAACAATCTCTTCATCTGTCATAATGACGATGCTCGGGTTTCTCCACTTCTCGCCCGGGTTTTGACAATGGAGAAGTAGCACCTAAACAGGTTGTGCATACTGCCCCTTTTGGTCATGTGACCTTAGCTTTTCGGGTTCCAGAGCCTCTGCAAAAGATTCCCGTTTAAAGTTTTTTATACTCAAAGAATATTTCTTGCATTCACATCTCTTTGAATCAAACCACAATATAGTTCGGTTTTGCTCGCTGAGAGCTTCCCTATACTACCCCGCTTTACATTGGTGGTGCTTAGCCCCACCTCGGGACACGGCGGGCAAAACCGGCAAAATATTTTCTGCATATATATCAACACTTCTGGTGTGACCTCGGTAGTAGCAAAACCCCCCAAGCGGCTTTTAACGAGCCAATCCCAAAAAATAGATCCGGAATTATTACCTCTTTAAACAGCCGCTGCATTACTTTGAAAAGCATAGGATAGTACGATTTTGAATAAGGCAGCAAATGTATGTTTGCTCTGGAGGAGTGGGTACAGTGAATACATGGCCATCGTCAACGGCATCGTACCAGCTTGCATCCGTAAAGACAGCATATACATTTCGTAAAATTTCAACGGGTCTCAATAGTGGATCCTCAGAGCATGTGCATGTGGGCTTATCTTTTGATCATGACAATCAGGGAAATGCCAAGTTCTAGAATTGGCGAGAATGGTCATGTCCTGCAGCACAACTATCCTTGTGCCCTGTTTTCACGCAATTGTATGTTGTATGCACTTCGCAATATACTTTTAGGTCTGTGTGCAGAATATAGCAGACCATACATCGTCACGACACTCGCCTAATAATATTTTGTGTCCAAAAAACATTTGTTTCGGTTTGGTTGTCTCATAAAGATTCGAATCCGATGTAAAGAAGGTATTTAATTTGTTTAATAATCACCAAATAGTCTAAGTCCTTGAAACAATTCCCCCATCGTAGATTAGCTTTCGCGTTTGACGCAAGTACATATCGCTCTTTCTTGGCTGCTCTTGGCGCAGTGATTCGTGAAGTACCCCATACCTGAAACGATAAGGGATTATGGATATATAAGTACCCCAGCTGCCCCGCGATAACTTCGCATTTCAATAATTTGAGCTATAAATCAATAATCTTTCGGCCGTAATGTCCAAAGAAAATAGCAGAGAGGACATGAACCGTATGGCTGACAACCATACCGACTACGGAGATGCATCGTCCTCCTCGACAGAACTTACTAAAACCACCGAGTTTTTGCCTTACAGACTTTCTGCGGCCAAAGTCATCAGTAATTTCGGCACAGATGCTACACAAGGACTTTCGACACTGAAAGTAGAAGAACTAAGGAGACAATATGGTATGAACACGCTTGGTGAAGGAGACAAAATAAGTTACACCAAAATTTTGGCGCATCAGACATTCAATGCAATGATTATGGTGTTGATAATCTCAATGGTCATTGCTCTTGCTATCCAAGACTGGATATCTGGCGGTGTCATCGCAGCTGTGGTGGGAATCAACATCACCATTGGCTTCGTTCAGGAAATGAAGGCCGAGAAGACTATGGGCTCTCTTAGATCCTTGTCATCATCCACGGCACGCGTTACAAGAAATGGAGATGACCTTACAATTCCAACGGAAGAGGTTGTTCCAGGAGATATTGTTCATATCAAGGTTGGAGATACCATTCCAGCGGATTTAAGATTGATTGACACCATGAATTTGGAGACCGACGAGGCTCTTTTAACTGGAGAATCTTTGCCTGTTGCAAAAAACCAAGATGACGTATACCCTGATCCGTCTTTGAGCGTTCCCGTGGGTGATAGATTGAACATGGCTTTTTCATCTTCGGTAGTTTCCAAAGGAAGGGGAAGTGGTGTGGCTGTTGCCACTGCTTTAGACACTGAGATTGGAAAAATCGCTCAGTCTTTGAAATCAGACACTGGACTCATTAGAAAGGTTGACAAATCTGGCGGCAGAAAGCCTAGTTCGAAAGAGTATTCAAGAGCCTTTTTTGGAACCTTCAAGGACATATTGGGAAACTTTTTGGGAGTCACTGAAGGAACCCCTTTGCAAAGAGTATTGTCATGGTTGGCTATTGTCTTGTTCTGGATTGCTGTTGTCTTTGCAATTGTTGTGATGGCTACTCAGAAATTCAACGTGAACAAAGAGGTTGCTATTTACGCTATTTGCGTGGCTTTGTCCATGATTCCCTCTGCTTTGATTGTGGTGTTGACCATCACAATGGCAGTTGGAGCGCAAGTAATGGTCTCCAAGAATGTCATTATTCGTAAATTGGACTCTTTGGAAGCTTTAGGTGGCATTGATGATATTTGTTCAGATAAAACAGGTACTTTGACGCAGGGTAAGATGATCACAAAAAAGGTCTGGATTCCTTCAGTCGGGACATTTTCCATGGATAACATACATGATCCATTTAATCCAACAATAGGTGATTTATCCCAGTCCAAATTCTCACCATACTTCATTAAAGAAACTGATGAAGAGATTGACTTTAAGCCTGTCGAAAAAGCTGACATCGATTCATACCCGAATAACTTCAGGAGTTGGCTTAATGTTGCAACTTTGGCTAATATTGCTACTGTTTCCCAGACAAAAGATGAAGAGTCTGGAGAATTGGTATGGAAAGCACATGGTGATGCTACCGAAATTGCTATACAGGTGTTTTGTTGCAGATTAGGATATGCAAGAGAAGCGGTTGCCAGAAATTTTCAACATATCGAGGAATATCCTTTTGACTCTTCCATCAAGAGAATGACTTCAGTGTACAAAATGGGAGATGTCACGAAGATTTTTACAAAGGGAGCGGTGGAACGTATTTTGAGAAGATGCAAAAATTGGACTGGTAACCCGGAAGAGAGCACGGACACATCTGACCTCATTGAAATGACAGAGGAGCATATCAGTGAGATCGAGGCAAACATGGATGCATTATCTTCGCAAGGATTACGTGTTTTGGCTTTTGCGTCAAGAGATTTTGATGAAAAAACTGATGACTTGGAGGACAGAGAGTCTATCGAGTCCAATTTGACATTCCATGGCTTGGTTGGTATATATGATCCTCCTAGACTTGAGACTGCACACTCGGTTAAGTTGTGTCACAAGGCAGGTATCAATGTTCATATGGTGACCGGTGACCACCCGAGTACAGCCAAAGCTATTGCTCAAGAGGTTGGCATTATTCCCCACAACTTGTATCACTATAGTGATGAGGTTGTGAAGGCAATGTGCATGACTGCAATGGAATTTGATGCTTTGTCAGATGAACAAATTGACGCTCTACCTGTGTTACCCTTAGTAATTGCTCGTTGTGCTCCTCAGACTAAGGTCCGCATGATCGATGCGTTGCATCGTCGGGATAAATTTTGTGCAATGACTGGAGATGGTGTTAATGATTCTCCTTCATTGAAAAAGGCGGACGTTGGAATTGCCATGGGACTCAATGGATCTGATGTGGCTAAAGACGCTTCTGATATTGTTTTGACTGACGACAACTTCGCTTCCATCTTGCACGCAATTGAGGAAGGCCGCAGAATGGCTGCAAACATCCAAAAGTTCATATTGCAACTTTTGGCCGAAAATGTTGCTCAGGCAATTTATTTGATGGTGGGTTTGGCCTTCAAAGATGATTCTGGGTACTCTGTCTTTCCTTTGTCACCAGTGGAGGTGTTGTGGATTTTGGTTGTAACCTCTTGTTTCCCTGCTATGGGGTTGGGACAAGAGCAGGCTATTGATGGTGTTTTGAACCAGCCTCCAAATCGCAAAATCTTCACCAAAGAGCTTCTCGGCGATATGGCTGGGTATGGAGTCTGGATGGCTGCATGCTGTATGCTAGGCTTTGTGCTAGTTGTATTCGGTGTCGGTGACGGGGATTTGGGTGTTGGCTGCAATGAAATCAGCGCAGACTCCGATCTTTGTAACTTGGTTTTCAGAGGCAGGTCCACATCTTTTGCTATCATGACATGGTGTGCTCTTATTTTGGCATGGGAGTGCATTCATCCGGACAACTCTTTGTTCCATATGAGACAAGAGACGGACAACCCATGGTGGAAACAAACTTCTATCGACCTTTGGGCCAATCAATTTTTGTTTTGGTCTGTCATTGGGGGATTTGTGTCTGTTTTTCCCGTCGTGTACATCCCAGTGATTAACGACAAAGTATTTTTACATGCACCAATCGGTCAGGAGTGGGGATTTGCATTCGCCTTCAGTCTTCTTTTCCTCTTGGGTTGCGAGGCTTGGAAATGGGGCAAGAGAATTTACAAACGTAAATGGAGCTCCAAGATCAAGAACCCTGAGTATGAGTTGGAAAGGAAGGACAACTTTCAGAAGTATGCTTCTTTTTCCAGAAGCAACACTCTTGACCCAGACATGCTCGCATAATAATCATCTAATCATCTATTTCTATCTTTATATATGTATTGATACAGCATTTTCCATCTCTCTGGCTGACACAAGTGCTATCGTAATAATTGATTTTTTACTCTGAAATCTCCACCTAGATGTTCAGTTACGCCACAGTTTACAATGGTTCCTGATCCTGTGGCCTTTTCTACATCGATGACAGTAATTGACGTGTTATAAGGCACCCTGAGATCATCAGCCGTGATGCCTTCGCCCAAGCAGTATTTTCTATCTCTGTGCAAGTGATTGGTGAACACAGTGATGACACCTCCGTGGGTACAAAGCAAGATATTCTTATGTTTGTTGGACGCCGCTCTCTTCAAGGCAGAATCATAAACTTCGGACACTCTTTCGATCAAAGCTGATTCCTGCTCACCAAGACTACGGAAGTTCTCTCCGTAAGTTTGGAGAGCGTCTATCAAAGGCATACCTTGTACTTTGCCCATATCACGTTCACGCAATTTAGGGGTTTCTGAGTATGTAGCAGTATGCTGGTAGCTGAGAATGGGTTTTGAAGTATTGACACATCGGCATAAGTCAGAGGACACAAGATCATCGATCCTTACTCCCTGAAGATGGGAAGCGACCTTCTGGGCTTGTTGGGCGCCTTCTTCATTTATGTCGATGTCGATGTGGCCCTGGAGAATTTTCTTGGCATTCCAGTCTGTCCGTCCATGACGTACCACAAAAACTCTTGTCACCTGCGGATCCTCGTTTGGTTTGATTTCTCTGGTCATTGGTGCTGGCATCAACCGTTGCCGAAGCTCTGAGATTGTAATATGATACCACGTGACCTTGTGGCGTGTAGATAAACTTGTTCTGTTTCAATATATCCCAGGTTTCCGAGAAGGGTAATAACACAAAAAAAACATCGGCTCTATTTTTTTATGCCTTTTTAGAATATGCCAAAGATTCGGATTTTGTCAACATAAACAGTTGTGTGCCTATGCGCAGACAACTTGTTCAAGGCCTGAGATTTCAATCAAAAGTTCAGTGGCCTACTACGTGCAACATGGTAAAAACCAGAGCTTTCTTATTGTTTTCTGTCTTTGCATTAGTTAGATGTCGAACTAAAGATTTTTTTGCGGTCAGAGCATGCAATTCATTTTTGAGGTGATACCTGAAAGGGTATCAGGTTTTTTTTGTGTGATTGATTCTTGTTTGAGAAATTCACTTTGAACCTATCTAATTTGAAAATATACATGCTCAAGTCATACATCTCAAGTCATACAGGTGTATTCAGCCAGTTTTCTTGCTTCTTGGTAATTTGTGAAGAATTCAGCTCAATTCTTTTTTTTTTTGAAGCGAAAACATATTTCGTCATCACTAGTTGCCGTAACACGTTATTAGCATCATTGGAAACAATTTGAAGCATGACATTAAGCAATGAAAATCCTACAACATCAGCTCTGAAATAAAATTATCTTGAACGAAAAATATCATTAAGAACAAAGACGGTGTACTCGTTACTGGCGTGTGTATTTGTGTAAAACATATACATGTCCGTTATTCGATTTTCTTCCCCGACAAGTCAGACATTTACTTCAAGCATCATATTGTGTGCATGTAAAGTTAATTCCGAATGTAGAATCGGTGGCTTGAAGGAATATAATATCATGTGAAAGCAAAGGGACAAGACGAACTTTTCAGAGATCTTCAAGGTCTCACATACAGCAAGAACCCACTCTTATTCTCAAATTTCGTGAACATTTGGGCTCGATGGTTATCGAGCTGTGTGTTCCAATATACTTTTTTAACGCCCAATCTGTCCGCTTCCAAATACACAAAGTCGATCAAACTGCCACCAATTCCCCCTCGTCTACATTCGTTGCTGACGAAAAAATCATTTAAAAACAAGGAATCTTCTATGGACCAAGTGTCTCGGTGGGTTAAGTAAGTGGCAAAACCAATTAGCCGCCCGGTGTCGTCGACTGCAACTGCAGCATAAACAGGCTCATTTACATCCAAAAAGCGGCCAAAGGTTGTCTTGGTGATTTCGGGGGTCACCACTGATAAGGCATGATATAATTCCAAGTAAGAATCTTCTCCGTACCACAACTGGAACCATTCCTCTTTATCATCTGCTGTTATTGGTCTTATTTTAAACATCACGTAGTCATGAACATAAAATCTATACTGAACTGACGACGAACGTCTTTTAATCAATATATAGCCAGAGCACTTCTGATAAGGAAGCCGCAGAACAATCACCGCATGTGACTTCCACATTGGGTATCAAGGCGTGAGTATTCAGCTTGTCTCAAAAGGCAGTTTGGAACATTGGAATAGAAGAGGGCAAGTCCTCATTTGAACAGAGATTCTACGCGTGCATCAGCAGGTTTGAACACAGAACAGGATAAAAAGGAAAAAAATATCCCTCGTACGGCGTTTCAGGTTTGATTTGGGCGAGCTACGCGGGCGAGCGCCTCGTGACCAAAATGCGAGTTTATTATGTCCGTCTCCTCTTGCGTCGTAATGCGCTATACGTCTCATACCGGCAAACTGAAAAAGGAAGTGTACTTGAAAGAGATTTGTAATGAAGGCACCAGGTACCAGACAAAATGCGAAGCGAGTTTTGTTGGATGTCTCATTATTTCCAATTTGGCGCTTCATCAAAATACGAGTCTAGGCTGGGCGCTTGCCATGCTCAGATACTCAACAAATACGAGAACCTACATGGCTTGCGGCGGGTCGTGGTCGACTTTCAAAACCGAACAAGATCTTACGAATCAGATGATTAAACACGCCCAGAATTTTTCCGCAGGGAGGAAACTCAAGAACACTCTTGTGCGGAGGATAGACCGAAAATTCCCTTGAGTAAGACCTGGGCCCCAAAAAATGAGTCTTTGGCGAAACAAGCCGAACATTGTGTGCAAGACTTCAGTGGAGATGTGCGTGTATGCAGTAGATGTCCTCGTCGCGAGAGGATTCGCGGTCTGTCTCCAACTTCCCCAGATTCTTAGACCCACCGTGACATGGTCTTCCTGCGTACCTTACAAACAATCCCGTATTTCACAAGAAAACATTATGCCATCCAGCAACATCCAGTTGTATTGAGTGTAGCTAGAAATCATTCAAATCAAAACTGTTTTTTTCTATGATTCCGATTACCCAGAGAGAGACCAGAAAAAGAGGCAAGTACGGCAGACCATGCGATCGCTGTGCCGCGAGGCGAATCCGATGTCTCGTTTTGGAAGACTCTCCGTTTTGCATCGGATGCCTAAATCTGGAAGAAAAATGCACAAGAGACCGAGTAAGAAAAAAGTCGGGGCCCAAAAACGGCCGTCGCACCCGTTCTTTCAAAGACCTGTCGGTGGAATCCAATGACTCTGAGTTTTTGGATACGAATCCAAACAACCACCAAACCAGTCAATATCTGAATGAATGCCAACCAGGAGAAGGCGCACTTAAATTTTCAAACAGTGATTCCCTTCTGAACATGAACGCCTATGGAATGCCCTCTCTTCCTGTAAGTCCGAGGATTATCTCGGATATCCGCCATGTGTTTGGCCCAAATGCAAGAGCCCCGCACAGCCATCTGTTAAAAACACCCAACGGGATCGATATTCAAAAACAAGAATACGTGAACCCAAACTCCAATATCATGGCGGGATGGAGCATTGTTCATCCGCAATATCTGATGTACCCACAGTACAGCATACAGCCCTCATGGTCTATGAACTATACAGCACCTATCCAGGACACAGGGCACATCCCGTTCCCATCATATGAGGAGCATCCAATGAATGTTCCCATTTTTGCGGAACAGAATATCATGCACAACCACAACTGCAACACCGAAGCAGGTCTTTTAGACACAGAAGACCATGGTGATACTACATCAGCTAGCCCGTCGCCTTACATGGGCAAAATCTCTACTGATCATTTGATTCTGCGGATTTATTTATATCAAAAATGGTCCTATGAGTACTGGCCCTTACTATCGCTGGGTGAATTGGTTCAAAAGCTATTAAATGGGTCCCGACTGAATACTACAAGTGGTTATATCATACTCAATAACGAAAATGCCATGTTTTACGCGCTTTGCTGTTCTGTTAGTGCAGCTGTCACCACACAACTTTCATTTGTTTCGCCCGAAAATGCGGTTTTAGACCAGAGCTTTATATCCAGCAATGACTTTGCAGATGAAGCAAAACGTGTCCGGAATCTATTTGATTACACTGAAGAAATCGGAATCGAGGATTTGTTGTCGTCCTTCTTTCTCTTTGCACACTATATCAACGTGAAGGGCAGGTTGAGTCAAGGAAAATTGTATTTGCGCGAGGCCATCTCGATAGCCCAGGTTTTGGAGCTTCATGACAAGAATCATTACGTTGGTATGAGTCGTGCTGATATTCATCTCCGACGCAAAATTTACTACATACTTCTCGTTACAGAAAGGTCTGTCTGCTTTGAAGAAGGCCTTCCTGTGATCCTTGATCCGACTATCGAGTTCCCTGAATTGTTTGATGATGAATATCCTGACCTATTAGTTGGCTTCACAGAACTTCTAAAGGTCTTTTCTGCGCCGAGAAAGGAGTTTTTCTTTGAAATGAATCAGAATAAACAGCGTGAAGAGGGATCTCTATGGGAGAAACGCCAGTGGATACTTGAGGTACAAGAGAGACTTGACTTATCACGTCAGCTTCCAAGAAATGTGACCAATCCTCAAAAGCTAAACATAATTTTATCAAGAGCATGGATACGTGCCATAGCATGTCATATCACATGGAAATGCGGCATGATTCGACCCCTGGAAACCTCGCACGACTGCTTTGGTTTCGATTTTCCACTAGTGAATGCACAGGAATTTTTAGCGGAGTCTGCACATTTGCCAAAAATGGCCTTTGAAACCAATGGGAGAGGTAGCTGTGTTAAATTACTAGAGATGGCAAACTCTTTATCATTTACTGTACAGCAAAGCCTGGACCAGTTAGTTGGATTGACGGTGCTTGAATCTCTTTTTGGTCTCGTGAACAAATTCAAAAACGACGTATCTTTGCCAATCAAGGTCTATCAAGGAATAGCCATTTTGATCGCGAGCCAAAAGCTCAGAGTTGTACCTAGACTACTAGAAAACCAAGAGCCTGGATATGCACCGCGTAATTCACAGGGGGGAACAATTGAAGAGCTTTTTGAAGATGATGTGCATGCGATGGAGGACGTGAAGGAAGGCGATTTGCCAAATAACGGACTTTCGCCGTTTTCTCGACAAGTGTATGACAAGGGAATGTCAATGTTGACATCTGTCCCGAGCTTCTTGGATATGCAATACCCTCAGATAGAAAGGACGATGCTTAGCCAAGGCTTATCACTTTCAGATTAGAGAATTGGAAATATGTGTATATGTATGAAAAGTTCCAGACTGGCGAGTGCATTTAGAATACATCCAAAGACAAATAGTACTTATTAGCGATATATGAATCTACCTGGTTTGAGGATAATCTCTGGGAACAAAACCACATATTCAGTATAACGTTTTGAAGATTAGGAACTGGAATTTGATTGTAATGCTGGTACATTGTAGGTTGCTGGGTGTCTTTAAAACACAATTACTTGTCGGGGCTTCAATTTTCTGTTAGAATGAAGCAAAAAGTGCACCCCGTAAGCAGTGAAAAAGTAACAAGTCAATTCATATGGTCTGTGTTTGAAGTGTGTGTTTTTATTTTTATAAGTTTGATATATCTGAATCTAAGTAGCGAGGATTTAGTTCAGCATGACAAAAAATATAAGCAAAACCTTGTACTGCTCTATATTTCAAAGCATTTTTGATAAGAATAACGACCAAACCAGATTTTGGAGACATAGTCTATTCAAGTTGTGGCAAAGTTTTATCACGTGGCGAGAAACATTAGTAATGTGAGTTCCTTGGGTGTTAACAGGTATTCATGGGTTCGTCAGAGCTGTGAATAATTATCTGAGTAAATAATTGATGGTGCTTGAGGACAAATTACAAGAAAGTAGTTTCAAACGATGCTCTCAACAACTAAGTGTAATTAGTGTAATCAAGACATGAATAGTAGCCCCGCACACTAAATCCGCTATCCGCCTGGCTCTGACAGCATCATTGCGAGCGAGACTGTATATAAATGAGGACTGACCGAGGAGGAGATCTCATCGCTGTTCCAAAACGTGTGCTTCATCTAATACACACTTTTCCCAAACTTACAGAAGATCTGGGTCATTTGTGTATATTTATAAGGGTCCACAATTGTCAAACATGTTATGAAGACTTGTCATGAATGCAGATATAGCCTTTATTGTGAAGACTTGTCCTTGCTTGCATATACAGTGGAGCTCATGTACAAAAGGTTCTTTCGCAATTTCGCAATGATTTGACCTGCAAGTGATACCAGCCAGCTGAGACGTAAGACACGTATTGCATCAAAGGCAGTCATCCGATTTTACATCCTTCTCTCGAATTCTAGCCGGAAAGTTTCGGCTAATTTTTTATATGGTCCCTTAGAGCTTCCATGAAAATATCTGAGGCTTCTGCGAATCAAACTCGGCAATTTTTTTCATGGATCCCACGAATTTGACGGTCAGCTGCACGTCTCAACAATAGAAGAGCAAAACACATGATTTTTTTGCTACGAGTGTGATGATTGGAAGCAAATTTGAACTGCCTAAAACCAAAACAAAGGGTTCGCCCTGATCCCTGTGCATTTGCCTGATGTGGGGGCGGAAAGTTTTGGAATTCCGACTGTTCAAAGTAAACGGATTTGACGCGACAGATTCGTAAATCCCCGCAAAAACAAATTCCCCGCGTGATAATTATTCCGAATACTGGGGCGGAAAGATTAGTTGCGTATGGCGGAGAGCGAGCATGAACTCATCTATATACACACCGCAAGCAGAGTGATTTTGAAAGGTCGGTGTTTTGACTGAGATCAAACGAGTATTCGCCAGATAATATGACATCTTACTTGAAAAATATAAAACAGTAAAAATTGCAGTCATAAGGAGGAAGCTCAGCTTTATTTCAGGCATGTGTGTTTCATCTTGTGGAGTGAGTCCAAAGTTTACGAGACTTCATCCGTTCAAACACGGCTTTGCAATATCTGCATATAGAATGCATTGTTTCGTGGGGTCGAACTTCCTTCTAGCATTCCCGTTGAATCGGGCATGGGAAAACGCACCAGTATGCACAAGGCGCCACGAAAGCAAGAATTCAGTTCTCTCTATTTCCACATCTAGCCATCTCTCGGAATCTATATATAAGCTTGCTTTGTTCCTGGAATCGATCGGGATTTTTAATTTTCAGTAACAAAGAAGAATACTCTACCGGACAATGACTGACCCAAAGAAAGCACAGGCCCCAATGTTGGTTGAGACCGAGAAGGTCAAAACAAATTCCAACGACTCTTTAGACGCTGAAACTCAAGACTATATCGCAAAGTTCTTGGACATTTCACAGAATGCAAAAGAAAATGACAAGCAAGACAAGCACATGTCCTTGAAGGAAGGCTTGAAGACATTCCCTAAAGCAGCCATGTGGTCTATACTTTTGTCCACAGTGATTATTATGGAGGGATACGACGTCAATCTTCTCAACTCGTTTTACAGCTTCCCAGACTTTGTCGAGAAGTTTGGCCGGTACTATCCAGAGAATGACTCATATGAGATCCCCGCCAAATGGCAAACGGCCTTGTCCATGGCAGTGTACGTTGGTGAGATTATTGGCTTGTTCCTAGCCGGAATTGTGTCAGACCGGATTGGATACCGCAAAACTTTAATGGGATCCTTGGCTATGGTGACTGGTTTCATCTTCATTGTTTTCTTTGCTCCGAACGTGCAAGTTTTACTCGTGGGAGAAATTTTGTTAGGCTTGCCTTGGGGTGCTTTCCAAACTTTGACAGTCTCTTACGCTTCTGAGGTATGCCCAACTGTTTTGAGATTGTATTTGACAACTTACGTGAATGCGTGCTGGGTGATCGGACAGTTGATTTCTTCTAGTATTTTGAAAGGAATGCTTAATTCTAATATCGAGGATTCATACCGGATTCCGTTTGCGTTGCAATGGGTTTGGCCCGTCCCCATTGCAATTGGTATCTATTTTGCACCCGAGTCACCATGGTGGTTGATGAAAGTTGATAGGGCGAGCGATGCTAAGAAATCACTTATGAGATTGCTCAGTGAGAATGAAAACACTCCAGACAAGGAGATTTTGGCCAATGCAATGGTCGACAAGATGCTGATGACAATCAAAGAAGAAGCTGCAGTGCAAGAAGGAATTTCTTACTTTGACGCTTTCAAACCAAACAATTGGAGAAGAACGAGAGTAACTTGTATGACTTGGTTGGTGCAAAACATTACTGGATCTGCTTTCATGGGATATTCCACATATTTCTACCTCAACGCCGGCTTGTCAACCTCCAATTCTTTTACCTTTTCCATCGTTCAGTATGTGTTGGGTCTCATTGGAACCATTTTGTCGTGGTTTCTTTCCCAGAAGTTTGGTAGATTTGATATTTACTTTGGTGGTCTCTGCGTGCAGTCAGTGCTTTTGATAGTCACTGGGTGTCTTGGTACAGTTAATTCTCCTGGGGCATCTTGGGGAGTCGGGTCCTTGCTTTTGGTCTTCACGTTTGTATATGATATGTCTGTTGGACCTATCTGCTACTGTTTAGTGACCGAGCTTCCATCAACTCAATTGAGAACCAAGACGGTTATCTTGGCAAGAAATCTTTACAATCTTTCGGGCATTGTGATTGCTATAATAATGCCATATATGTTGAACCCTACCGCATGGAACTGGGGGGCAAAGACGGGATTTTTCTGGGGCGGCTTTGCCGTCCTTTCTTCCATCTGGTGTTGGTTTGAATTGCCAGAAACCAAGGGAAGGACTTTCGCAGAGTTGGACAATTTATTTAGCCAAGGCATCTCCGCCAGAAAGTTCAAGTCTACCGAGGTGGAAGTCTTTGATGTTGGCCACATGATGGAAAAAATCGGTCAGGATGGAATCCGCGGGGTAGTCGAAGATAAAAAAGCTGATTTCGGACACGTTGAACGTGTTTGATTTGGTTGCATTACGTTAGACTTTCCAATTCGTTTCAATTCTTGATATATAGAAAATAAAGAGTCGCGTTCGACAGGCTTTCTTTTTCAGTAGGCACACAACGCAAGGAGAAGTTGTGCGTACTTTACAAACAGCAATGCACGCAAGTTGAATGGTAATAATGCAGGGAAGTACAGAATAGATGGACAGTTCTTTGGTCACACGTCGTCGTCTTCATCCTCGATATCGGTCTCGAGATCGCATATTGAGCGGCAGTTGGGGCAATAGAACTGAGGGTAGCGCTTTATGATGATAGGACGGATGCATTTATAGTGCCATGAGTGGGAACAAGGACTGATAAACACGGCTTGACAAGGCTCTAACTTCAACAAGCATATGGCGCACTCAGAAAACACCTCTCCATTTTCATTTGTTGCATCAATCCCAAGATTCTTCATCTTCTTGTGGATATCTAGATTGAACCTGTTCACTTTTCTCTGCCAGCTGCGGTTGAACTCGCATCTCATTCGTACAGAGCGGTATACTTCCTCTGTACCTCCTCTATAGTCTAGACCCAACTGTACGACATCACCGTCCATAAGTGGCCATAGCGTCAGCTCTTGCGAGGCCAGGGACAATCTGATATTGTTGAGGAAGGTTCCAGACGATGATTTGCAGTCTTTCAAGAACCACAGACCCTCTTCGTTGCACTGGAACAAAGCGTGAGTTCTGGACACAACCTTAGATTTGAAAACAATTCGAGAGGAGGACCCTTGTGGAGCATGCGCAGCACTCTTGTGTTTTTCAGTGTATCTTCCGATCGAGATATCCTGTTTCGGCTCTATGCGGCGTATGATCGGAGAAAAGTATAAGCCAGTGTTGGGCGCAGAATGATCAATGATGGGCGTTAAGCGGACCGAGAACATGCCATCTTTGTCCTTGTTGTTGCTATCTTCTTTCTCTGGGGCTGAAGAGGATTGCTCGTTTTCAGCAATACATGTGATATCAGATGCCTCCACCGTGGTGTTGTCCCTGGACACAAGCGGCGGCTCAATTGACGGGTTCGAAGGGGGCGCATTGCGGGACCTGGCCATCAAATTTCCCACAAGTGTATTTTCCACGGTCGTTTCCGCCCCTGCGTAGTTGTTCAAGTTGGCAAGGGTGGGGCTGTTGGACATGAACTGATGTGCCTGTGGCTCTGCAGGTGCGCTTGGGGCATGAGAGTGACTGGAGCCACGTATGGTGTTAGAGAGGGAGCTAAAGAAACCCAAGCCGAAGGACGGTCTGCGTGAAACTGGCTGCCCTGCACCAGGCCGTGTCTGAGACGCAGAGGGCAGAATCGAGGGGACCGACAGGTCGGTCCTTACTCGGCGCAGGGAAGCGCCGGACAGCTGAGGAGGCCGCTGTATGCTGCTGCCCGAGGTCACAAGGTGCGGGTCGCTTTGGGAAGAAGTCAGTACGAGCGGCGGCGGCAAAGCGCCTTCGTCCCGAGAGTCACTCAGAGGGTCTGAGTCAGCGCCGCTTTCTCCATTGGAGTGGTTGCCCCGAGGCGGAGAGCTCGTGAGCGAGTTGTTGGGCGAACTTGGCGGCGAGACTATCGACGCTTTTGCGGCAGAAGACCCGGCACGGATCGATTTTTCTCGCTGGGAAACTCCGTGATCTTCAGACATGAGGGGTGAGGGGTGAGGCGTCACAAAAAAAAATAGCGGCGGCGGGTATCTCAACAAGAGATCAAAAAAGACGAGGAGCCCGGGACACAAAACAGTGATGGAATGAAGCTAGCTGATAATGCAGGCACTATTAGGAGGATAACCAGCAGAGGGAGCTTCTAGGCAATATATGCGTGTGGCCTGTTTGCGTGAAGAAGCCGGTGTACAGGCTTAGTGTGGGCAAAAAAAAAAGAACGAAACACAGCAACTCGTGTTGGAGCCAGAATGTCACGTGTCGAGCAGAGCTATGTGAACCAGCCGCACGTGGTAAAATGTAAGCGTTTCTTCAGGCAAAACGAACCGAATAAAGGGGCGTCCAGCGGGAATGTGTGGGGAACGGGCGGGAGAAAACGAGATAGTTTTGGAAGATTCGCGCGAGTTTTGAAACCAGGGAGGCTTTTCTAGGGCGCGGACTGGAGTAAGCCCACGCGGAGGTGGAGATTCCAGGAACAGGCGCTCGGACGGGAAAAAAGACGTATGCGGTGGCCCCACGATAAACATATACGAGGGCCGATACGCGCGTGGAGCGGGTTTGGATTTCCTTTTATCATCTGTTTTTTTTTTGTTTTTGTTATTATTTTCTTTTTTCATGGGAGCACATAAGGACAGTCTTGACCGTGGGTTCCCCAGCGCAAGCGCTTCAGCGCTTGTTTTCCAATTCTTAGTCCGTGAAATATTGTGCTTTTGATCAAAGTTTCGCCTGGCTGATTGCTGGCCCAGCTCCAGGCGAGGCAGGCTGAGACGGGACCAAGCCAGCCTTTCGCACCCAGCCTCGGCTGCTCGGGCCTCTAGGAAACAAGCTGTCCTTATCGGAGCAACACCCCATGCAGTTTTTGCCGTTTTTATATTTTTTCATAAAAGCAAGCGCCTGCACGGGCTCTTCATTAATAAGTCTGTTGTTCTTAAAGTTGCCCGTACTGGTCGTATCCCTCTTCAAAACATACGCTGTACACCAGGGTGTCTAGATACGGCCGTGCTCACTCTAGTAGTTAGTCTTCTCGCTCACCAACCGAAGCAAAACCTGCTGCACGTTGTTTCTTCCCTTGGGACTCTCCCAGATGTAGTGCCCCGAAGTTTCGGCGACCACCCATTCAAGACACTTACTGCTGATCTTCGTCAACTCCCTCTGCCACTTGCCCCAGTTAAGTGACTTCTTGATCATGAACTCGGACAGAATCACCGAAAGCGGAATGCTGCCGACATCGGCAGTGTGGACTTCGTTGTAGGATAGCACTGACGCAGTGACCTGCTCTTGAAGTCTGGCCCTCAAGTACTTGGAACTGTGGACCATATCCCTTCCGAATATTCTGCTTTTTGACAGATAGCTTTTGGGATGGAAGAACCAGTGGATGCTTCTCACAACTCCGAGAGGTGACACAACTCCTCTGACCCACACCTTGAACCCCTGCCACGAGTCCATTAGTTCCAAGATGTCCCTGAACGTCTTTCTCTTTTCGTTTTTCTTATTCGGACCACTAAAAGGCCAATGTGTGAGCAAGTCTTCATGCCAGCTATCCACCAAAAGCATCGAGTGCATTTGTCCAGCGTTTCTCAGAGCAAACACCTTGGAGTACAAACCACCAACATCAAATCCCACAGCACTGTAGGGTCCTTCAATCCCTTCCTTCTTCAAGGCTTCCATCAAGTACTCCACAATGATCCCGACTGAAGTGGGCGATGACGCACTATCAGAGAACCCATACCCGGGCCGGTCCCAGATACAATATCGCTCAATCTTGTTCATATGATATAGTTCTTGGATCCATTCTTGAAACTGCTCCGAAGAAGTGTGCTGGCCACCTTCGACCAAGACAATCGGTTGTTTGGGCTTAGATGGTTCAGATGGTTTGGAGTCAGCAGTTCCGTTGGACCCGGAGCTTACATTCCCAAAACACGCCAAATGGACTTTGAACTGGTCCTCATTAACAGGAATCATTTTACCCCACGGCTTCTCGTGCGAGTCGAAGGCCAGGAGCCACAACGTTAAGCTGATGTTCCAAATGACGAGAAGAAGCAAGAACTTCAGAAAAATCTTGATTCCGGTGACACAGATCTCAAACAATGATTTGCGCTTCTCAATTCTCCCAGTGTACCTAATCTCCTGCTGAGCCTTGCCCTGCTCCACCCAGAAATCAGCAAAGCAATTCAAGAGTAGGTTAGCAAGAACCCAGAGCATGAGCATGTTCCCAAACAAGCCGAAGCCATCACGTAAGTCCGGTACCGAAACAGCCACAACCACATCTAGAGCAACGAGCGCAAAACTGATGTATCCCAAGATACGCTCATAGTAGGCGGGCACCGAAAAACACCAGAGGGTGATTGCACCAGTAAGGATGCAGAATATAACAAGGTCAAGCTCCAAAAACGACTTCCCTCTTGAGTTGATGCCCGGAATTGAGATGAAGTCAGACACCAACACTAATAGAAATAGCCCGGTATTAAAAAGCAAGACTGTCCAGAGAATCGACCTGAGTAACTTGATGCGCTTCAAATTGAGAGGCGAGACGCGCGGGTCATCAGGGTCTAACAATTCTTCATTACCACTAAGTAATGGCTCACGTTCGGAGAACACCCTCTTTTGGTGTTTTGGGCTCTGGGCGCTGTCTTGCCGTTGTGGGGCTACATGTTCACTCGAGCCATTGTGCTCAGGGCCAGGTGATTCCAGCATAATACTATAAATTGTGGAGGCTCTCCCGCAAGTGACTCAAAAAAAGACTCAAGTATTGCTCGCGACTCTCGCATGTGGGTCACTTGCGTAGAGCCGAACAAGAAATTGGCAGGAAGAGCAACCCACTCTCAATGCGTGGCGGTTATGAGTGATGGGGCTTGAAGGGGCAACTCCAGACAGGGCGAAGAAGGGATTGATCGGTCACGTGAGAGAGAAGAAATCAGTATCCCCAGCAGAACCGTGTAGTTGAGCGGCAAAGCTGAAAGTATGAGCTCTCTTGAAGAGCTTTAGAGACCAGGTACCCAATAACGAAACGTGTCTCATTTCTACCTTTTCTTGTTTCTTTTCTCCCTCGTTTCTGCTCTTCCTCGTTTCCGCTTATTCTCGTTTCTGCTGCCTTATCAGGAAGCATGAGGGCCGCGCGCAAAATATGAGTCGTGTGGGTTCTTGAACGGCTCGACCAAAATGGCATAGCTGGACAATCGTCGCATATACCGAATAGCATCTACCAAATAGAATACACCAGGTGTGGAGGAAAAACGCATACTTTCGAATACCCAGGTCTGTTTGAAAGCGAGAACTGGGCGTTCCATGATGTCGGTGATTTCTATTCCTAGCTACAAAGATGAAAACGGAGTTGCGTACTATGATATAAATGTGCGCTTACCTCTACGATCCATTACGACGTCAAAAAGATACTCTGACTTCGTCTCCTTACAAAAGTCCATATGTGCTGAATTGGGTATATCGCAGGCAGACTTTCCTTATTCTCTTCCCCCCAAAAGTGGGATATTTGCCAATAAGCATGCAGTTGCCCTTGAGAGACAAGCCACGTTGGCTGAGTTTTTGGAACGTCTCATCAAGGACCGTGATATGCAAAACAGTGAAATTCTTCATGAGTTTCTCGAGCTTCCCCCGAAATTTAAATTCACTTCGGACTTTTTCAAGGATGGAAATGAAGACTCGAACCCAGATGAAAAGTTCCTCATAATAGAAGACTCCCAGCAGATCAGTCGGATGCAATGGCTAACTTATCTAAAAGCTGTGCGTGTGGTAGTTGAAAGCTTGGAAAACAGCGGTCATTTAGCAGCCAAATTGGCCAACCGGGAGAAGGCTACAAAGTACATTCGTCCTAATATGGAGAAACTCACGGAAGCCCTTCAGCACATGTCTCAAGAAGACATCATTTCACCCCTGGAATTCAAGCAAAGAACTTCAATGCTTTCTTCATTGCAATCTCAAATGGAACAACTCGTGATGGATAAGCCTTTCGCCTCTTCGCCTGAAACAAATGTGAAATTGTCGAAGAGGGTGTTCTATCAAGCGTCAAACCCACCGATCGAGACACCGAAGACTCTTCCTTTGTCCAACAAAGCCCTACTTCAACATCAGCAGCAAATACATACAGACCAGGATAGAGAATTGGAAGCCCTCCGGAAAATAATTGCAAGACAGCGAGAAATCGGAGAGACAATCAACAAGGAGGTGGAAGAACAGATGGAGATTCTTGATTCATTCTCCAATGAAGTAGATACCTCTGGAGACAAGATCCGGTCTGCAAGAGAGAGAGTCAAGAAAATTACCTGAAGTGAGAGAGCCTAATGCACCAACAATATGATATGACATCTTATTGTTTATTACTTGGCCATTGTGTATTTTTTTGATTAGGAACTTCTGACCGTATACCCAGGAAAGATGCAGTTCATACATTCTAGTAAGAAAAGGAAAAAGAGAAAGGAAAGGAACTAGGATGAAGCCATTATAAAGAACTGCAAGTGATGGTGGTTGAGCAATAAGAAGGGCAGAGAGAGCCGGCTCGCAACTTGTATTTCGAAACCGGGTAACCGCGCCTCGCAAAAATATAAGAAGAAAAAAGTTCTCGGTTTATCAGCAACGACCAACTTCTTTTCTCCAAGATAAATGGTATGTTTTACAACACAAAAATGCAGTTAGAAGATGAGAACACTTCGCGATAATTGAAAATTCATGAGAATTCAAAAAGTTTACACCAAGATCTACGCTGATTAATTGCACATTTTATCTATTCGGACTTGAAACTAACATCAAAAGGTTTACGGGCAATTCAAGATGCCACATGTCCACACCGGTTTCTTCTGTACTCTCAAATTGGTGCATGCATTCAATTTCACTACTCTCTATATAACCCTGGGTATTCCCTCTGCATGATCTCTCCCCACTTGCTTATTCCCTCCTCTATCTCTTCCTCATCTAGGTACGCCACGCAAAGCCTGGCGCATTTTTTGCCCCAGCCTTTGCTGTCGCCCTCGACTTCAAAGTGATGTCCCTCGGCAATCAGTACTTGGTGCTCATCGCGAAGGATTTCTAACGTTTTACCCACATCCACGTCCTCGGCATCGATAGTGCACCACACAAAGTAGCCCCCTTGCCCGCCACCGATCTTCAAATATTTGGCAGGGAGATGCCTCTGTAATGCCGAGACAAGAGCTTTGGCTCGGGCTCTGAAAGCCAAATTCAACCTTGAGATGCATCTGTCTAAATCGCCGGTCTGTATCATATTTTGGACCACGCAGATATTCAACTGCGCAGGAGTGCCACCAGACTTGTTTGAGCCAGTTGTTGCTAACTGCTGGGCCAAACACGGCGTGGCAGTCTCTTGCCACCCCGTCCGGAGTCCAGGGGCGATCAATTTGGAGAACGACGAGTTCGAAACAGAGTTTCCATAGACCCAGCCATCAGGCAATGTGTCTTGGTCGATGTGATTGATTTTAGGGAGCTTTGGGGTTTCGAGTCCAAAATCAAGGAGGTCATAGACATCATCGGAAATCAACAAGACGTCATGCTTGCGTGCGATTTCGAGGAGCTTGGATCTGGTTTTTGTTGAGTATGATATTCCACCCGGGTTTGAAAATGTTGGCACCAAGTACATAGCATATCTGTAGAACTTCCTCGGGCCTCTCTGCGTTGGGTCATGTATGACATTGATCTCCTTAGCAGATACAGCCTCAAGACCGTGTTTCCGATCAAGCTCCTGCAACTTTTGCTCAAGGCCTGCGATGTCGATATCATACTCTTCACCAGCAGTCTCCATAACAGCAGACATTTGGCCTTCAAAGCCAGCATCGATAAATGCATAATTTATAAGAAAGTAGGTCGGTGATACCAAGAACACATGTTTGGTGATGTTCGAGCGGGTGCAGGCCAATAGAATGTTAGCTGCCCCACAAGAAGAGCCAGCGGTCAAGTTCACAACATCTGGATCATCTGTTTTGCGGCCATACCTGCTGTTGCTCCATTGTAATATTGTCTCTCTGGTGCTCAAGTTCCCAGGATCGGTGCCATATTCAAGTGGATAACGATTTGATGGATCGTTATCTGAATGCGAGAAGTTTTGCTCAACAAGAACTCTTCTGTAAGCATCTGCCAATTCCTGATTTGGAAGAAGAGTGAGGGTTGGATGCCCCTTGAAAAAGTTTATTGGCCGCGTCATCTCCAGTTTTCTTGATCTTTTGACTTTTCGTCAAGTTTTCGAATGGTGGCTTCTCAACCAAACCTTTATTTCGTTTGGTCTCAGTCGTATACCGGCTAGCGCAAAACTTCCGCTTTGAGTCCGCACCTGAGAGACCGTCAACGCCTTTCCGATGGTTCCAAGAACGGCAACTCAGGCCGAAATAAATGTTTATGGACACTTGATTTAAGGTGATGAAGACAGCGAGCTGATGAACTAGGTTGTTTGAGTCAAAATATGTACCAAGAATCATCGAAGACGCCTTGGGCTAAGAGTATTCGATGATTTTGGATTTTTGAACAAAGAGCTGAAAAAGGAGGTTGATTCTTCATAAGATTAAATAAAAAATTACACAGAGATAGTGGTGTTGCCCCCAAAGATCTAATCACTAAGCTACGAATCAGGAACGTACCGAAAGCTACTACGGTGTTGTACCATCTGTATACTTTTTTTTCTTACTTCTGACTTAAAGGAGGGTACTTTGCACTTTTCGCATTTCACATAGGCCACGGTTCATTGACTAGAAAAATAGACAATATTCTCACGTACGAAAAGAAAAACGTTTTAATGAATGTAATGCAGCGATGATGTTTTGAAACACAGCATTAATTCGTCCATCTTATGTCTCTCGAGAAAGAGCTTTGAAAGCAAAGTTGTGTTCTACTGTTAAAAAGTTTTGAGGGAGTTGTGTCTGCAGTTTGCAGTCGCTTCTGGAAAATGTTTTTTCGTCATCACCCCATAGGCCTGAGTCAAGAGCTGTAGTCTCGAACAGAGCACCAGTCATTAAGAATTGGATTCAGCACATGATCACATGGTCACTTAACCTTCAAGAATCGGTTTCACCGAACTGCAAGAATAGCGTTGCTTTCCCCAGATCTCGGGACATAAAAACAAACTTTGATGCGCTATACCCGACGGTCTACACGCTCACAGAATGAGTTGGTGAGCGGAAGACAATTCTTTTTAGCGGAAAACAAAAAATTGGAATTCAGGCAGCTAAGCCTTATTCCATGAAGACTTCGGGAAGGTCGTGTTTTGCGAAGACAGACTGAACAACAGATACCAACCAGCACCGCAAGCATATAGCAACATACAGTGGCACGACATTGGTTGTTGAAAAAACGTAGACTACACAATGGAAAAAGATCTTACCTTGGGTATTCAATACTAGAGCCTTAAATTTAAGCGTATGCTTTGATGTTCTCACACCTGCAAGTATATGATGGTGTACGGATCTCGAGTACCCAATTATCGTCGTTCAAAAACTTTCGCCATAATGAGTTGTGCTAGTCAACTAACATCAAATAGTTCTCCCACATATTAAATTAACCATGCCTTCCGCATCAGGTTTCATTCTCAGCACAGTCCTTGGCCTTGCGGCCAGAAGATTGCAAATCCAGATCGTCGGCAAACCTACCGTTGCCTCATGGAACTCCGTTCAAGGCTACGCACTTTCCGTATCTGCTTTCACAACTGGATACTTAATCTGTGAACACTTTGTCGAAAGAAACAGACAATTATTGACGAGAAGACTACTCCAGTTACGTGAACAAAGATCACAATTGAATTCATTCCAGGACTTTGACTTGGATGCGGAACACAGACTCACTGCACAAATGAGAACGTCTAGATTCTTCGAGTTGTTTGAGAAGATGGGAGAGGCCTACAAATAGGTCATACCATAGCATCATGTATATCTAGAATTGGCATATTCAATAAATGAAAGAAATAACATCACCGGACGCAAAATACGGAGGTGTCAATTTGGTTCAACGTATGGAAGGATGCTCTGGTACCGGCATGAAAAACGTAGGTAAACTAGGAGGAATGATACGTTCCGGACAAAAACAGTCTCGAATAACATTTTTCGATCTTTATGTTTTCGCTTGATTTGTATAGGGTTTGTCTGCAGCTATTCCAGGTGGCCCGAATTGACGTTTGACACTTCATCATTATTGGTCTCTTCATTGTCGCTGCCACTATCATCCTCACTATCATCTTCACTGCCACTTGTGTCACTGCCACTTGTGTCACTGCCACTGTCTTCTCCATTCTCTGCGTTGCTATTGTAGTCTTCGTCGACCTCGCTGCCACTTCCGTCTTCCTCCACAGCACCCATGTAAGTGCCATCCTCCTCATCACTGCCAGCCATCCCCGCATCACCCAGGCTTCCAACAGCATCCGACTTGCTCGCGTCAGTCTTGGTATCCGCTCTTTTCTCTCTGTGTTTTTCATCAAATGAATTATCCTCAATATTCTTTCTCTTGACGAACTCGTCTATTGCCTGAAAGGCTTTCTGATCGATCATTCCAAACTCATACAGCTCTTCGTTTCCATCTTTATTCACCGATGTAACCATCATACTGAAAGTGAATCTGGTGATGTTGCTGTACGACACCGCTTTGAGCGAAGTGAAGTCCATTATCAAGACGGGCTTTTTGAACCCGAAGATGAGATATGCGCTATCCGACGAAGCCGAAGCGAGCAAAAGAGCGCCTTCTTTCGATCCCTTATAGGCCCCTGCCATCACTAGATCATTGTGAGTGTCAGAGATGTGAGAAACGCAAATGACGTTATCGTCATTCATGTTAAGTTCATTCTTCCCGGGCATCGCTGAAGGAAGAAAACTAATAAGCTTCACCCCACACAACTCAAACTGGCGCCGCAAAAAGTCAATAATGAGTTCATTGATAGGCTTGATTGCATCAGAAGTGGAGCTCGCCAGCAGGACTTGTGCCTCAGCGTGTGCTGGGATTTTCCCGTCCGCCATTAATTGCTTCTTGACTAGGTCAAGATTAAATGTGCAGATGATCGGATCATTTTTTCCTGCCGAAGTAGCTGCGCTATCGTCTAGCCAAAGAGACATCATCACAGTGTCCTTTTTTGTGGAGACGGTGGAGTTCCCAAGAATAGGAATGATCAAGCAAAGTTTGATTGCCGAATGAAGATTGGTCACAGATATTTCTGGGATATTAGTTGCGGGAGCCACCACAGATAGCACTGGCAGAGGCTTATCATTTTCTGACATATGCAAATGAAACAATAGATTGAGTTTGCGTCTGAGAGGCGAGAGAAAGGATAAGCCTGTCATTTCGAAGATGGTCTCGTCCGCCTTTATCGGACTGGTGATGTTGAGCACATTCTGCGAGAGCATTTCGGTCTTTATGGGACCACCGGAAGCCACACCAGTATTGTTTGGCTCTGGTTTTACGCTGTTGTTACCCGGCAATTTTTTAGGTGTTTGCTGGACTTTACCCAGATTCGGTTTTTTTCGTTTGTTCGGTACCACACAGCCATAATGAGAAGCTAATTGCAGCAAGACAGGCTCGCTGTTTGGGTGTTCAGCCACAAGTGCTCTGACTTGGTCTTTTAGTTTGGAGGGTAAGTCATCGATCCAGGCGGCAGACATGGTAAAAACACAATAGTGATGAGATTTAATTCACGTCAGATTTGTTGTTGAATGCGAGTGGGGCCGCGCGGCTGGACCCAGAGATTTATTAACCTACTGAAGGCAAGATTGTGTAAGAATAGTCATGCTTTCAAAGTGCTGCCCAGCTTCAGTCTGTTAGCGAGGTTTTGAAGCCTCACGAAAAGGGACAAAAACGGCCTTGTTTTGCTGGAAACCCTTTGCTGGGCGACTCCGAAAATGGATCCCATCATGATAATCATCCGATGAAGGCTGTGCTTTTGGCAACGGACGCTGACCCCTGCAATCGCTTTGAGTTTCAGGCCCACCATATAAATACCGAAGTCATTCAGTAATTTGCATGTAGCTAACGAAAACGCATGTCTCTGGTTCGTCAGCGCAATAGTGTGGTTTCATCCCGTTTTTCGAACCATGACGATGGTGCCGTGTGTTCGCGTACCATCAGACAATGGATTGCAAATAAGCGTACATTTTCAAGAATTACAACAAGTCCCACTGAGAAAAAAGCTTCCTTGTGGCTTGCAGAAGTGGGGGGCGGGGAATACTTAAATGTTCTGAAAAAGAGAATAATTTGATAAAGCCTGATAATGGTCGACATGCGGGAGGGTTTTTTCTTCTTGTCGCATACATGTAGAAGCACTTGAAACTACGACACGTTCCAACATAGGCAACACAAGCATGCTCCACGAGCAGAATGCACCCATATTCTCCCTCCTCCCTTCATTGGCACCAGGGCTAATTTTTCAAACCACATACTCGAATGTGATTGTCAAATTTATCAGGGACGAGATGGCGAGACTGGGTCAGAGTCAACCGACAGTCGATCGATTAGAGCATGTGAAAGACCAGCTATTGAAATCCACACTGCACTCGGGAGAATATACATTAGAAGTTGACGAGCAGAAATCTCTAATTCTTGCATATGCTTTTGGGGAAATCTACACGCCCGCGTTGGCGTTGGTCACAGGGAAACATATCACTGTTCAATTCTGGGGTGCAGGCGAGGAACAGCCCGGGCAGCCGATGATCAGAAATTGCGTCTTGAATCCTGAAAGTTGTGACCCTATCTTTTTCGAAGTTTTGGATGACCCGCAAATCGACAAAAGGCGGGGCGTCCTGGATGTAAATCCGTTTCTCCAAGTACGGGGCATGGTATCGAAGTTGGGTCTCCTGTTGAATTTGTCCACGTTTGATTTGGAGGAGCTGAGTGATTTGATGGCAGCCCCGGAAAACAGCGGAGGCCAAAAAGCACTATTCCCCGCCAATTTGGGGGTGCCGACCCTCGAGACTTTGTATGAACGGTCCGACAATGGGCTGAAGTATCTGGTACGGGCCAAAGAGCCAGAAGAGACAAAGACAAATGGCCGGCCCAATTTCTCATACAGCAGCAAAAGCATTGTTGACCCGAACAACTGGTTCTGCTCGTGCAGCGACTTCACCAGCGCAAGCTTTGTGATCCACGATGCTAGCGGGTCAGACCTTCTTGGGGACACCGGGCATGAGTTGCTCAGTCGGTTGTTTCGAGCTGCGGTTTGCAAGTTTCCCAAGAGCTTACCCATTTGCAGACATTTATTGGCCGTATTGCTTATGTTGTTCAATTGGGACACGGCCTGGAATGCTGGGCTCGTGCGTGTCTGTTGGATCAGAAGCGAGACGGAGCAAACGGAGCTCAGGCTGTGAAGATTAGGGGACATTGGAACAGATTTAGTGCAAGCAGAGACTGAAATGCATGCAAAAGGATGATGAAGCCAGAAGTTAAATCAGGAACCCGAGTGCAAATCCACGAGGAATGCTGTGACACACTTGCAAAAGGCATGATGGAACATGAGTTCCAGGAGACCACAACCCGACTGGGTGCGCATTCTTGAGGAGTTAATCGACACATACATGGGAGAAGATATATACATGGCTTTGCATGGAGGATGAGTCAGGGCGAGTCTCTAATCCTACGGCACACTTATACACGTGCAACTGAGCAAAGAGCGATACGAAGATGCGTACTTATGACTTGATTCTATGGCGATACCGATACTTGACATGACACGCTGAAGCGAAGCTAAAGATGGGATATCAAAGATGCGATACTGGGCGATACTAGAGATGCAATACTAAAGCAATACCAGAGATGTGATGCTGAAATGATACCAAAGACGCGAAACCAAAGATGTGATACTAAAGATGCGACACCAAAGCGACACCAAAGCGACACCAAAGCGATACCAAAGATGCACCACAGTGATTCTATCCTATCTACAGAGATTGGCGTCGTCGGCTTTCTTGGGTCATGGCGCCCGGACATGCTACAGATTACTGGGGCCGGCCAATAATTACCTGGGGCCGCGAAACAAGAGTCGCTCGCTCCGGCCAATGCCGATTGCCAGGACCAACCGACAAAGACAAAATGGAATAAAGACAGGAACAAAAACAAAACCAAAAACACCGGACCCACCGCAGCAGAACCCACAACGAACAGCACCGGCGAAAAGCCCGGCAGCCGCAACTAAGGCGTGGGCCCGGCTTTTCCACAAGTGGTGGGCAGAGGTGAACAGAATGGCGCTGCGTGCGCACTGCGAAATCAGTGTTCTTGCGGAAACACGCAGCACTAGGCCCCAGGCCCGCCCAGCGCCCGCCCAAAAACAGGCACCGCGGGCCTGGTTGTTCGGGCCGCACACCATAAGAGTGCCCGTTCCAGGGCCTTTCACTTCTCTGCTCGCACCCATCCTTCTCCACCCCATCTCTTGTGAAAAAGGACTCTGCCATGATGTTTCAGTGATCCGGCATTTATGGCCATCATTACTATATGTCCATCATGACTATTGTGATTGTCATTTTTATTGTGGTTGTCATTTTTATTGTGATTGTCATTTTTATTGTGGTTGTCATTTTTATTGTGATTGTCATTTTTATTGTGATTGTCATTACTATTATGATCATCATTACTATTATGGTCATCATGTCTATTATGATCATCATTTTTATTACGATCGCCATTACTATTATGATCATCATTTTTATTATGGTCACCATTACTTTATGACCATCATTACTATTATGGCCACCATTACTATATGACCATCATTACTATTATGGCCACCATTACTATATGATCATCATTTTTATTATGGCCACCATTACTATATGATCATCATTTTTATTATGGCCACCATTACTATATGACCATCATTTTTATTATGACCACCATTACTATATGACCATTATTTTTATTATGACCATCATTACTACATGACCATCATTACTTTTATGGCCACCATTACTATATGATCATCATTTTTATTATGGCCACCATTACTATATGATCATCATTTTTATTATGGCCACCATTACTATATGACCATCATTACTATTATGGCCACCATTACTATATGATCATTATTTTTATTATGATCGCCATTTTTATTATGGCCACCATTACTATACGACCATCATTACTATTATGACAATCATTTTTATTATGACCATCATTTTTATTATGGCCACCTTTACTATTATGATCGCCATTACTATTATGATCATCATTTTTATTATGACCACCATTACTATATGACCATCATTTTTATTATGATCGTCATTTCTATTATGATCATCATTACTATATGTCCATCATTACTACATGACCATCATTACTTTTATGGCCACCATTACTATATGATCATCATTTTTATTATGGCCACCATTACTATATGATCATCGTTACTATTATGGCCACCATTACTATATGATCATCGTTACTATTATGGCCACCATTACTATATGACCATCATTTTTATTATGATCGTCATTTCTATTATGGTCATCATTACTATATGACCATCATTACCATATGACCATCATGTTCTATTATCATCATTGTTACTTTGATCGTCGTTACTATTAAGATCATCGTTGTCTTATCATCATTGTCTTATCATCATCATTGCAACGAGCACCACTGTCCCTTTGATCATCATTACTATTGTCATCATTGTCTCCATCATCTTCGTGGTTTGTGGGCCGTGGACATGGACAGGGCCGCCCCGCCCACGGTGCGCCGCAGCCAGCGCCAGCTGGGGCCGCCCTCGCATGCTCGCCCTGGAGGCTCGGGGCGCCGCCAGGCCCACGGCCCGGTCTCGTGTGAGCACGCTGAAAATTTTTTTCTTAGGCGCGCGGAATCCTCCATGCCCAACACGCAGTGTCGACACCCCAACTGTTGCTCGTACCCACAAGGTTCCTCCATACCCTGCCCAACACCCCCGCCCCACGCCCTCGAGCTTCGAGAGCAGCCGCCGAAGCCCTTCCCCCTGCCGAACAAGAACCTGCACCCGCGCACGGCCGCCCGAGTTTTGGTCCCTCCCCCGTTTTTTCTGTCTGCCGGCGCTTCTTGTTTCTCCCCTCCTCGGCAACCCTCCCTACCGGGCCCCACTTTGCACCGCAAGCCCGCCGCCTGGCCGCCCCCTGCCTCAACACGCGTGTTGCCCGCTTCGCCCTCCGCCCCCGCCAGCGCAGCCTTTGCCCCCGCCTCCCGACCCCAGCAGCTCGGAGAACCCGCCTCTTCTAGTCACAAGCAGCCAGGGCCTCCGCCAACGCCACGCCCACGCCCAGTTGCATGACTTGCTGAGCCGCACACAACGCCACAGCCACCCATGTCCACAAACACCCCGCTAGCCGCCAAGCAGGCCGCCGCCGCCCCTGCGCACCGCGCCGCCGGGCCAAAACCCGCCGCCCTGCCGGCCCCCGCATCCACCACGCCCGCATCCGCCACGCCCGCATCCACGGCCGCCGCGGCCCTGTCCTCGCTCGGGCCCGGGCCCCGCCGCTTCCGCGGCGACGTGCCGGCGTTCAACCCGTCCACGCCGTCGCCACACCTATACAACCAGAACATGCCGCAGTACGCCCAGCCGCCGGGCCTGCTGCCCGTGTACCCGGCGCGGCAGCCGCAGTACTTTGCCCAGCAGCCGCAGTTCATGCCCTACGGCGGCCAGGTCATGCAGTACTACCCCGTGGCCATGGCGTACCCGGACTTCTCCATGTACCAGCCCTACCAGTACTACGCCATGCCCGCGGGCCAGTTCCCGGCACAACAGGCGTACGTGCCCGTGAACATGGCCACTGGCGCGGGCGGCTACGTGCCCGGGCGCAAGAAGCACTTCAAGAGCCACAACCACCACCACAACGGCCACCACCAGAGCAGCCACGGCCAAGGGGGGCTGCATCACCCCTATTCCAAGCACGCGTCGCCGACACCCTCGCCGAACGTGGCCCCGGACTCGGGCGGCGCTGCCAAGCCGCGAGGCGCAGACGTGAACAATTCGGAGCTGGTCCCACGCATTGACGATTCTGCAACTTCCACGTCCGCCAGCATCACGGCGCCCACGAGCCCGAGACCGACGCCGCCGCCTAGCCACAGCTCGCCGAAACAGGGCCGCGGGTCCCGCCCCGAAGACAGCATGCCCGCGCCCACGGCGCCGGCCCTCAAACAAGTGTCATCTCCTGCTGCCGCGTCATCGTCTGCGGCTCCATCATCTGCGGCCCCTTTTTCTCCTGCCGCTTCATCGTCTGTCGCTTCATCTCAGCCTGTCGAGCTGCCTGCCACACTGCCTGCCACACTACCTGCCACACTGTCTTTTTCCGGACAAGCGAGCCATCCAGATCGCTCTCTGAAGGACGTGCTCCCACTTCTACTCAACATCACCCGGGACGAGCTAATATCGAGCAGAAACGCCATACATCAGTCCACCAAACAGCTCCTTGAAAGCAGGTCCCGCCACACAGAGAGCTTGGTTGCAGCTGATCCCAACAGGGACTACCTCGTCGATATAAGACGCAGGATCCAAATCATAGATCATACCAAAGGCTCTGAGTACGAAACTTCCCTCGGAGCTGGACTCCCACCAAGACCCAGCAAACCTAACGATAACGAAACTAATGACTCCAACGCCTCCAAGCCCCCGCTTAACTGGGCTTCACTTCTCCAATCCGCAGTGCAGAAACCTGCCAAGCTCAAGGCCCACACGCCTCTGAATGGGCAATACGCATCCAAGCCCCTCCCGCCTTCTGTTTCTGTGGCCCCCACGCTGACTGACCGATGCCAATCCCTCGGCTTGTTGGTGATGTCGATGTTGTACGACCCCGCATTCAATCTTAATGCTCACGAACCATACACACTAAAACCGCGAGGTCTTACCAACACCGGTAACATCTGCTATATGAATGCCGTCCTTCAATGCTTGATCTATTGTGCGCCGTTCAACAAGACTCTTCGGCTTGTCGAGGAAAAGTCCCTCGGTATCTTGGGTAAGTCTTCGACCCCTGTCCTTGATGCCACCATTAAGTTCGTGAACGACTTTGCAACCGTTACCGCCACGAGCAAGTCAGGCGGAAGCTCCACCAACAGCGAGGGTATCGTGGTCGGGCGCCCGCTTTCCCCAGAGAGCCTCTACATGAAACTTGTCGAAAACCCCAAATTTCAGCATCTCAAATGGGGCCAGCAAGAAGACGCGGAGGAGTTCTTGGTCTATTTGCTCGATGGTCTCCACGAGGACTTTGTGACGGCAGAAGCTTCCGTGACTGCTGATCAAATGGAGCAACTTATATCTTTGTACGGACTGAAACTTGACGCCCCACATGCTCAAGACCTCAAGACGAGAATGAAGAACGCCCTTCGCCTAGTGAAGCATGTCGAGAATGATGCTGCTGAAGATCATGAGGGTTCGCAAGACGAGCAAAGTGAAAACGGCTGGTCAGAAGTGGGAGGCCGTCGTAAAGTCTCCAGCAAGAGAGTCTCTGAAGTGGAGCCATCTCCAATCACCAGCATCTTTGGTGGACGTTTCCGCAGCGTATTGACCGTTCCAAAGTCTAAGGAATCGCACTCCATTACTGTTGACCCATACAGATGTATTCTGTTGGATATTTCACTGTGTGATGTACAAACTATTGAAGATGCGTTGTGGAAATTGAATGAAGTGGAAAACCTCCCTTACAAAACTGAAGGCGGACTAGAAGTGGTGGCGCAAAAACAAACGTATATCGAGGATTTACCAGAAGTGCTTACATTGCAACTCAAGAGGTTTTCGTTTCAACAGAAACAAGAACAACTGCTTGGTAATGGCTTGGAGCCAACGGTGAATGAGTTGTCTCATTTCCACGGTGTTGGGAAAATCGAGAAAGTGTTGAAGAATATCAGCTATGGACTTGACTTGGCGATTCCTCTTGAGTCATTATCTACTGCTGCCCGGCACACGCAAAACAGAAATTATCTGTTGACTGGTGTGATCTACCACCACGGGCGTAATGCAGAGGGAGGACATTATACATGTGACGTGCTTCGCGGAGACAAGAAATGGCTTCGAATTGATGACACTGCCGTTGAGCCGATTAATGCTGATGCGGTGACGGAAAAGCCCGAGGCCACTGACAAGAGTGCCTACATTTTAATTTATCAAAGGAAGCAGGCCTCTGACACCTGAGGACACTCTTAATGAAAGTATGGAAATAGAGTAACAAAACATTTAGAGACGGGAGAGTAGAACTTGTAATTACTTCTTGCCTCTCAGCTTCGACCCACCAGTTTCAGAGCTATGAAAAGATCATTGCGGTAATTCTTTTGCGCTTCTGTAAAAGGGTTGGTACGGGTGTATCACCACATTGCTGAAATCCCAGACACCTTTCTCGGCATAAACGTCCAGTTTCAAAAACTCCAAGACTTCCGATTTGGTCTCGGCTTGGATGGTGAAGCTGCTGCCTATGAACTCCAGCTTGGACTCGTCCTTGAATATGGGACCACAGCTGGAAATAACCCCACACTTCACTTTCTCGGGGACTTTCGCAAGGTGGTCTGAGCGAAAGGCCAATCTTTTATTGACTGGCTTGTCATAGATTATGACCAACCATTCCAATTTCTTTGGGACCTTCATCTTTCTTAAATCTCTGTTGTTTTCAAGAGAACAACCCCAGAGGTGTATCCGCGTTTTTATACCGGCTTGACGAGGTAGCGGTCGGGTCGTGGCCAGATCATGTGACCCGGTTTTGAAATCTAGCCGTGTGGAATCTGGACTCAGTCGAAAGTATTGGGGCAGCGGACCGTGCCACGAAAACACGGTGTAATGTATTCTATTTTCTTCACAGTGCTTTGGTGCCTCCCAGTATGTTTCCGCATTTTTGACTGATTCACTGATCAAAGTTTTTGTCAAAATTTCACTCGCATATATTTGAAGGTCCATAGTGTAGACAATCATTGGGATTGGAATACGGTTGGGAATAATAAGTGCGGGCACGCCCATATACATAATGCGTCCATCGCCCCAGTAAAACCTTCTAGTTGTAATATTTACGTACAATGGTAGAAGAGGGAACATTACGGATGCATACGTGGCTTTGTGGAGGTGTAAGACAATTTTCCGTTCCTTATTGAACAAACTGACGCTGGGTCATAATAGCTGCAGATACCACACAATTCTTCGTCACCCCATGGTACGCAACCTCAGAGCTCAAACTTTTATTCTGAGTGAATCGCCAGACTCAGTCAGACTAAAAAGGAAAAGGACTGAATAATATTCTAGACCAGTGTAGGTGTGAAATCAAAAATTGAAAGACCCACACGTCTCCCAGACTGCACCGAGCCAAACCAATCAGAAGAAGCACGAGGCCTCTTTGGGAATGGCCAACACAGCCTGTTGAGGAGAAGTTGGCAATGGGACCCTGCAGCTCTGTGCTATGCAAACAGAATCCCACGGTTACAAGACTACTTGATCTCCTGTAACATCTCAAGGTAAGTATGAGAAAAAAAGGAAAACAAGTAAGGTGCGAAAACTTCACTTGCTTATATAGTACGCCGTCGTGTGCCTACCATTGGGCCGCGCGTGTTCAGCGCGCGGGTGCAAAAGTTTGTTGTAGCTGATGTGCGTGCGCTGCGCTATAATAATCACTGAGTTGAACGCTGCTTTCAACTTCTCATGTAGGAAAGGGTAAGATATTTGTATGCTTGCGTTCGAAGTTATCTACTTAAGTGGACCAGGCCCCGAATGGATTAGCAGTTCGATATGCTGCCGATTATGTACTAGCTAGAGATGTGTCTCTTATACTAGGCTTAGGTTGGCCTTTGAGAAACTGGTACAGCCCACGTTTCTTACTAGAACGCTTCGGACGTCTTTATGGGTCGCACTTACGAGGCCAATAGCAGTTGGGTGTCCCACATTAAAATTAAAGGCGCCGCTAGTAACAAAACCGATCAAGTTTTGGAGTCCTGGGTCAGGCACTTGCTCATATATCCTTGCATTATCCTTTATTGACCCTGTTTTAGATAATGAGAGAGCGACTTGCGCAATAGGCAATGGTGAAAAGTCACTTTTCTTGGGGATGAAGTTTCTCCTTGCGAATCTGTCGTGGTCCGGATCCCGTTTGTTGAAGGCCACGATGGGAATACGGGCTTCATCAGCATTTCGAGTGGAATCGATGACAAGTGCCAAGTCATCGGGTGTTCTGAGAATCCGGTTCTTTTGCTCGTCAAACTCACCTGCAGCTTTCATATCCACTTCTTTTTTCTCTTGCACAAAGTGCATACCATAAATCCATTTGCGTAGGAAGTACCAGTCGGCCCCCATAGATAAGAACCCTTCGGTAGTTTTCGTGGGTCCTTGCTTGCTCAATGGAAGCTTTTCTATTGCTGCTTTCTCGGCAGCGGTAGCCATGAGATGTTCTCTGTACCCTTCAGGAAGAAATGGAAAGTCTTGAGGGTAAGTCGGGATGTCATACTCGAAGTTTACTTGGTGGGCCTGACGCAATCCTGCTGGCTGGACGGCGCTTACGGATGACAACTTGCTCCACACAGGCTGAACCCAAAACCAAGGCATCAAAACGCACCAGGCCTCTTGCGACGTCTTGAAGATTAAAATCGGAAATTTGTTGGACGCATGGATATGCGATGAGCACGGATCACGCCGCGAGAACTCTTTTCCAATTTGCTTGAGGGAGTACATGTCTTTGTAGGAGTATGTTCGAGACTCGGAACTAAAGAGAGCTTTCACAGCCTCCGGGTCCGAGGCCAACTCCTTTTTAAGAAGCACGCCAGACACGTCTTTTTGGGTAGGAGGCGGATTCACGGGGTTTTTCCAGAATCTTGGATCTTTGACGTGGAATGAAAACAATGTGCCCTTGGGTATCAAGCGTGGGTCTCTATATTGCGCATAAGCCCGCCAGTTGTCCGCCACCTTTTCGTCGGCTTCCAAATGCAAAACTTTGCTCAACGAGTTTAAGGCTGTAGGACCTCGGAGCTCAATGCTTCCCAAGGCATAACGACAGTCCACAACGGGGAATTGCCCGTCGGCCCATCTCACAACAGCCGCAAACAATTGCTCATAAACACTCGGATGAAGCCTCACCAAAACTTTATGTGCCAACGCATCAATTAAAACGGCACCTGGTGCTAGCTTGTGCTCATCGAGATAGATCCAGCCGTTATACGCCTTTTCTCCCTGAAGGAACCAGGCGGGAACACTTCCAGCATAGCGTGTGAAGCAGTTCAAGAACTTCTGCACCGCATTTTCATTGCCGCATTCGACAATAAGCTCGCCGTAGTAAGATGACTCGAACGCTAGTGTGCTTTCCTTTGCAGCTCGACTCGTGGAGCGGAAGCACTTTTGGTTGGGTGAAAACGGAATTTGGAAACCCCATCTCTTTGTCATGTGGAACCGCTTGGCGTGCCACACGTGTGTCGGCATCCAAGTGAAGGTTTTCTGGCGATTGGCATACTTGATATTTCCGCTCGGTTTGGCCATCAAAGCGCCAACACAGCACCGGTCCAGTGCAGCCACCGCATTGTTCAAAATGTTCCGTTTCGCTCTCTTCAACTCGTCAAGCTGCTTGTTTAAACTTTGGATTCTATCCCTGACGGTAGCACCCTGAGAATAAGGAACTCCACGCGAGTCCTTGATTTTGGAGGCTAGTCTCAAAAGACGCTTCTGCAACTTCAACCGGTGTAGCTCTCGGCCTCTTGAATGTTGCTTTTTCGACGGCACGCCATTCGTGGTGTTTTGCATCTCCCGCAAGCCCTTTGCCCGTAGTTTTTTCGGGATTCTCTTCACATTATGAGAGGCTGTTCTTCGACGGAGAGTACGTGGTAAGCTTTGGAACACTCGAGTTGCCGAAGCCGCTTTTGTGTTGAGCTGCGACTGCTCAAAAGCCTTGATTTCGTACTCCCGTGAGGCAATGAATTGGGGGAGATTGAGAACACCGTTTTTATAGCTTGGATCCACGGTTTCAGTGCGGATGGTTCTGCTGTTGTACAACTTTGTCTTTTTGCCATTTGGAGGCGGTTTTGCTGGAGGGGCCATTTGCAAAAATGCCGGGTTCTTCAAACCGAGGCGTGTTGAGTATCGGGCGAAGTAGATGGCACGAGCCAAGTCAAGTTCGTATGTACGAAAGCCATCGCGACCAGCTCCATTGGGACTAAATCGGCAGTGCGCGCAGCACGTCTGCAAATTAGATGCATAATGGAATGCCTGGATATATTTGAAAAGGGTTGGAATAGTAGAAGTAAAATCTCCTGGAAATATTCCGTATTTTCAGAATCGGCAAGCGTCTGCAGAGCGGGTCGGTATATTGGGCGATTATTTGCTTGTAGGCGATATGTAGAAACTGATGGTTATACCTTCAAAGACAACTGGCATATGCTAGAGGTTACTTAATTGGACATCTCTGTACGGGATTCACTTTGCCCCCACGATGACAACCCATTCAAATGAAGACCCGTTCTGACTTAAAGGTGGTGCAGTGCTGGACAGATGGCCACACACTTGAGGATGTTGTCTTTCAGTGCAATATTTTAGGGGTCTCATAAATGATATCTTTGAGCTCGTGGCCGAGCCTGGGGCGGAACTCCAAGGCCATATCGTCAATAATACGACACACTGTAAAGCGTGGGCAAGTGCGTATGCTCCTTCTGCCACTCGGTCAAAATACTCATCATTTCGTCCTCGAGAATAACGGGATAGCTATCCTCGTCGCCCTCTTTCAATCTTCTTTCCTTCTCCTGAGCCTTGTACTCATGGATCATCTTCACTAATTTGACGATACCCTTGCCTCCGATCTTTGCATTATCGTTGTCATCCTTGATATCGATGTTGATGACATGCACCACCTGTCTCACATCTTGCTCTTCGGCATCTTCTGACTTGCTGTTCATGCGGTTCATCAAGTCTTCTAGCACAGAGTCAAAGCACCGCTCTTCGCACGTGATGACGATGTCGAATTTCCCGGCTTCCGCGTTGTTATGCCACTTTTCGGGCGCAGTCTTGACGCTTTTGTTTCTGACCAACATGGAAATCAATCCTTGTGCCTCGTACATCTTCCGATGCTCCTGAGACATCAAGTCCTGGTATATTTTCTCATAGGGAGTGCCAAACTCATACACATTCGGGCGGTCTACCGTCGGGCCCGGAAGCTTGACTGTAGAGCCGGTTCCAAAAGACCTTATATCATAGCCGGCATCTTTGAGCTGCTTATGTGCCTCCATGGATCTGTTGTTGTTAGCTGCACAAACCGTGCAGACTCTCATGCTATCTATGCCCATTGTGCAATGTGCGACTCGGGGTCAGTTTTGGGTCGGGTGTATGTGACGGATCTGTTTCTTTTTCGGAAACAGATAATTCTCTATTAGTTCAGGCACGGGTGTAGTGGAGTAGAACGGTGTAGTCTAGAAACACCGGCCTGCGCCTACATGTCATATCGGTGCACGCACTACTGAATTACAAGATATACGACTCGGTAAACTTCCGATTGATTTGGCGAAATGTACCCAGTTCCAGACCGAGTCTCGATCCACCCCGATTACGCAGCATCGGTGTGTCCCACCAAGTCGTACTTGCTGATTGAGGCATCCACTGAGGACTCTGTTTCTGGGCCCTCGGCTGCGCGTTGCACGTCCACTAGCCCACTGTCGGTGTCGGAAAAATGATCGCTAACATTCACAAAGTCATCGACAAGTTCGCCCTCGAGCTCCGGAACTGATACTTTGACATAGTCTTCGTCTTCCGTCGACTTGCGTCGCTGGGGCTCCTTGTGGAAATGCACGATTTTGTTGGTGCTCGCCAACAGGTTCTGCAAAGCGCGATAATCCTCAAGGTCACGAAAAGATAGGCCGATCAACATTGACGGGTCTAAAGCGGAAATGGGGAGCGACCGGCATTTGGAGGTGTGATACGTGGAGCCGTCGCGCGAGACGGCTTGTAGATTGTGGGGGTCCAAATACAATAGCTCAGAGTCCTGGTACCCGAAGAAGTAATAACTTGAGGAGGGCTTCCCCCCTGCAATCCCAACGGAGTGCTTCGAAGCAAGCAACTGGAAAAGGCTCTGGTGATAGTACGCGTTGACGTTTTCGATTCCCAAGCGCACTGGGAATAACACCAATAGGACGCTGCGGTCACGGGCAAAATGGGCCTCGATTTCGCTGTCGTACAAATCGCAGCTTTCGCTGATCATAACGTGTATTTTTGGAACAGCGCCCGGCATGCACCGGTCGCACAATCGCTTGATGGACAAGGACGCTGCACTGGGTCCAAACCACTGGCCCGGCTTCACTTGCAAAGGCAGCTCCGACGCAGCACGGACAAAGTTGTGCAAGGAAAACGGGCTGTTGTAATTGTCTGCGAAAAGTGACAAGATGGCGTCGAGCCTGCTGTCGGTGCCTTTGTAGCAGTAGTCTCTGCCCAATGCTACGGATTGTAGCGTGTTGGCCAAAAGCGACTGCGACGTGCGGATCATACATCCCCAGCCAACGTCCGTTGTGAAGTGGTTGCTATCAAGAACACCGGCCACCGTTGTGTTGGGAATGGCGTTGAAAAGCATGGATCCTAGAAAAGAGAGAGGACCCGGCCCGTCCTCGGCCCGCAAAATGGGCTCGAATCCGGACCGATATGTGAACCAGATCCGGGATTGGATTGCAGCCGTAAAAGGCTCGCAGCCCAAGGTGCTTCCCCCATACTGCGTGCCCCAGATCACAATCCGGGCCGGGGTGGGGGTCTCGGGTGTCTTGAGTTTCTGCCAGAGCTGGTTGAACGAGGTCTGGAGCTGGAGGATCTGCGCCTCTAAGGCCGAAACCGAGTTTTCTGTGGGCAGTGTAGGACCCGAGCTCATGATATGGAGAGACACGGTAAATTTGGGCCAGAGTGAGATATGCTTCAGGTAGCAAAGCAGTCGGCAATGGGGGCCAATGTTCACCAAAAGCAGGATCGCCAAAGGGAACGATATGCACCAAGGAACACGGTATTCACCAAATAGGGACGTAATCTCCAAGCTCAGTAGGAAAAGAGAGCAAACTTGTCAATTTTGCAGAAGACCTTTGCCAAAGTAAGGACTCTGCTCAGTCCAGGAGCCTCGAGCAGCAAGACAAGGCAATACACTTGTGGCGGCCTCTTCAATTCAGACACACTGTTGGAAGCGCAGTTGTGTGCAATGCTGTATAAATTTTCGTGGTGGAATCTGGTGTTTTTGCTGTGTGTAAGCAACAATTGCAGATTCAGAAACACAAGTTGGTGGGGCAGGAAGTTGGTGGGGTAGAGACTCGGTGTGCGGATAAGCCCTGGGCCTGGCTCCTGTGAGGTATCAGGAAGGGTGCAAAAAACAACCTATGGCAAGCAAACAAACATCGTGAACAAGCATGGCCTTCTTAGTGAGGGCGCATCTGATATATTTGATCTTTTCGATGTTGTCGATAGTCTTTTTTTAATTTAGCGGCTGTTTGCGTGGAATAGCTCTGGAAAGCTGTGCCCATTGTTGTGGCCAATATGAGCGGCCGTGAGCACTCGCGTTAGGCTTATCTAGTGAGCCCAAAGTGCGGGTCCATTTTCTGGACCCCCGTCGCCGGGGCCTATATAGACAAAGACTTAGTTGTCCAGGCTGTCGGGATCTTGGCTGGGTCCGACACCAAAACATCAGAACTTATTTCTTTTTGCTTGTTTATCACGTTTTTTTTTTCCTTTAACAGATTGTTTCTATTTAGTTTGTTCCTTTCTTTGTTGTACTTACTTTTCTCTTGCTTGTTTTATTATTTAGTGACACGCTCTGCTGGGGCCAATAGGTCATTTTGGGCCTATCTTGTTTGCGACAGGTCCTGATAATGGCATGGGCCAATTCCGCAGCGCCACTCGCGCCACCCAGGCCAGGCGGGCAATTTTATTGTCGGAACCGGCGACTCAATATCAAAATTAAATAGGAATAAAAGGCTGCTATACTTCGACACACCTCAGATTCCTGTCCAATCGATCATTCCTCGTCATCAAAAGTGCATCGGATATTGGTCTTTCTATAATTCTTTGCACCGCAACGTGTCTCATGCGCTCATCGTCGCAATCATATGTAGGCCCCAATACATCACGCGTAATTCGTGCCACTCACCTTCCTTCGAATTCAAACAGACACGACAAAAATGCCAAAAAGAGGTGGACGTTCTAGAGGAGGCTCCCGTGGAGGCAGAGGAGGTGGAAGCCGAGGCGGCGCACGAGGCGGCGGCAGTTTCCGCAGCTTCAATTTAAGCAAATCTCTGAAAAGAAGAGCCAACAAGAACAAGTCGGCTGCACTCGCCAACCACGACGTTCCCGAACTCATGGATTTGGGCGCAGACGGCTATCTTCCCGAAATGGGAAGATCCATGAATACTCTCTCAAAACGCCCGAATCGGCGAATGATGGATGAGGCTCAGTATACAGATAAGCATATGGCAGAAACAATGGCCCAGCCCTTGCGGTATCGCCGAGTCGAGTTCGTCAAAGCCGCAAGCGTCTATGATCCAAGTAAGGATCTCATTGAACTGCTCAAGAAACATGGGCAAAAAGATGATCTTGCACAAGACATGCAGAAACTAAACGTGCAGCCAGAAAGCAATGCTCTACAAAGCAAAGAGACTGGATCCGACCTGAAACCGGCTCCCGAAGCTCCACTGTTCACAGCCCCATCCACGGGTGATACACAGACTAAACCTTCTTGTGGCCCGGACACAGATATCTCGAAACAAGAGACTGATGTACATCAAGACGACTCGTTGTTCGTCGAAGAGAGCAAATCTTTGATGGCCGAATCCAAAGACAGTGCAGAGCTCGGCTCAGCTGAAGCCGCAAATGACCCAGACCTTGACCTTCTTCTACAAACACACGCGTACGCAATAGAGAACCAAACTGGTCTATATGAGGCTGGGTCGCCAAGAGACGAAGTCATGTCTATTGTTCCAAAAGTGGATACAGCTCTGACCGAGGATCGTGCTGAAATCGTCTCGGGTAGTGAATCATCGTTCAAGATGTCTGATTCAGCTATAGAAGAGTTCTTCACCATCGACGAAACAGGTGACCAGGAACTTTTTGAGAAGCATTCCTTTCCAAAGAAACCCACCGCAGCGCTTCTTAAAAGAACCAATCCGAAAAGCGTACCTTCCAAACCAACAGTTCATTCTAACGAATCTACTCTGGCGATCGAACGCGACCCTTACATCACCGTAGGTAAAGTCATGTTAAAGACCCTGACTGATGAATTCGGGAATATCAGCACGAATCTTCCTGGTTCCAAAGGGGAGTATCGCACATCTTTGAATTTCTCTGAACCTCTGGATAGCTACTTCGAGGAAGAGTCGGAAGATACAGATGAAGAGGCTGCTTTCGAGGATTGCAAGGCCCAGATATTGGGCGGTATTGATTTCGATGATAGTTTCAGTGATGAAGAACTCCCAGAAGATTTCGCGGACCTAGATGATAGCAAAAGCTTGCAGTTTAGCATTGATGACCCAAATGATGACAATGGGCAGACTTTTGGCGCTCATGATATTGACAAAGTGCAGAATTTTGACGACTATAACGTATACGTTTCGTCTGATGATTTTGCAGACGAGCTACTCAATTCAGATGAAGAAGGTCTCGAAGACATCCTTGCTTTTGCCAGAAATCAGAAGAAAGTCAATAACTACTTCAATGCTGCACCCACGGAAACTGTGAAAAAGGTGGGTAAAGGGAAAAAACAAAGGCTAGAACTTGGCTCTCATTTGGAATTGGAGCTTAGGGAATCATTGATGGAGCAATTCCAGTACCAGAAACAGTCTAAAAGAGATAAAAAGCTTCGAAAGAAGGAGAAGCGCCAGAGGGAGGGTATTGAGCAACATGACTTGACGGCCAAATATGATTATTCGCTTCACATACAAGAAATCAGAGAGGAGTTCGAGGCCTTTTTGCATGACGCTAGCAGGGAGGCCATGAGTTTTCCACCACTCGATGGCCACGGAAACAAGACCATCAGCAAACTCGCAGGGCACTTCAACATGAAGTGCATTCGGTGCGGGGGAAATGGCTTAAGTTTGTTCATGAAAGTTGCAAAGACCAAAAAGACTTTCAGATATATACCGGCATACGACCAGATTGGTTACATCATGAAACAACGGCCGGTTTTCAAAAGAGTTGACGTTAAGCCGCGTACTCAAGAGGAAATTGAACAGACTGATGGTAAAAAAGACCGTCGTGGACCAAAGGGTGACACAGTAGTGAGAGAGGGCGATATTGTTGGCGGCACGGCCCCAGAAATCGGGGTGAATAACATCGGTCGGCAACTTCTTGAAAAATTGGGTTGGAATAAGGGAGAAGGTTTGGGTGCTCTCGGAAACAAAGGTATTAGTGAACCACTCACTGCTACAGTGAAGAGGTCCAAGACAGGTCTTAAGTGAAGGCACATGATGTTTTTCAGAAATAGATTATAGAGTGTACAAGAATATAGAAAGGACCACTGGACTCTTCGCTTATCAACTTTACATAAATACAAAGGCTGAAAATGATGTTCAGCTCACCGCTTTTTCCCCTTCCCTTTTGTCTTCTTTACCTCGATCACAGGGGCCGCATGTCCCGTCTTTTTCACATGTTGAAAAAGTTTGTTTCTGGAGGTGAATACATCTTTGCAAACAACACAAATTTCAGATCCATTCGGAATTTTGGAGGGGATAGCCTCGCGTTCGGCCTTTTGGTCGGGTATCCTCGTTTCGCTTTTAATTGGCATGGAATTCGTCATATCAGACTTTTTCTTGCCTTTCTTTTTCTTCTTCTTATCATCAACCCAGACATCGTCTTTATCTTCAGTCTCGAGACTCAAACCGTTCACTATTTTGGAGAGCTCTTCCTCCAACTCTGTATCTAGTTTGCGCGAGCTTTTCTTGGATTTATTCTTTTGCTTCTTTGTTTGCGAGGCTTTATCAACATCCTGGAGCAGTTTCCCTAGCCCTTCCAAGTCATCAAACTCGTCATCAACAACATCATCGACATCGAGCTCTTCATACTTCTGGCCAGTCATATTTTCGTCTTGAGAAACAGAATGCAAGTCCTCGGTACTTTTTACTATAGGACTCAGGCTTTTCAGATATTCCGGTCTTTCGCATGTCTGATCGTGGTCCGCATCCAGAAGCTCTGCTTCAGATTCCAAGTACTCGGGCTCACTTGCGGCTGTCTCAAAAGCAGAGTCATCTTCTTCTGCGTCGATTCCCAACTCTAAACCCTCTTGTCTCATCTCCTCGCGAATCTGCTCCAACATAGTCTTATGCTTCTGGGACTTTTCATGCGTGTCAAATTGGTTCTTTGACTTGAACGTCTTGTTGCACACTATGCACTCATGCAAATCATCCGCAAAATCCTCGACAAACTCATCGAATTCAGAGTCCGTGGTCTCGTCGCTATCATAATTGAACTCTTCTCGAAGCATACGCTCTACCTCTTCTAGTTCTTCTGCGTTCATTTTCTCCCAATCTTGGGCTTCGTAGTTTGCTGTCTCTGCCATTTTCTGTAGTTTGTGTTCCTGTGCTTGTCTCTGGAGAGCCGCTCTTTGCTGTTTCTTCTTGGCTGCCTCGTACGCTTCTGCGCCAGCTTTGACACGCATATCTCTTTTCTTCATAAACGACACGAACTTTCGAACGGTGTCATTATATTCTCTCCTTGCCAAGTCCCTGGCCCTCTTGTTTTCCTTCTCCATTAGGCGTCGTGTTCTCCGGTCTTGGGCCGTAGAGTACCTGTACTCGTCCATCCAGTTGAAGCTCTTTACACTCAGGAAATTGCTCCACTCGTTGTAGAAAACACGCACCTTGGAAGCATAATCCGAGTGCGAGTTTCCAAACCTTGGAAACATGAGGATACTCTCGTCTATGGCATCGACATTTGGCGCATCATCTTGGTACTTGCTGTAGCCCTCCGTCTGCTGGTATTTACCGTGTCTGATTTCTTCTGCTGCTAGCCTCTCGAAGAGCCGGCCAGCTACACTGTAAAGACCAGCCTGCGAATCGTCAACTCTGGCATAGAGCGACGGATTGAAGTATCGTAGAAGCTCCTCGACAGATATACTAGGAATCACCATGTTTTGTGAATCCTCTGCTGTGGGAGTGTATTCGTCGTCATCCCGTAAAATCTGGGCCTTATGGGCATCGTACCAACTTCGTTCCTGTGGGTCAGAAAGAACCTCGTATGCTGCGCTGACAAGCGTGAAACGAGCGTTTGCCCCAGCAACGTCATGTGGGTTTTTGTCCGGATGAAGTTGGAGAGCCTTTCTCCTGTATGCCTTTTTTAACTCGATTTCTGTGGCAGTGGCTTCCACGCCAAGAAGCTCATAGTAACAAGTCTTCATTCGGATGGGATGTAACTGTCTTTTTACCTAGCTCTTATTTTTTCGCTGCTTCCGAAGCAGCTATGTGGAAAGATTTTGGAGACAAGCTGTGCGATGTATAAATACTGATCGATGGTTGATCCACGTATATACTCTATAGAGGCGTCGTTTATGAAAAATGCTCTGTTGGCCATCGGTTCCCAGTTGACTTCGCGTATGCGCGGGCCCACGCATCACATCAGGCACCCAAGAACTCTCGCTGTGATACACCGCTGCTAACAAAACTGAAACCAGTCAGTAGTCAGCATTTTCTTCCGGTGTCGAAACAAGGACTCGAGAAGTCATTAAACGCGATAATTGAGGATTTTTGTTGTTGTCTCAGAATCTTTGTTGCACTCAAGTCGACTGCAAACTACGGCATCATGCTTGCAACTCATAGCGCTACCATCCTTTGGAATGATAATCGCTTGTGTCCTGAACAAAGGCTTTCTTGTCAAGGCCTGAAAATAAATCCTCGTGACTGATAACCCGATCTGGCAACGGCGCTTTCCCGAGCTTGTGATCAATCATCAAAGAATCCTTCAAGGACTCGCTAATTTCAACAGAAGGAGTAAAATCCCGCAAGACTTTGGGCTCCACCCTAACACTCTTACTTGTCGTTAAGGTGCTTTCGCTATTCGATGGTTCCATGAGGCTTTGCTGTGACAAATGCTCTGCAAACAGTGAGGCCACCGGTGGCACAGGTTCTGGCTGATGCAAGGGCATAGACTTGACTGTCTCGTTACTTGTGCTATCGCTTTGTAGTCTTAGCTTTCCAGTGATCCCGTGTCCGAACAAAGACAGAAGATTGATTGAACTTTTGGTGAAGAGGTTTTTGATTGAGCTCTCGCACTGCCATGATGAGTATTTGCTCAAGCTGCTTGAAAGTGCATCTGCTCCCGCCGCAGTACCTTGCTGGTCCATGTGACTACTGTCACTTTTCAGGTCGGCATGTTGCGTGTTGTTCTTCGCGTCCGCCATGGCCAAAAAGTTCGAAAGACCCACACTGGATGTCTGTTTGGTGAACAAGCGTTGCTCATCGCTATTCGAATTATCCTCCTTGGCGGGATCTTCTTCGGCCACAGAAGGGATGGGAGAGCGGTGAGGTGTTACTTTCTTTGTGAAATCGCTTGAAGACACATACCTTTTGGATAAAAGAATGGAAGGCCGCTGTATACCCCGAGCACTAGAGTTTGAGTCAACAGTGATCACACCAGTTGTCGATGACCTCTTTAGCACAGGCTTGGGAGCCACGTGCTCGAGGTTTGCACTCTTTGTGGAAACAGGTGACCGAATTGCAGGGTTGTTCAACTCGCTTAGAAAAAGACCAGATAGAAGAGACCGAGGTTTGAATGATGACGGGGAATTCCTTAGGGTATCGTCGGCAGGCTGACAGGGATTGTCATCCACGGGCTGTGGTATGGGTATCCTTTTCACGAAAGATATCGGTTGGATTGATGGAGATTCAGGCGCCAACTCGCTATCTGATGAGACAGACATCCACTCACTCTCTGTATCTTCCGTTACTTTCATACTTCTACCTTTTTTGGTGGAGATTGCATCCGTAGCAATCGGATAAACTTCATTTTTGCGAAGAGATGACGGCTGATTTTCAAAGTCACTCACTTCGGATATATCGGTCGAAGACAAGCTGGAAGCGACATTTCTGGCAGAGTTCTCGCTCATGGTAGCTGTATTGTTGAATAGAGAGTCCTTTCTCTCTATGTGCATGGGTGTTGGTGGTGGTTCATTATTGAATAGGCAGGACTGACTCTCGCTGTTTTTGGGACCTCGTGGTGAGACCGAGCTGGAAATGAAAAATATATTTCCCTTGCTGTTCGCTCGGCTCGCTCCATTGAGATTGCACGCTTGTTTGGCCTGAATCGGTTGGACATCGACTTTGGTCGAAGTTTCGGTTGTCGGCAGAGCGGACCGGGATTCCAGCTTTGATGCAAATCCGATGGTCTGGTTCATGGGTGCGTCGTGCCTCTGTGTTTTAACGAACCTTGGGCTTTGCGCAGGCTCGTACTGGACATAATCATCATCCGATAGCTCATCCTCGGAGATATCAGAGGAGTCCTCTCCCGACGCGAACTCCAAGTTCGCGTCTGAAAAAGCTAATTTCTGCAAGCTCAGAATGCTGTGCCGAGTGTATTTGGACTGGTTCTGAAAAAGAGAGGGGCGGTTCTGCAGCATTGGTGGCCATATGGAGTTGGAATGGGGGACGAGCGGTTTGTCGTGGAGAGTCAAGAGCGACTTGTCCAAGGATTTTTGCGAGCAGTTGAATATTCTTTCACTAATCAATCTCCATGATCTGTTGCGAAGACGCGAGAAGTCTAACTTGGCGTTTCTCGTGGTTCTCCAAACGGTGAATAGAGACTCTTCAAGTCCGCCGTCGTGAAGTGGTTTGGATTCTACTAGTTCGAATTTGGGCGTAGATACCAAAGATGTCATGCGGTCACAGCATCAACGGCCAGGCCAGAATGATAGACGAAGCTCCTCAGGTGAAAGGTCAGTGAAAAGGCGAAGCAGGACCCGCTTGCTGTGGATTTTACCTGTCCTTGTGTTTTGTTTTGGATTGATCTCTTTCGGGCTTTATGTCCGGAAAAACGGGCAGTGCTAGCCGTGGTGGTGTTGTTTTTTGAATGGAAAAGTACCCTGCTGGAGAATACTGTTTGAGTTGACGATGGCGAGCACGAGGACTAAAGTGAATGCGGCGGAAAAAACAGGCCGAGCGATGTGGGAAAATACGTCGGGAACAGTACTGGCAAAACACACAGCTGGGGCACGACTAACGGTCAGCAAGGAAATAAGATGTTTCTCGGCTGAGATGAATACTATCAGGAAATTGGACCAGCTTCACAAATGGGAACTATTACAACGACGATTTGGCTTGTGGGCGATAGGCCCGCGCCATGCGCAGAGAATCTCCACGTGATCCAGGGCGGTTGGGCCGGAAGGCGTGACTGAGCTGGTTGCGATAGTCACGCTTCGATCAGACGGTATGTGCAGGCTTGGCGATCAGATTATCAATCACGCATTATGGCCAGGTCCGAGCGGCAGCTGAACAGAGCTATTTCACTTGTGGTAAACTGATAGAGAAGCCCCTCCACGAAGATAAATTGAGCTGAGCCTCTGGCTGGGATTCGACGTTTTTTTCATGTCTGATGAAAGAAATGTAAATCACCACACCCGATTTAAGGTTTTATATTCCGATTCTCGGTAACATAAGTCGCTTGGTGCACGCGTTACTTTATAGGAAGTGCCAAAAACTGTATTTCATAAACCTGACTTGTTATATAAACCTGACCTGATGTGCATAAAAAGGGGCACGAGCTTCCCAAAATACCGACATGACCCGGGACTGTATTTTCTTATCTCTTATGTTGTTCCTTTCCGTATTATTGAACCATGTCTAGGGCCGGTCTATTTTTAGGAAGCGCCTAGGCGTGGTCAGGTAAATCCACGCGCACTGAGCCCCAAATGTCCTTGTGATACTCTTTAGATGAGAGATTTGGAACAATCAGTGGGGCGGATTTATACTTCGAACTAGTTCATTTCTCCGGCTGGAGGGGTTTGGAGAATAATTTGAGATACCGTTGTAAACGTGTTTTCGTTGCAATCGAAAATTTGATCGTTTTCTGTCCGCCTAATAAATCATCAACGGTCAAGGGGGATGCAATCTAGCTTATGCTTTTTGGCTGTGATTGCGAGATTTTCAAGGAGCCCCAGAGTAGAAAATTGGAGTGGGAGCATCCGCTGTATCTTTTTACCATGAGAAGACGGGGTGCACCGGAGGGCGTATTCGAGCTTTGTATATTCACTTGGTCGTTAGCAAAAAGAGAAGACGACAAGGATTGATGTCTAATAAAAAGGCAATTAGCAAGAGATAGTTTCACCACGTTGTAGTGTAATCAACACTTTTAAAAATACATTTTAGTCTGGTTCGATCTTTGAGCATCCTTCAGAATTTACAAGTCGCATGCTTTGAGTTTTAGTAGACCACATCGGGCTTTCTTTTCTAGTATTCAGATGCTGAGTTTGGCCTTCTCTGTCAGCTTGATGTTTGGCTTTTAATTACCGATGTCTCAAAAGTTCCGGTGCGGCTGTTTTAATCAATCACAATTAGAGCGTCTACTGAGACAATAATAGTGCACTATATACATGTCCCGGTGTCCGTCAAATATTGTCCATACAGCCAGCCTAGTTTGAGGGCCACAGCTTTGTTTGATAAGATACCATGAGTCGAGGGCCGCAGGGTTTTATGGCGTTGGAGCGGCCCCAAGCTCTATACTTAGGCCGCGCATGCCAATACTTGAGCTCAGACATCGGTCTACAAACAGTCAAGATAACCCCTACACTCGACCTCGAGCATATTTTCCGCTACCAACAGAAGTATATGTATACCGAAAAAGATAGAAACCACATGTGGATTCCGTATGTACATAGTGCGGCACGCAATGCTAGGCCGCAACGTCTGGGATCACTAACCAAGGCGCCTTGAGACCTTAACAAATAAGACATACACAAAAGATAAGTAAATCTTAGCCAAACATAAAACAAAACAAATAACAAAACAAATAACAAAACAAATAACAAAGCAAATACCAAGATAAATACCAAAACAAATGACAAAACAAATAGCAAAAAAAATAACAAAACAACTAAAACCAGGCACCTTTACTGCACATGCCTACCGACCAGCGTGCCACTGTTAATTGTGTGAGAACTAGACGCTTAGCCCTAATTAATCATGTGACAAATGAGACATTAAAGTTCGCACCACTTACCCGAAACCAAATAGCACGACAAGTATATAAAGGGAAGAGAATTCCCTCTAGAGATCTTTTTAGAAGGTCAGTTGACACAACAGTGGTTTTAGTTTTTCCTAAATAAAGGTTTATTTCCACACGCTAGTACATCATGTCGAATCCGATATCTCAACTGTACCAGTTGGGAACCACTTGTGGACAGGACATTGAGTTGGAATATCCTGTACTCAAGCAGAAATACAAACAAATTGGCCCTGCGAACTCAAGCTAATTCAAGAGCAATTTCGCAACACGGTGCGTGTGCTCACAACCAGAGCAATATTAAATGTTGGTGCGTGGTGAGACGCTTGGGGCCTCAGTCCACGGGCCCATAACCAAGCTCAGAATGGGCCGGCATTTCAAGGAAAGCCTTACACCAGATCCAAAGCGGCACGAGCCCGCTGGCACATAGCATGATTTCCCCTATTTATTCGTCACTGCTCTATGTCGTCCTGCCGAGCCATGTTCCCTAGCTTACTGAGCTGGCTGTTTTTCTGGGCTGATCTTGGGGCCGCGGCTGCCGGGGGGCCGGGCCTACCCCAGGATTTCACGTTTGCTGCGAAGTCAGACATAGAGTTAGCAAGCAGGACGACGCACCGATTCGGGCCTCCGGCTTGTTTGCTGTATGTGCAAATGGGGGCCCTGCCAATTGACATAAATAGGCTGGTTCCCCGTTAGTCTCGCTGTTCTTTTTTGCTAACCATCTCATCGATTTCATTCCAAAGAACAATCTCACTACACCTGTGCAATTGTCTTTGTCTAATTAATCCGCATAATCATCTATTAGTATCCCCATATCCCACCCTACCATGGCCAGAAAATTTCTCTTGGGTGCTGCTGCTGTTGGCGCCGGTGTGTATCTCTACGACCAGAACGTGCAGCCCATTTTCCCCAGAGACAATAAGGGAAACGCCATTGGGGTGTCGCAAGCCGCACCTCCAAAGGAATTGAAGGACGACTTCCACAAGCTAGGCGAAGACACCAAGGACTTGGGCTCGCAGCTCAAAAAAACGGTCAACAGCTCCGTGTCGGACGTTCGCCACAAAACGGACGATGCCGTTTCTTCCATCAAAGACAGCGAGATGTACAACAAGTGGTCGCAGAAATTGGACAACTACCAGAAAGACGTCCAAACAGAGGCGGAGGCCATCAACAACAAGCCCTTGCCCAACAGATTGGCTGCAAAGTACCACAATTTCGTCAACTCGCTTGGCCAGACCGAGGATGAGAAGTTGAAGGAGTTGGCCTCTTCCACGTCTGCCAGGCAACAGGAGATCAAGAAGGACTTGGCCCGCGAACAGCAGTCGTGGTCCTCCTGGTGGTCGGGCAAAAAGAACGACGCCGAAAACAAAAAGGACGAGTTGACATCCGCCGCCGAGAAGGAAAAGAACTCCTGGTTCAAGTGGGGCCAGAAGGAGGCGGACAACGCCGAGGCCAAGCTCCAGAAGGAGAAGAGTTCTTGGGTGAACTGGGCCGACGACAAGTCGGACGAAGCCAAGAAGACGGCCGAAGACGCCAAGAAGGAGAAAAACAAGTGGGTCAGCTGGGGTTCCACGAAGGCCGACGAGGCCGAAAGGGCTGCCAAAGACGCACAGAACGACTTGGAGGCCAAGAAGAACGGGTGGGTCAACTGGGGCTCTGCCAAGGCCGACGAGGCGCAGCAGCGTGCCCGGGAGGGCCACAACGACTTGCGGGCCACACTCAATGACCAGTCCCAGCACTTGAGTGAGAACTACGAGCAGGCCAAGAACAAGGCGCTCGAAGACTACGAGGCTGCCAGGAAGAACTTGGAGAACTGGTCGCAGCAGGCCAAGGAAAAGGCCAACGGTGTTTGGAGCAGAGCAGACGAGGAGCATTTGAAGAGAGCCGGCGACGACTTCCAGAGTGCGTTTGGCAACTTGAAGCGGTTCGGCGAGGAGTTGACCTCCAGGAAGTAGGCGTGGCCCGCAACCCCGTGCATAGGTCGAGAATACAACTTGGCGACTAAGTGAAGGAAACGTTTTGTAAGATCTGGCCCCAGGTGATGCAAAACACGATCAGTCTAGGCCTGTTGGGTACATGTGCCGCAGGACGAGAAAGCTGCAAACCCCATAGGCGAAATCACGATGGCCAAGACGGGTCTGCTTGGGGCCATTGCTGGGGTCCGCCATAGCACATGAGACTTGCTATGGTGAGTGGGTTGCCTTGTCTGGTTTAAATGAATGCTACACCCACAATACATCTTTCAACAATTAGTACAGCGAGTATGATTTTCTCTGGAACAAATTCAATGCCACCAGCCAAAACACCAGCCCAAAAAGCGAGTTTCAAAACGTGGGTATGGTCTCTGTGGCCCTGGAAAAGCATCTGTTACCTGAGAAGAAGGTGAAACCCATTACTTCAATCTCTGATCTTAACCCAGTGCCCTTTCGATGCAAGGACTCGAAAGCTCAAAGGCATAAGTTACGGTATAGACCATCAGAGGCCTATACCTTGAACCCTCTTCTGGCTTGCCCCACCCGTGAAATTCTGGACGAAATACTTAAATGTCATGAGCGTGCTGGCTCTGGGCCACGAGCGTGCCGATGACTATCATTTATTCCTGAGACTTCAGATCCCGGCCTGCCAGCATCTATCTGAGGAAGAGGATTTGACTTGGATTCCTCTTTCTTGGACACTGAACCCAAAGAGCCAAATCTTCCAAAGCCAATTCACTGCCGGTGTCATTTAATCGCTTAACTTACTGGACTTAGACGAAGACGAAATGTAAGACTGGATTGCTGAATTACAATAGCCATTCATTAGAGTCAAAGTTTGAGGACGTTGAAAACTTTCACCAATTCTTGTGCCGTAGTCGTATAAACCTCAAAGAGTGTATTCCGGCGCCACTTGAAAGATCCAAATCTGATGATTTAAAAGAGGGACTGATCATTCGTCTTTGTCACAGAGCGCAAGCCAGCAAAAGTTCATGATCCAGTAGACAAGGTAAGTGCCTTGAGGAAATCATTATTCAACCAACCCACTTTGGAAGCCGTCTATTGCAGAAAACATGGTGCTGCGTCGGAGTTTGGAGAGCACTCTTCCAAGTTGCTTGCAAGGCAAAAAAAGTGGACATTTGTCTGGTAGCTGGACTGGCCAACTCCAGGAAGACGCAAAAAAACTTTGATCTTTTTAAGCTCAAGAAATACCCGCTTGGATCACCCCCATTCCCAACCGTCAGATTCCCCAAAGAAGGAAAATCAGGGACTTATTTGGCAGTTCGTTTGCCTCGAGTTTTATCAACTCCATCTTCTCTACCGATCCATGGAGTGACTGCTACAGGAGAATACAGTAATGGTTTGCTTGTTCGATCTCCACTGGAACAAATTAAGAAGATGAATAAACACAAAAGAGGGAATTGCGCTGATAAATGATATTAAGTCCAAGAGACTTCCGCCTGGCGAGCGACAAATTCGGAGTGGAAATGGCTCACACTTAACAATCGGTTTTAATGTGACTAAGATAAACAATCAAGGGAACTCTTCGCCTTTCAAAAGCCCCATTCTACGTCGATTGAGCCAACCTCTTCCCACGGATGCTCTCAACGAATGAGTCCTTGTTGTGAAAGCTTTCACTGAAGGACTTCTGTGAGTTTTGGATCACACATTAAACCCGTCACCAACAAAGAAACAGGAAACAACATCAGATTTTCCGACTTCCCTGTATTTGCCAATAGAAATGCACCAAAAGTTTTGAGCCACGGTCTCCGACTCAATACCCCTAAACAGGCACGTTGAAGCAAAGGCTGCCGTCGTTGGAATCATCTCCAAGTCAAACTCTGCTTGGAAGCCCAAGTACTCTCGATTCACCTCACAGCTCAAAAACATTACAATAAGAGCTGAATAAAGACAAGAACGACACTGACGAGGACTACGAATATAGAGAGCTGTTTCTGATCACAGAACTCGTGAACTTGCGCGATACGCCTATTTCACCTGTGCTTTTCACGGATGTCAATACACGTCTAATAGCAAGGCTATAGATCGCACCCAATATCGTCACATTCACCGGAACCACAACAAGGAAGCCACTCCGTCCACAGCAAGCAAAAATATGAATATCAGATTCCAGGCGACACAATCCTCAAGTTGAACTTACATTATCCAATCTAAGCCAGCACTTTTCCGGTCAGTCCATTGAGGTGCGAGGCGAACCTCAGATTGGGCCGGTGTCGAAACTGTTCACGGACAAGACAAATCTACGGAGGCACCAACTGCAATCTCCTGGACGATGCTCGCCACGAAAGCAGGTTTTTCTCTGTCCACTCTTGGGCTGAATATATGACCGGTACCATGAGCATGTCAACTCTTTAATGTAAAATTAGGAATCGGCTTAGGCTCAACATTGGAAGAAGAAAGGCATAGCTGCTTACGAGACACGTGAGCTTCGCTCATAACCAATGGATATACTTGTGTCAGACAAAAACCCCTTTGAGAGAAAGATTCAGTGAGTGTGAACGAAGCTGTTTCAGCTGGAAAAGTTTCCAGTCATACCCCGACTTTTGACTTGCTGGTGTTTGTCACATAAAAGCCTCCAGATATCGAAGCGGTCGTCCAGATAAACACCACCGCGGTTCAAAACTACGAAGTCTACATTTGCAGCCACTAGAAGTAAACTGGAAATTCACTAGAAGTTCACTGGGAGCTCACTGGAAATTCACTGGAAGCTCACTGGAGCCCGCATAGAAGGAGCGTTCCAACTTGTTTTCAGATCGGGCCCGAGGTTTCTGCCGCCATCCGTTTCCCGAATGCTGAAGACTTCTACTATTTAAGGTGGTCTCGCATCACTTGCGTCGCACTGGACCTATTGGCCATTCGCACCAGAGCAGCCACTGGAGCCAGGACCAATGGACCAGCAACAAAACCGGCGTGGACCCAAAGAAAACCGGCGTGGACCCAAAGAAAGCCGGCGTGGACCAAAAATAATACCGGCAACACCCACGCGGGCGTGGCCGCCACGTGCGTTGTTCTTTCCTCCCAGCAGGCCCCAGAGTACCCGATATTCGGGCCCAGACAATATACGCTCGGTGCAGGCCCTAATCTCCTGGGCAGACCGCCGCACGCCCTCTGGGGTTTCCGCCCCACCTCGGCACTTGAAGCGGGCACTGTTAGTGGGCCAGTCCCGTAATGCCATTTAGGGCCGCTCCGATAAAGCAGGGCCGTCTTAATTGAACAAGGCCGCTCCAATAAAACAAGGGCTGCTCCAATAAAAGGCCGGTCAAAATAATAAAGGGCCGCTCTAATAAAGTCAGGGCTGCTTCAATAAAACAAAGCCGCTTTCATAAAACCAGGGCCGTTTTGATAAAACCCGGGCTGCTTTAATACAATAAGGACCGCTCCAATAAAACACGGCCGCTTTAATAAAACAGGACCGCTCCAATAAAATCAGGTCGCTTCAATAAAATCAGGTCGCTCCAATGAAACCAAGGCCGGTCAAAAAAAAGGGCCGCTCCAAAAAAAAACAGGGCCGCTTTAATGAAACAAGGCCGGTCCAAAAAAAAGGCCGCTTTATTAAAACAAGGCCGCTTCGATACAACAAGGTCGGACAAAAAAAAAGGACCGCTCCAATAAAAAAGGGCCGTTCTAATATAACAGGACCGCTCCAACAAAACAAGGCCGCTTCAATAAAACAAGGTCGGACAAAAAAAAGGACCGCTCCAACAAAACAAGGCCGCTTCAATAAAACAGGCCGCTCCAAAAAAAAAGGGCCGCTCCAAAAAAAAAAGACCGCTCCAACAAAAGCCGCTCCAATAAAACAAAGCCGCTTTCATAAAACCAGGGCCGTTTTGATAAAACCCGGGCTGCTTTAATAAGACAAGGGCCGCTCCAATAAAACAAGGCCGCTTTAATAAAACAGGACCGCTCCAATAAAATCAGGTCGCTTCAATAAAAGAAGGTCGGACAAAACAAAAAGTGCCACTTCAATAAAACAGGGCCGCTCCAATAAAACCAAGGCCGTCTCAAAAACAAAAGGGTCGCTTCAATAAAACAAGGCCGCTTTAATAAAATCAGGTCGCTTCAATAAAATCAGGTCGCTCCAATGAAACCAAGGCCGGACAAAAAAAAGGACCGCTCCAATAAAAAAGGGCCATTCTAATATAACCGGACCGCTCCAACAAAACAAGGCCGCTCCAAAAAAAAAAGGGCCGCTCCAATAAAACCAAGGCCGCTCCATTAAAACCAGGGCCGGCCGCGCAGGGCGCGCGCGCCATACTTAAAGGCCCGCGCGCCCCAACGCAGGCCGGGCCACCATAAACGATGGGCCCTCTCCGCCACTTGCCCAAGCTCCCCCGCCTATACCACGTGGACAAGGAGCTCTTCGACGCCGGCGCCATGGCGCGCGTGCCCACGCACCAGTTGCTCACCAAGCTCGGGCTCGTGCACCACCCGAAACCGGGGCTCGTGCACTGGCTCCCCATGGGCAGGGCCATTCTCACAAAGCTCCAGGACATTGTGCACGCGGAAATGGCCCGCGCCGGCCTGGAGCAGGTGGCGCTCGCTGCGCTCTCGCCCGCGGCGCTCTGGCAGCAGCTGGGCCGCTGGGCCGGCTCGGAGCTCTTCAAGTTGAAGGACTTCGCGCAGGCCGACTACTGCCTCGCGCCCACCTGCGAAGAGGAGATCACGGCGTTGGTGCAGAGCCAGGCCCAGTCGTACAAGAGCTTCCCGCTCCTGTACTACCAGATCAGCCGCAAGTTCCGCGACGAGAAGCGGCCGCGCAGCGGCTTGCTCCGCGGCAGGGAGTTCGTCATGAAGGACGCCTACACGTTCGACTGCACGCCTGCCCAGGCCATGGAGTCGTACCGCACCATGGTGGCCGCGTACTTCCGGGTGTTCGGCCGGCTCAAGGTGCCGTTTGTCATGGCCGACGCGGACTCGGGCGACATTGGCGGCGCGCTTTCCCACGAGTTCCACTACCTCCACGAGTCGGGCGAGGACACCTTGTTCACGTGCTCTGGCTGCGGCGAGTCGCTGAACATCGAGCGCACGCTCTCGCATGCGGCGGCAGAGGTGCACCACGCGGACGTGGCCGTGGCCTACTACACGACCGATGACCGGCGCACGCTCGTTTGCGCATACTACCCCCGCTCGCGCGTGCACCAGCCGGCGTTCCTCAAGGACGAGGTCCCGGACATCGACCTCACGGGCACGCTCTCGCAGGACCAGGTGCTCGGCCTCTTCCGCGACGAGGACGCGTTGATCTCCAAGAAGATCGTGCGAGTCATGGACCTGCGCCTCGACTCGCGCTCGAACTTCCCCGACTTCCCCGTCAAGTTCATCAACCGCTCGCTGATCACAACGCTCACGGACGTCCCCATCGTGGCGGCCGAGGAGGGCGAGATCTGCCACAAGTGCGAGGAGGGCACGCTCGTGGCCAGCAGGGCCATCGAGGTTGGCCACACGTTTCTTCTCGGCGACAAGTACTCCAGGACGTTCGGCTTCTCCGTCGAGCACCCGCTTGCCGACGGCACGCTCCAGAAAAACAACGTGCTCATGGGCTGCTACGGCATCGGCATCAGCCGTGTCATTGCGGCCGTCGCCGAGATCACCCGCGACGCCCGCGGCCTCCGCTGGCCGGCCTGCATTGCCCCGTGGCTGCTCACGGTGGTGGACACTCTGAACGACCCGGCCGTGTTGCAGCGGGCCGCGGACCAGCTTGCGGGCCACGGCATCGACTTCCGCGTGGACGACCGGCCCAAGGTGCGCATGGGCAAGAAGATCCGGGACTCGCACATGTTCGGCATCCCGTTGGTGCTCATTGTGGGCCGCGGCTACCCCACCGTGGAGCTCGAGCTTCGCGGCGCATGGCGCCCGTCTGGAGAGGACGAGGCGGTGCTCGCCGACTCCTGGCAGGTGGTGCGGGGAGACGACGGCCTGCCCCAGAAGCTCTTGGTCGACATCAGCGAGGCCGCCGCCGCTGTGCAGAAGGTGCTTGCAGCCATGTAGGTGGGTTTGGGGTTTGTCGTTTTGGGGTTTGTCGTTTTGGGGTTTGTCGTTTTGGGGTTTGTCGTTTTGGGGTTTGTCGTTTTGGGGTTTGTCGTTTTGGGGTTTGTCGTTCGGTGTTTTGTCGTTCGGTGGGTTTGTCGTTCGGTGTTTTGTCATTCCGTGTTTTGTCATTTGGTGGGTTATGCCATTCGGTGGTTCTGTCATTCGATGGGTTTGCCATTTGATGGTTTTGTCATTCGATGGTTTTGTCATTCGATGGTTCTGTCATTCGGTGGTTCTGTTATTCGGTGGTTCTGTCATTCGATGGATTTGCCATTTGATGGATTTGCCATTTGATGGTTCTGTCATTCGGTGGTTCTGTCATTCGGTGGTTCTGTCATTCGATGGGTTTGCCATTTGATGGTTTTGTCATTCGGTGAGTTCTGCCATTAAATGGTTCTGCACTAGGTGAGTTCTACCATTAAGTGGTTTCGTCATTCGGTGGTTATTCCATCAGGTGAGTTCTCCCATTCAGTGATTTCTCCCACTCAATGATTTCTCCCACTCAATGATTTCCCACTCAATGATGTCTCCCACTCAATGATGTCTCCAACTCAGAGATGTCTCCCACTCAGAGATTTCTCCCATTCAGTGAAACTCCCATTAAGAGCTTTCTGCCGCACCATGCATCCCTTTCTTACTCTTTGTATATAGTAGCTGCAAGCATATGCCTCCAACCATCCGACTACATACGCACTACTCCCTCTACAGCAGGCACTCAAAACATATCATATATTGCGATTAATGTACAGACCGAGACCTAGGAGGTGAACTTGCCCGTGATCTTGGCAAGCACGTGCATGACAATGACCGAGAAAATGAACCCGACGGCCAAGATCAACACCACCAAGGGGTCGACTCTCAAGCCCTGGGCCTCGTCGGTGAACAACTTCAACATGGTGGCGGAGGAGCCCCCGGCACCGGCCGCCCTGGTGGACAAGGGCATCAGCTCGGCATTCTTTGCCTTCTTGTCGGCAACGTTTCTTCTCTTGACGGCGTTTCTCAAGCCACCTGGGGCTGCGGATGACGACTGGAGGATTAGTATCGGGGCAGTTGTTTCAGACGATCGCGCCAAGCGTTTTGCCGCCGCCTGGAAAAGCCGGGCTGCTGACTGCTTGGATCTTCAGGCGCTTGGGCGCCCGAAAGAGCATGAAAGGGTATTTCCACACAGGCATTTTGGCCAGGCAGCAACACTAATGCTGGCCTCTTTCGAGGGCCGCATGTTCCGCCAGCAGAGCGCCGGCGCGGATGGCGTAGACATACCATGATGTATTTGGAGATACCAGGCGAGATAAGTACACGTCGATACTTTTTTGACAAGCGTAGGCGCGGGCGCCGACGGGGCCATGTCACGTGCCGCGGCGCGCCAGGAAAACGACCGCCAGTCTCTGGGCCTTATCAAAGGGCGCGTTCGCGCCCAGAAACTCCAGTCTGGTTTTGGGCCGAGACGCCTGCCGCGCACCCATATCTGATGGGTTCTGGAAGCGGGGGCTCATAAAGATGGGCGTGGATTGTTTATGCGGACTGGGTTTTGTGGATTGGTTCTGTGGACTGGGTTTCGTAGCTTAATGTAGGTTGGTCTTGTGGACTGGGTTTGATGAATGTGGTCTTCGTTTCTCCGGATAGCACACCCAGGACCACTGGTGGAAAAGCGCGAAGGACGGGGCCTGTCTGGTTTGTCCAGGCCCCACGCCCTCGAGCGCCCGGCTGTTGAGTCGCGCCTTTCGGGCCGCAAATTACTGGGACAACATGCGCAATGAACCACGACTCTGGAGCCGAGTCATGGGGCCTGTTTGTTGCAATGCACCCAAGAGAACAGATGAACAAGACATATGAAAGCAATAAAATACAGAAAAACAAAACCAATACAAAACCAATACAAGACAAAAAACCAATGCAAAAAAAAAAACACATCATAAACAGGACGAAAGAAAAGATCCCTGCCTTTGGGCGGACCCGTGGCTGGCTTTCAGGTCCGTCAGAGGTCACTGTTGCGGGCATTGGCTTGGGGCCGGCATGGACCGATCCGCGACGCCTCGCTCCGGGGCCCCACCTCCCCAAACTATGAGCCCATGGAATCGGCCCGTCACTCCCAGTAGCGAGCTTATTTTCTGTTTTTTTTTTTATTGGCTCCTCCTTGTCATGGAGCCCAGGGCTCTTCCCTCAGGGCCGGGCCTCCCCGTGTGCCGGGGCCGTGCGGGCCGCCGCGCGAGAGAAACTGGGGTAAGCAGGCGCTACGCTCCACGTACCTACACAGGCCAATACATCCAGGCCCCGTGGCGACGAGGCCTGCCTGCGCCCAGCGAAAAAGACCGCCTTTCATTGATCTATTAATTTACCTATTCACGTATTTACTTATTTGTTCGCCTATTTACATATTTTTTTGTCTTCTTTTTTTGTCTTCTCCATGACCAGAGCGCCCCGCATTTTCATTTCCCGGCTGCTCCTAACCCGGCGCCCGCCCTGGGTGCCGCTGGCAGTGCCCCAAACTGGCCCCACCAAAAGCAGGCGCGGCCCCAATCCCAGGGCGCGGCCTTTTTTCTCTGCGGCAGTTTTTCTCAGACGTGGACATCTTCTCTCGCAAAGGTGAACTTCTCTCGAGACACATTCCCATTAACCACGGAACCCTGTGCCTCGACGGACTGTCCAATTGGCTCCCACAGACTCACCGGCTCGCTCGCCTGCTGCCAGAAGGCCCGCCGTTTTCTGCCCTCGCTCTTTGCACGTTGCTCCGGCTGCGCCGCTTCCGTCCCTGCCACTACCATCTGTCCACATAAGCGGACACGAAATCACGCCGGCCTCACCCTTTCCAGGCCGTCCACCGAACCCCGGCCCCGGCTGTCGAGACCCCGCTCTCCGCCACCGCTTTTGTCTTCCTGCTGGCGGCTTGTTCCGGCCCTGTCTCTGCCGTCCGGACCCAGGCGCACCACCAGCCTTTAGCACCCCAGCCGTGTCTTCCAGCACCGGCGTCCCAAGACCCCTTTGCCCAAAATACATCCCGCCATGGACTTGCGCAACTTGTCGTCGACGCCCTCCCACCTAGACGCGATGATCCAGCGCAGACCGTCGCTCTCGTCGTTGTCGTCGGCCTCCGGGTACGAATCGTCCTCGTACAACCCCTCTTCTGCCCCCGGGCCTGCCGCCGCCGCCGCGCTGCAGATGCCGCTCGGACGTGCGGCGGCCGGGCTGGCCCGCATGTACCCCGGCTTGCTGGAACCCGGGGCCATGTTGGGCGAAAACGCCCACGTGCTTGCAACCGACGTGGGCCCCTGGGTCGAGCAGCAAAAGCAGCAGCAGCTGTTGAACGTGGGCTCCTTGGACGCGGGCAAGAAAGACGCGCTGCCCAAGCGGGGCGACAAGATGCCCGGCGCCCGCGGGCTTGCCGCCAATGCCGCGGGCTCGCCGGCCAACGAGTCCACGCTTGCCATGGACAATGAAAACGACAACGACCACGACGACAACGACGGGGCCGACCGCGGCGACGACTTGATCCCCACCGCCATCGTGATCAAGAACATCCCTTTCGCCATCAAGAAAGAGCAGTTGTTGGACGTCATGACCAAACTCAGCTTGCCGTTGCCCTATGCCTTCAACTACCACTTCGACAACGGCGTGTTTCGCGGCTTGGCGTTCGCCAACTTCGCGTCCACGGACGAGACTTCGCTGGTGGTCTCCCAGCTCAACGGGCGCGAGATCGGCGGCCGCAAGTTGCGCGTCGAGTACAAGAAGATGTTGCCCTTGCAGGAACGAGAGAGAATCGAGAGGGAAAAGCGCGAGAAGCGTGGCCAGTTGGAGGAGCAGCACCGGTCAGGCTCGAACGCGTCTTTGGTGCTGCTCGCCTCTGTCGCCTCCACCACGGCTGCCACGAAGAATTTGAGTGTCAACGGCCAGGCCTATCTGTCCCAGACAGAACGGTTCTTTGCCCAGTACCCGTCGGCCAGCAACGGCCTTCCGGCCCCGCCCGCCGAGTTGGACTTCGCGGACCCCGCGATCCTCGAACTATACTCGCAGTTGCTCACGTACCGCGACGACACATCGAAACTCATTTTCGAGATGGCCTACCCTTCCACCTTGAATATGGGCCAACGCAAAGCCCTATCCTTGTTGTGCTCGTTCTTGAACTTGTTGGAGCTCTTCGACAATGGCTTCATCATCATCCGAAGAAAGCCGGGCCAGCAGAGTATCCAGCAACGCCAACAACAACTTGCCACCTACAACACCCACCTTCAACCTCAGCAGCCCTCGGGGGCTTCCACCGCCGCCCCACCACAGACTGTCCCTGCGCCATTGTCGTCCTCCATGCAGAGTCTAGGAGTACAGGGCCAAGGCTCCATCAACGGGCTCTCTCTGCATTCTTCATCCATGATGAATTTGAGCCAGATGCCCGGACTCCTCTACACAAACAACTTGGTGGGCACCAGTATCAACCTGCCAGAGTTGTTGAGATCGCATTCGCAATCTGCCTTGCCTTTGGCCAGGTCCAGACAGCAAGCCTCGACACCGGTGCTGAGTCAGCACCCACAAAACCAGGGCCAGAACCTGTTTTCGCAGTACCAGCATGCTGGCTTGCAGCCGCAAAAAAGCTCCTCGCAAAATAAGTACCTGAACTATGGTGCATTTGGAGCGACCTCAGCGGCTCCTTCCTCGCAAAAGCAGGGTCATTTGGGTACGCCCACGTCGTCCAGTGCTGCCGCATTGCTAAGAACATCAAACAACCGCTCATTTGTGGACGTCAGATCGACTCCTCCCATGGGACAATCATTCCAGGGTAGCTCCGCCGCAGGCTCGCCAACTCCCCTGCATCACACTGGCCTCTACCAGCAGTCTGGCACTTATTTTATGGGAGGCCAAAATGCGCACTTGAGCCAGCCCAGTACTCCACACCAGGCCGCTGACTTGTCTAACAGATTTGCTCCTTTTGGGCAGCATGCCCATCTTTCTGCTAGCATCCAGTCTTTGCAAGGCAATACACCCACGACTGAAGAGTTCCCAATGAACGATTCTATGAACTCTAAATTCAACAACTTGAACTTGAACAGCGGGTACGATCAGCAAAAAGGCAATGGCATTTGGGGCCCCAGAAAGTGAGTGAAGCAGCAAAACAAAAAGAGAGAAACAGTCGTCGTGAGACGACTGCTTATGAAGTTACGATTCTGAGTGTTGAGGATGAGGAGAGATTTAATGATCAATTTACGAGACGGAAAGAAGAAAAAGAACCATGAAGTGGACAATCGAGTACAAATCGAAGTATGTAGATTTATAAATTAATGATGAATTTTGAACAAGGCGAGCTGCGAAATCATAGCACTGGATTTTGCTTCCGACTTAAGTGTTGTTCTGAGGCTCCCCGTTTAAAAATGTCTACAAAGCAGCTTGATTGTTTATCACGATCACAAGTTGCGAAAAGTGTTCATGTAAATAGATCACTAGGCGGGGTGCTGAAGCTATGCGACACTGAAAGTCTGGTTATTGCTTCTTTAGTCTTTTATAGCTTTTAAAAGGCAATTTCTTTGTGACTACCCAAGGCCTTGAACACTCTCTAGAACACCATTTGAACACTAGTCAAATTTTTTGAAGAAGATGTAATGTTTTGCACCTAAAAACATTTAAAATAAGCGATTTAATCGAGTAGGCAGAAGGCAGCGAACACCCTCTCGAATCGTTCCATCCTTCCCCACATTTACAGTCTCGTTCAACACACTAGACATTCCATTTTGACAAGATCCGAAGGAAACAAACAAACTTACGACATATATTATATCTGAGCGTGCGTATCGGCTCAAGATCAACAAGATTATCTGCGACGTCCAACACTTGACTTGCAAGTCATGGTGCATATCTAATAAATACAAGCAAGGCCCATTGCGGGTTGAAAGGGATTTTTTTGCACGACTTCCGTTCTTAGAAACCTCACGTGACAAGATCTCCTAAAATGCTTATATATATAATGGCTCGTCAAAGCCCATCTTGTCACACCCTTTTCTTTTTTGGCCTTGCCCCGCTGGTATGATGGCCCGGGCCAAAAACTGGGGCGAGACTGGGCGAGCGCGTGGCATGCCAAAGACCCGCGATTCTTCACGTGACTGGCAAGCTTCTTTCGGCTCCAAAAAAAGAGAAAAAAAAACGGGAAAATGGACCTAACTAACCCCGAACAACGGACAGCTTTTCTGCCCCCATCACTGAACTAGACATAGAATCACCCTGCAGCACGCCTCTTCAATTCTGAATTTCGCCGCACAGCATTTCCAGTATTCCTTACGGCCATCAGCTTGTGAAAATATTCCGATTTGGTCGTCCCATCGCACGTCCACACACAAACGCCTTCTTATCTCTGAATAAGAAAGGAGATATTGAAGCACGCCGCCGGTTTCTGTCCTAAGCTCGTTTCAGGTCATATTAGAACGAACTTCCGAGCTCGACTTTCCATTCTGTTCACGGCAATCTCCCTTTTTTTGTTGAACGCTTGGAGTTAGAAACCCAGTAAAACGCAGTCAGCAGCTCGATCAGCCCCTTTTACAAAGCGTGACTTGAAGACGCACTTCACACATATCTTGAACACCAACACTTCTATAGAATGGGTCAAATTCTTTCGCAGCCCGAGACGGAAAAACACTCAGAAGTCGATTCCGACAAATACTTGGCGTACGGCTTGTCATGTATGCAAGGGTGGAGAATCAACATGGAGGATGCCCATGCCACAATCTTAAACTTACACAAAGACAACGAGAACGAAGAGCACGTTGCTTTTTTCGGTGTCTACGACGGCCACGGAGGCGAGAAATCCGCCATCTTCACCGGGTTGCGCTTGCACGACTTAATCCGTGCCACCGACGCCTTCAAAAAGAAGGACTACCCCAACGCCTTGAGAGACGGCTTTTTGCTGTGTGACCAAGCGATCCTACAGGACGTTGAGACCCGCAACGACGACAGCGGATGTGCGGCCACGTCCGCCATTATCACCCCGAGCCAAATTATATGCGGCAATGCCGGAGACTCGCGTACTGTGATGTCCGTCAACGGTTTTGCCAAGGCGTTGTCATATGACCACAAGCCATTTAACGAGGGCGAGAAAGCCAGAATCACCGCTGGTGGCGGATATGTGGACGCCGGCAGAGTGAACGGCAACTTGGCATTGTCTAGAGGCATTGGTGATTTCATGTTCAAGAAAAACACCGAGTTGCCGGCCGAGGAACAGATCGTCACATGCTATCCGGATGTGATCTCGCACGACATCGACTTTGAGAAAGACGAGTTTGTCATTTTGGCATGTGACGGCATCTGGGACTGTTTGTCTTCCCAGAGCTGTGTAGAATGTGTCAGAAGAGGTATCTACGAGAGAAAGCCCTTCGCGCAGATCTGTGAGGAGATTATGGAGTTGTGCTGCGCACCAACATCCGACGGATCTGGAATCGGTTGCGATAACATGTCCATTCTCATCGTGGCCTTGTTAGACCACGAGAACAACGAAACCCTTGACCAATGGTACGACAAGATCATTGAGAAGGTCGACTTGCACACGGAGCAGATGGAGGCCATAAGGGGTAAGGAAGACGACGTCAACGCTTACCTCGAAGTGGAGTATGGTCCCATTTCTCCCGTCTACAACGACTTGTACAGGGACATCTTCGGCGAGTACTACACCATCGGACAACAGGGAAATGGAGGTGAACACGCGAAGAGTGGCGGTGGGTATTCGATGTTCGGAAACATGGGGTCGCGTAATGGACCCAGTAACGAAGAAGACACCGACGAGGATTTGACCACGCGCGGGAAGAGCAGTGAGGAAAACGAGCTCGACACCGGTGCCATCTCCTTGCAAAAGTTATTGTCCAGCAACATGATCACCAACGAAAATGGCGTTATCTACTTAGACACCTCGTCTGCTCAGTCCTTGTTGGCTTCATTTGGGATGGGCGCCAGCGGCCTGGAGGAAGGTGACGAGCAGGATAGAGAGAGCGACGACTCCGTGCATCAAAAACATATCGAGGAGGTCGACGAGGAAGATGACTCTGAGGCTGCGTCATAATCTGTATGAGAACGTGTATCACTCTACTGGCAGCGCATATTGTATTTTTAATGATGATAATGTATGATATAATTCCACACTCAAAGTACTTGTAAGCCCGCTCGCAAGTAGGATTGAACTGTACCGCTACTGTTAAGGCTTCCCGAGCCCTGTCTCCAGACGCACTTTTTCTGTTGGTGATGTGCTTTATCTGCAGGCGTACAATGACGCGTAAGCGGACTTCGAAAATGACCAGCATATCTCTCTACAAAACACTCTGTCGATCGCTGATTTCACCGAACGGCGCTTAAGAAGCCAGTCTCAAACTCGAAGTCCTGCTTTTCCGCGCGCCCTGTTTCTGTGCTTCTACCGGAAAAGGGAAATATCACCGTTGAAAGGCCGTTGCATCACTGCATAAAGACACGGCTTCAACAAGCGATCCACCAGCCAGAATAGCCACGACAGGGTGGACGTATTTTGGATATTCAGGTCCAAAGCCTGGTGCGGGTTTGAGTAGTCACTCCTTCACGATATCAGATTATACGAGATCCTTTCTGCTGCAAAATGGAGCGAATTCTCGAGAACATCAAGATCACGAACAACAAGATCTACGAGAACATGCCCGAGGGCAGGCTTCGACAAAACCGTGAAGGTGAGCCAAGAAAAGGCACCAGATGTTCTCCACTGCATATGGTCATACTGAACGGTAGTTCAAAGCCCACTGGTATTTCCACTGCCGCCGATAGTCCAGTGGCTCCCCAAGTTCAACAGATATTGGACGCTAGTCCAACTCCGCGCCCGCTGGCTGTGCCAGTAGCATCTCCTTCAGTAGCCCCGCTAATAGCACCGGTGCCCAAAAAGAAAAAAGGCCGGCCCAGGTTGTTTCTGGCACAAGTCGTGGATCGTGCAGAAGACTCCTTTGTCGTGTTCATCAAGTTCAACGTGCGGAACAAATTGGCAAGACGTTATTTCGGGCTCTCGACCCCGTCAGCGCCGCCGGCCCCACCAGATAGCTTGACCAGACTACGGCCCCCTCTGGTGCGAAGCAGGGTGCAAAACTTTGCAGAGGATGTAGATGAGAGCAGGGCTACCCGAAAGCGTGTGTCCAGACTTCGCCAGTGCCACACACGGGATTCTGCCATCAACAAGATCACATTGAAACCGGAATCGCGGCTTGCTAGCAAGGCCGAGGCACGGAAACGATACAAGACCATGCTTGCAAACAGCAGGCTCCGAGAGGCTGCTGCCGAGAGGCTACTGGAGAGCCTCGAAAAGGATCTCCCGTACCACGGAGTGCTTCCATTTCCAGACTGTATCATAAACCACACCGACCCTACTGCTTCTGACCGTGAGAAGTTCGTTGAGTTCGCGGACCAAGCGTCTCGAATGCATGAAGACTTGCAGACTAGGATGCTAGCAGGACCTGCGCTTGAGGATTCACCTTCTGCCACGCCCATGCCTCAAGGAGCGTCTTATTACTATCTGCGAAGCCAAATTGAGAAGCTTCAGTTCCGAGACTTTCTAATAGACACGTGGTACTCGTCCCCCTACCCCGAGGAGTACGCCAGAAACAAAGTCTTGTACATCTGCGAGTTCTGCTTGAAGTACATGAACTCGGCGCAGTCTTATTTCAGACACCATCTGAAGAGTTGTAACTCTTTCAAGAACCACCCGCCTGGGGTTGAAATCTACCGGGACTCTGAAGCCAGAATCTCGTTCTGGGAGGTTGATGGGCGCAAAAACATTGAGTATTGCCAGAGCTTGTGTTTGTTGGCGAAACTCTTTTTGAATTCAAAGACCTTGTACTACGACGTGGAGCCATTTGTGTTTTACATCTTGACCGAAATTGACGAGCAGGACTCGTCCACATACCACTTTGTTGGTTATTTCTCCAAAGAAAAACTCAACAACTCTGACTACAATGTCTCATGCATCTTGACATTGCCGATATACCAGCGCAAGGGGTATGGGAGCTTGATGATTGACTTCAGCTATTTGCTTTCCAGGAGAGAGTTCAAGTATGGGACACCCGAGAAGCCTTTGAGTGACTTGGGGCTAGTCAGTTATAGAAACTACTGGAAAGTTGCAGTTGCCAGCACTTTGAAGCGCATTCACGACCAGTTCTTATGCGAAGGCTCCAGGAAGGCTTTGTTGACCCTCGACAACATCGCGCAACTCACTGGAATGAAACCGTCCGATGTTGTATTTGCCCTCGAGCTGCTTGAAGCACTCGTTGTCAATAAAGACACGGGCAAATACGCAATCTTGATAAACCTAGAGATGCTCGATATCGTGATCAATAAGTGGGAGCTGCGGAACTACGTGAAACTAGACCCCGATCTCTTGCTATGGAAGCCGTTGATATATGGACCTTCGGGTGGCATCAATTCCGCGCCACCCTTGTCACTTATACCGCAAGCCGGATCTGAAGTGCCAGTGGTCAGTAACAGTATCTCAATGATCACGGAATTCTTAAAAGATGACATTGGCAACCCCTACACCTTTGAAGAGGAAGCATACAAATCCATTAAAACTGCTCTAGATACGAAGACACCATATGCAGGGTGTCATTTTGAGCCGAATGACTTCAATGTTTGCCATCCTGATTTCGAAATCCCAACGGAAAAGAAACAACTGAACGCTTATAACGAAATCAAAGTAGCAGACCCCGATGACGAGGATGAAGTCGATCTCGAGGACGATATCGATGTGGACAATGAGCTCTTGGACTCGGGCTATGAAGAATACCTCGATGCTGAAAGTGACGATGGAACTGTAGATCAGAAGATCAGTAGCATGGTACAAGCAGATGGAATTGTATCGGAGGAAGAAGATGAAGTGGACTTTTATGACGGTGAGAGTGACCAGGAGAGGGTCGAAGACGACGAGGAGCCGGAAGTAGCAGAGGATGAGATGGACGAAGAGAATTCCGACGGGGAAGAATCTGATGATGACGAGAGTGTGAAGGAAGCCATTGTCCAGAGGGAACGATATTCACCAAGACACATCCTGCCAAGAGAAACAAGGTCTCGAAGGAGGGAAGAAGTGCCACCCCCGGAAAAGAACACCAGGAGAACAAGACGCGGGGGCTTCTAGCCCAATTGTATTATATCACATTTTGAATAGTCTACAGGAGTTTGTATAAATAGTATCCACGAAGTCCCTGACGTCGCTTTCGTCCTCCAAGCCGTGAAGCTTCGCCATGATCTCCGCAACTTGGCCAACAAAGACAGGCTCGTTTCTGGACTTGATCAAAGGATAGGCAAACTCTCCGATGACGAGCGATGTGGCTTCGGGCGAGTTCTCGAGCTTTAATTGCGCTTGCGCCTTGTGCTTCTCGAAGTTCTCCTTCTTAATGCTGGGGAAGGGTAAGAACGCGTCCAACTTTATCGCGTTCTGCAGCGCCTGCTTTTTGGTGGGCCTGTCGGGGCTCTGCGGCCGGGCCGCGGCCTCGGCGGAAGTAGCAACTGGCGGGTAGTACAAGTTGGGGTACGGTGTGAGCAAAGGGTGGCCCGCGTGGCTCTTCCTGATTTCGCACCACGGAGCATCCGTCTCGATCATGAGCTTGTCGGCCGGAATGAGTTTGGCCACGTCGATGTTGTCCTGCGTCTTGAGGGAACAGCCGTTGACGCCCACAGAGAAGCCAAGAGCAAGGATCTGGTCGAGCTCGGCCGCGGAGCCGGTGAACGAATGCACCACGCCGTTCCCCACGGCTATGGAGCCGTCCTCTATGAACGGGCGGACGATGGCAACAAAATCGTCACACGCGGCCCGCATGTGGAGGAACAAGGGCAAATGCAAGTGCTTGAGGGACGCGTACACCTCGAGCTGCCTGGTGAACATCTCGGTTTGCTGGGCCTTGCTAGAGTAATGCAAGCGGTCGTAGTCGAGCCCAATCTCACCAAACGCCTTGACCAAGCCGCGCAGGTGGCCGTCCAGTGCAATGTCCCGAAGCTCCCGCAACTTTTCGCTGGCGTTCGGCAAGGGCAGCTCGTTGTGCGTGCCGCCATAGAACTCCTGTGCCACGGTGCATGGGTGCACACCCACGGTGGACGCCAAATCGGGGGCATGCGAGGCCGCAAGCTGCAAATGGGCACGGCTCTCCTCGATGGACGAGGCCGTGATGAGCATGCGGTCCACGTTGAAGAGCCTGGCGCGGGCAATCACCTGCTCGACGTCGGGGGCATGTTTGGCCGAGGCCGAGCCGTTGTACCGGCCCTGGAACATGCTGTCGGAAAAGTTGACGCCAATGTCGAAGTAGCGGGGTTTCCAGGACGACATTGTGCGGCGGAGCATGCGGTCTTTGGAGGCGTACGAGAGGGGGCAGGGGCGGCAGGGTGGGGTTCAGTGGGGTTTAGGAAGCGAAGCGTGCTTTTTTCCAGATCCGCCAGGGCCTTGGCCGAGCGCACTGCGCGGGCCCCAGGGCCAGCCTGGCCACGAAGTAGGAGGGAGCGAGAGAGAGGAAAGAGGGAATGAAAGAGGAAAGAGAGAATTAAAGAGGGAAGAGATGGTTAAAGAGGAAAGAGAGAATTAAAGAGGGAAGAGAGAATTAAAAAGGAAAGAGATGGTTAAAGAGGAAAGAGGGAATGAAAGAGGAAAGAGAGAATTAAAGAGGGAAGAGATGGTTAAAGAGGAAAGAGAGAATTAAAGAGGGAAGAGAGAATTAAAAAGGAAAGAGATCATTAAAGAGGAACCAGAGAATTAAAGAGTAAAGAAAGGATAAAAAAAAGTGGAATAAGCAAAAAGACTCCGCAAGCCTTTCTTGCCTCCAATGCTCCTGCTACATTTCTTGTCGATAGAAATTACATGGACAAATCTCGTGAACGCATCTCTAGTGTGATGTTTCAGTGATAAAATAACCAGGCGAACAAACAAAAGATGGAATTAAAAAAGGAAGCCAGAGCTCATACATGGAAAAGACCAACGACCCGCTGCTATGTCAGATCGGCCCAAGTGGAACTACAAGACTGGCCCAAGTGGAATGACTGGCCCAAGTGGAATTGCAAAGACTGGCCCCATGCGAAGAGGCCTGCGCGGCTTGCGGGTAGAAAAGCCACCGTGAGCCATACAACCCAATTCATACACATATAATAATCATAGATGTAACTAAAACAGGGCAAAGACACATACGACATCCTAGAAAGCCTGACATTCGCGTCAAATATAGGAAAGAAAATGAAGCGAGCATTTTATCATCCCTACAAATATCCTACCGTCAAGGGACATTCTGCTTGCGCGGTGCTATATTTCTCATATATTAAAATAGACACGCCTCCCTCACAATAATGTTGAACCCTAGGTACCGGTTATAAATTCAAACTCCGGGCTTGTGTATCTAACAAGTACATAGACAGTCGAAAACACGCACATGCGTATATATGTATACAAGAATGTAATAACTCATGAACTCTGACTATCATAAGCATTCCCCAGAAATTGCACCTCGAGAACTGTACGTTCCCTCCATACCTGGCAGTACTCGCACGCCCCATGTTCCGCGACTCCATACATGTTTGGCCCTACAAGAGAGCATCCTCCACCCACCCAAAAACACCCCTCCTCCCACCCAACATAAACTCCCATGGCTGATTTGGACGCCCTTTTCCAGACACAAGAAAGCGAGGTGGCACGTGACCGCGAGATTGCCCGCGTGCTCCGGTGCCCGGCCAAGGACCACTTCGCCATATTGCAAATCAACCCGCTAACGGAGCACGCCTCGTTGGCCGCAACGCTCCGCAAAACCTACCGCAAGAAGTCGTTGCAGATCCACCCCGACAAGACGAAAAACAGCGATGCTCCGCGCGCTTTCGACCTCCTAAAAAAGGCCAACTCGGTGCTTTCGGCAGAGCCCCCGAGCACCTCCAGCGGAGCCAACGGGGACCACGAAGACCAGCACTCACTACTGGAGGAAAACGCTCGATACGCCCAAAAAGAGTATCTTATACTGATTTACAAGCAGGTTGCCGACGGGCTCGGCGCCTTCCATGTAGACGACTTCCACCACGCAACCAACCGCGCCATCCGGGACAAAGTTCTGCTTGTGTTGGAGCAACACGAAAAGGACCGGGCCGTCGAGACAGGGTACAAGCAGCGGCAGGAAATCAAAAAACAGACGGAGTTCCAGACTGCTGCAAAGGAGCGGGAACTCAAAAAGTCCTGGGAGACCCGCTGGGAACAAGACAGAGACACGCGCGTCAAGCTGTGGAGAACCTTCTCTACAAAGGTGGAAAAGCCAAAGAAAAAGAAGAAGCTTCTAGCGTAGGCACACACCCCCCAGAACAAGACTCAGCCTTGTACCGGGTATATCTAATCGTTCTTGAATGTATTCATTTTTATGTCAAGTGAGTCGATGTGCAAATACTTAGAGTATCATCCACTGGCCAGTCATTCAGTCATACTATGCAGCGGCTCGCTTATTTGGATTCAGCAGCCAATTTTTCAGCCTTGGCGACAGCATCCTCGATACCACCCACCATGTAGAAAGCGTTCTCTGGCAAGTGGTCGTACTTGCCGTCCAACACCTCCTTGAAAGATCTGACAGTGTCTTCCAATCTCACCAATCTACCCTCAATACCAGTGAAAACCTCGGCGACAGCGAAAGGTTGAGACAAGAACTTTTGGATCTTTCTGGCTCTCTCGACGGTCAACTTGTCGGTCTCAGACAACTCATCCATACCCAAAATGGCAATGATGTCCTGCAAGGACTTGTAGGCTTGTAAGGTTTGTTGGACGTTGGTGGCAACGTCGTAGTGCTCTTGGCCGACAACAGTGGCGTCCAACAATCTGGAGTTGGAGTCCAATGGGTCGACGGCTGGGTAGATACCCAACTCAGAGATACCTCTGGACAACACAGTGGTGGCGTCCAAGTGAGCGAAGGTGGTGGCTGGGGCAGGGTCAGTCAAGTCATCGGCTGGGACGTAGACGGCTTGGACAGAGGTGACGGAACCCTTCTTGGTGGTGGTAATTCTCTCTTGCAAAGCACCCATATCGGTGGCCAAGGTTGGTTGGTAACCGACAGCGGATGGAATACGACCCAACAAAGCAGACACTTCAGAACCAGCTTGAGTGAATCTGAAAATGTTGTCGACGAACAACAAGACATCTTGACCCTCCTCGTCTCTGAAGTACTCGGCGATGGTCAAACCAGTCAAAGCAACTCTGGCTCTGGCTCCTGGGGGCTCGTTCATTTGACCGAAGACCAAGGCGACCTTGGAGTCACCCTCGAAGTTGATGACACCGGTCTCTTGCATCTCACGGTACAAATCGTTACCCTCTCTGGTTCTCTCACCGACACCGGTGAAGACGGAGAAACCACCGTGGGCCTTGGCGATGTTGTTAATCAACTCTTGGATGAAAACGGTCTTACCGACACCGGCACCACCGAACAAACCAATCTTACCACCTCTGGCGTAAGGGGCCAACAAGTCGACGACCTTGATACCAGTCTCCAAGACCTCGGCGGAGGTGGATTGCTGAACAAACGAAGGTGGGTCAGTGTGGATGGGGTTTCTCTTCTTGGTGTTGATAGGACCTCTCTCGTCGATTGGCTCACCAACAACATTGATGATACGGCCCAAGGTCTCACGGCCAACTGGCACGGAGATAGGAGCGCCGGTGTCGTGGACAGCGGCACCTCTGACCAAACCCTCGGTACCATCCATAGCAATGGTTCTGACGGTGTTCTCACCCAAGTGCTGGGCGACTTCCAAAACCAAGGACTGCTGGCCGTTCTTCAAGGTCAAGGCGTTGAAAATGGCTGGCAAGTTACCCTCCTCGAATTGGACATCGACGACGGCACCAATGACGGCTCTGTGAATGTTAGTATTTCGTTGCGGCTTGGGTCACGTGCGGGCCCGGGTGCTCCATGGCCATCTACGGGATATCCATTGGTGGTGGTTTGGAGTGATTGCCACGAATTGTGCGGGCAGCCAGGTTCGATTTGGTCATGGCCGGAACACAGCGGAAACAGAAGGCCACAATGGCACGAGCAAACACAAGACCAGTGGACACAAGACCAGTGGATACAAGACCAGTGAAAACAAGGCCAGTGGAAAAAAAGGCCAGTGGAAAAAAAAGGCCATGGCGGGAACGACCACAGCACCCCAATGAAAACAACACCGAAAGCCAATTGGACCGGCAAGCCCGCCGGAAACGCAATTCCGATCCCCGGGGCGTCCGCAGGGAATTCAGAAAACGCCCGGCCGTCCAGATCGGCCCGCGTGAAAATCCGTTTGTAGTACATACCTAACCTTACCGTTGGCGGCAGCAGCGGTGGCCAAGCTTCTGTTGAACAAAACATTGCGCTTGGCAGCGGTGAAGGCACCGCGGGAGGCAGTGTTAAACAATCTTGGAAGAACCATCGTTTGTTTGATGATGTTTCACTGTTGAGCTATAAGAAAAAAAGGTGCGAGGGCCCGCAGCGAGAATTATATGGTTTTCGCTGGTGGGCTCGTCCGCGAGGCACCATGCCGGTCGGCGGAAGTGCCAGGCCGCCAGTTGACCAATGAACACGCTAGTTGGCATTTCCGGCGCGAACGCGGATTTTATTGGGCGAGCGCGGGTTACCCGCCCCACCACCGTGGGTGCTTCCAGTGCTGCTCGGTTCCGCGGGGCGCACTGCATCCAGGCACCAGCTAATAGACACCGGGGTGCCGAGGCCCTGTTATACGGACGTGGCCCACGCCTGGGATCGGGCTGGGGTTTTGCGGGACTTGATGTTGGGATAGAGGCAGGGACCGGAAGCAGGGCGTGGGCCGTGTCCCGCCCTGAGGTCACGTGCCCGCCAGGTATTCCATGTGTCTCTATTGGCCGGTGCTAATATTGGGGCCTTATTGCTGGGGCCTGCTCCGGGCCCGTGCGCGCGAAAGTGCTTAATCAGATCCGGGGCTGGGGCCGGGCTGATCGGGCAATGATCTGGGTGCCATTGATGGCGAGCGGTCCAACGTGACTCTCGGGACATGACACGAGTCATAGTCCATGCTTTTTATGTTTTTATGTTTTGTTTTGTAATGTGCTCTCAGACGAATGTGCGTGTATTTTCAGAGAGTCTTTTGGACTGTCTTGAGAAATAGTGGGGGCTGATTGTTTGAGGGCTTTTGTAAAGGCCATTTCCTGTGTTGTTGTCTGTGTTGTTGCCTGAGTTATTGCTCGTGTTATTTTTTGAGTAATTGCTTGTGTTATTTCCTGAGTATTTCCTGAGTTATTGCCTGTGTTTGTTCATGAGTAATTGCTTGTGTTATTTCCTGAGTATTTCCTGAGTTATTGCCTGTGTTTGTTCATGAGTAATTGCTTGTGTTACTTCCTGAGTATTTCCTGAGTTATTTCTTGAGTCAATTCCTGAGTTATTTCTTGAGTCAATTCCTGAGTTATTCCTGAGTATTTCCTGAGTAATTGCTTGTGTACTTCCTGAGTTATTCCTGAGTATTTCCTGAGTTATTTCTTGAGTCAATTCCTGAGTTATTTCTTGAGTCAATTCCTGAGTTATTCCTGAGTATTTCCTGAGTAATTGCTTGTGTACTTCCTGAGTTATTCCTGAGTATTTCCTGAGTAATTGCTTGTGTTACTTCCTGAGTATTTCCTGAGTTATTCCCCAAGTTATTGCCTGTGTTTGTTCAATTGCTTTGGTGGATCTCTTAATTAATGAGACACCGAATGAGACACCGTAATCGTATCTAATTTAGATTATGAGCTCTTGCATCCATGCATGGCTGGTCGAGTTCAAACAAAATCATCGCCACTCTTTTGTCAGATAATTGTCGATTATCCACGTCTGGACGGCCCTGAGTGTTTTCAAATTCTATTGAATAGCGCAAAAAGTGTTTGCGGTCTTCACTAATAAGTCTCCATCGTATTGTATCAGTCTTAAATTCTTGATAAGGTAATCTTTGGTGTGATCTTTTGTCTCACCAGTTGGTTTCAATTGATTTGTTATCGTATTGCTTTCATCTTGTTCTCGAATAGCCTTCATTTTGCTCTCATCTGGCCCTCGTCTTGTTTCAATTCAGTCCTCGTCTTGGTCTTGTTCTCGTCTTGTTCCCATCATCTCATTTTGTTGTCTCCCCATCTCGCTCCCATCTTCTCAAAACGGTAGCTGCCCAGGCATACATGTTATCTACTGGTATTTCTGCCAAATACTGAATTTTTCCTTCTTGAAACCCAGGCTTTCTCTTTCAAAATATCCAAACTCGGCCTCGTGTGAAAACCAAGTTTGCCTGTGGAGCAAGCATACCAATCTGATCTGACAAGTCAGGAATTCATCGTCAAACCCCTCGCCATATCAACAAATGACATTTTGTCTGCCATTTTTCGCAAAATCCGCCCGTCAATAGAGACCACAAATAGTTCATGTCTTTGATAGACAAATCTTATGTGTATCGCTTAATCTCCTCGTATGACTGTTGTTCCCATTCTTTTTGTTACATACTCATTCCATATTTCGCAGCCAAACCGCGCGCCTTGATATGAACTACTCGTTTGCGTTACACTCTCAGTTCATGTCTCTTATTTATGGAAACAGAGGTATAACCCAGCGGTTCTACGCAGAACTCTTTTTGAAATTGCCTTAGTGGTCTTGACAGGGGTATTATTGTATTAATCGTGCAGCATTCGGGTACATGCTTATCGCTCGAGCAATGTAAAGTATCGATCTTTCGCTTCCTCCAACACCGATTGCATATCCTCAAAGCCTTTCTTTAGCAGTATTTGGGATCCTTTTGGCACTTTCTCCCCATGCGTGCCGCACATTTTCGCAGTGCATTCCAAACATAGCTTGACATGGTCGAGCTGGTTGAGCAGATGGAGAAGGGAGCTGTACTGTACCTTTTTCATTTGACTCATCTTGCCCAACTTGCCCCGCTCTGGTTCCGTCGATACTTGCTGTGGGACAAATTTCTTGGCCTCCAGCCTTCTCAATTGCCTTCTCTTTGCGCCACTTGACTCGGGATCTTTTAAGTCCTCCTCCTCTTTCATCTTTCTCTTTGCTTGTCTGATAAGCTCCTCGAATTGGTCACTTGAGGTTGGTATCTCATCTTCCTCGCTATCTTGCAAGTCTTGCAAGGCCTCAGCGGACTGGGACAGAGCAATCTCTTCTGCACTCCCACGTGGTAATGAGGTACTACCTTCTGTCAAGCAAGGTGATGGATCAGGAGTCAAAAGTTTGTTGACGGCCAAAACCCTTGATTCTTTCTTCTGTCTGCCTTGGTACCACTTTCCGAAACGATGATTCCTGTTATTGATGTCGCAATATTGATACGAAATTGAGACTCTGCAGATATCACATAGGTTGTCGTCCTCTTCACTGGCCCGGGATATCATTTCGTGTTTGGGGCTTTTCGGAGTCAATATCGAGGTATGCGCAGAACCATTAGTGGTGTTCTCTTTCTTTGACGATAAAAGAACTGCTTTCAACTTATCACTTTCCAAGTCTCTGACTAAACTCATTTGTCGGTGTACGTAATTCTCAAAATCCCGGATGCACTTGCCAACTATCTCTGTTCTATTATTCCAAGACCCCAGCCTGTCACCGGAAAAGCTTTTAAGTATGTTCTCCAATAATTTATAGTGGTCGAAAACATTCTCTTTCTTGATCAACTTATAGTCTTGTATAGACCGATCACCGAAATCAAGCCACGAGTCCATCGTAAAGTTCACAGCTTCATTGAAATTGAAACCACTGTTGAAGCCAGCATGGTAAACCCGCGGAAACGTAATGACAAACTCGTTCGGATTCTGGTCCGCATAGACACAGGGAATTCCAATCAGAGCAAGCTTTGAGGGCGAAATGAGTGTCACCAATTGATGAAGCAAATCAGGTTGTCTTTGGAACAAGTCCGGCGCCAAGGACCTCAAGTATTTCTCGAATTGGTCCGCATAAGCACTAGGAATACCGTACCATTTCTTGGTGCTTCCAAAGTGGCAGTAATTGGCCGAAAGCGTATAGTGGTCTTCCACATGCCAGCAGAATGTGGATAAAAGAGAACCAACGTAGATCCATGGCACAGTCATGCCCGATATTTCTGTTTCTATGTGATTAAGAAGGGAGCCTCTAGCGAATGGCAATTGAGTTAGGTTCCATGGATGTTTCGCGTATACTTCATGAAGGGCTTTGAACGTTGGGTCCACGGGCTGGCCATTTTGGTAGATATGAGCCGGATTAGCATACTCTGATGTAGGAAATCCCGTTATCTCTCCCATTTTCAGGTTATGAATGTCAGCTCCGTACTTGACTTTAATCAGAGAGTTTTCTTCCTCCACTAGATTCCAGAATATCTTTTCGAGCTCATCTAAAGTTAAGCGTTGGCCTGGTATTCCAAAATCGGCAGAGAATTTTTGTTCAAATTCGAGGCATTGATGGTAGAATTGCTGGAGAGTATACTTGACTTCCCGGTTTTCTTCAAATCCATATTCGCCTGTTCCGATCAAACATTTGTCACAGTACCAGGATCCTTTGGGCACTTCCTCGAGTGGAGGCAGGAGACATCGCATATGAAACTGGTCATCGCAGTTGTCACACAACAAAGTTGTTGTTGGCGAGTGGTTCTTTTTGCAGATAACGCAGCTCTCGGAGTCACCTGGATTTCCCACAGGAAAGTCGAAATGGTTGCCATTGGAAGAGAGATATTTCGCATATGGGAGGATTTTCCTGCGGTACTCTTTTAGCAAAATATCGCTATGAGAGGGAATTTGAAATAATATGTTGATTTTGGCCAATTCTTCGGGAGGGATGTCGCCAGTAGCCACAGCCTCGGGCGACGTTTTACTCACAGCAAGATACAAGTCGTAGCAATGGATGTTTTTTGATCTTGACACAAGCCACTCGTTTACAGGCGCCTTGTTGGACATTTTGAAGAATCTGTTCAAATTGTCAACAAAAAACTTTCTGCTCCTGGATGTTATTCCCAAGTCACTAAGCTTCTGAATTCTCGTGTGGAATGTGAACGAAGGAGACAACGAGAACGGCGGTTTCCAAGGTGCAGGTGGCACGATTTTCACCAAGCCATGTTTCCTTCCAAGGTCTTTTACCTCGGGGCTTGACATGTACATAATCGGGTCATCGAACTCGTGATGAGACGGGTATAATGTGGGGCACTCCCGAAGAAGCGACTTATCGAACGGCATAGTGGGCGGCTAAATGGTGGATTTCAACAGATATTTTGCTTCCGATGAGTTTATTAAGAAGTCTTATTGATATATCTGGAGAAAAATGAGAATCTTTGGTAAGTTTGCGTGTGGCCGGAAAGAATTAGCCCAAGTCTTGAGTCCGAGTGTCAGGCGTAGTTTTGAGCCTTGCAAATTCTGGTCGAATTTGGGAGACTCTGCAAAAGAACGAGCAAAACCGGCCTCCTTCTTTCGATTGATATAGTATGCACTCACGGTAGTAGTAGGAATATACAGCTGAGATCCAGGTGTGATTACACGATTCGGTGGGCGGAAAGTGATTTTCTGTAAGCTACTTTACGGTTGGTACATGCATGTAATTCCGATGGGAATTAAAAGGATTGCGCGGTGGCGGGCCGCAGACAGGTATGAACAATGACGAAATACGCCAAGAACAAGAAGATTCCAACGCCCCGCCAGGCAGCCTTGGCTCTTGGGGGCGAGAGTTGGGTGTTGCCAGATGAATTTGTTTTGTTTTTTGTATTTATTCAGAAGCCTACACCAAGAGAGGGGACCTTTGAAATTATTAGGCTTGTGCGCATGTCGCTAGCGGGGCAGAGCGAAGCGGGGCCAGTCGGGCAACATCAGGTGACTAGGTAGTGCGAGCAAACGGCTGATGTGCAAGTTGCACGACCGATGTTTCACATTATTGGCAGCGTCTTTTTGAATTGCAGGAAAGCCGGGCCAGCCGGTCCGGGCCTTGCATTTGAACTGGTTGTCATAGAGCTGGCTTTTAGTGTGTGTGAATTTTGCAACGCAGAGCTCGATTTTGCCGGAAGCCAATTTGGAGGGACCGGCGTCCAGTCATCGTTTTTTCTCGTCACCGCGGTGCGACAGTCCTGAGGGTTTGGAAGCGTGCCATACAGTGGCCGTATGAATATTACATGGAGTAAAGAACGATTGGAAACACCACCACGGGTTGAATAGGGACCGAGAGGCAGAAAAAGGAAGGCAGCAAAGCCAAAACGCCCGATCCAAACATACAAAAACAAACAAAACACAAAACAGAACAAGACAAAAAACAAAACAGAACAAGACAAAAAACAAAACAGAACAAGACAAAAAACAAAACAGAACAAGACAAAAAACAAAACAGAACAAGACTAAAAACAAAACAAAAAACAAAACAAAAAACAAAACAAAACAACAAACAAAACAACAAACAAAGCGAAAAACACAGCGAAAAACACAGCGAATAACAAGGCGGAAACGAAAGACAGCGCAGTCAAATGTAGACTCTGCGGTGGCCCCGCGACTGCCCCAGCCGGAAGGAGCAGGCGACACGGCCGCCTGCACAGACGACTCGCCCGTGTCCGCCGATAGCACAGATGGTCAATGTCAGACCCTCAACACCCCACTCTTCCTCGCCACAAAACCCTTTCTTCCCGTCCGCGATGGCTCTTTCCGACGGCTTCACTTTGGTGGTCATGGGTGCCGGCGTCATGGGCACCACCTTCACCTCTGCCATCCTCAACTCGAACGTCAGCCCCTACCCTGGCAAGATCCATCTTTGCTTGAAAAGCGACGGCAACAGCAAGGCGTTGAAAGAGGCGTACCCGCAGGACTTTGTGGAGGTGCACAGCGACACGGCCGCAAAGAACAGGGCCGTGGCCTCGGCCGACGTGGTGATTTTGGGATGCAAGCCTTTCCACTACAAGGCAGTGTACCAGGAGATCAGGGGCTCGTTGGGCCATGCGACGTTGTTGATTTCGCTTTTGGCCGGGGTCACGATCGAGCAGTTGAGAGTCTTCACGCCCAACGTGGCGCGTGTCATGACCAACACGCCTGCGCGCTACGGCTGCGGCATGGCCACCGTGGCGTTTGCCGAGTCTGCCTCGGAGGACCAGAGGGCCCTTGTGTTGGGCCTCGCCGGCACGCTCGGCACGGCCATGGAGATCCCGGAAAAAAACATGGACGCGGCCACCGCGCTCGTGGGCTCGGGGCCGGCGTTCTGCCTCCTCATGATGGAGGCCTTGTACGACGGCGGCGTGCGCATGGGGCTCCAGCACGAGGTGGCCCGCACGGCTGCTGCCAAGGTCATGGAGGGCACGGCCAAGATGGTGTTGGAGACGGGCGAGCACCCCGCGGTCTTGAAGAGCAAGGTGTGCACGCCGGGCGGCACCACCATCGGCGGGTTGTTGAAGATGGAGGACGCTGGCGTGCGGGGGGCCATTTCCCGCGCCGTGGAGGAGGCTGCGGAGATCTCGGCGTCGTTTGCGAAGTAGGGGCGGCCGCTGTGCCGGTGCTGCCGGTGCCCGGCGGTGCTCTGGGTGCTGTGTATGAATTTTGTGTATAGGTGATGTATTGGTTCTCTGCGGCTGTGTTCTTTCTGGGCTGCGAAATGATTCTGTATCGACCCTGTGCCGGTGCTCTGTGGGTCTGTTGATTCTGGATATGTATTCCGTATGTTTAGTTTGTATGTCTACTCCGTATGTTCATTCCATATGTGTATTCCATATGTGTATTCTATATGTGTATTCCATATGTGTATTCCATATGTGTATTCCATATGTGTATTCTATATGTGTATTCCATATGTGTATTCTATATGTTTATTCCATATGTGTATTCTATATGTGTATTCTATATGTGTATTCTATATGTGTATTCTATATGTTTATTCCATATGTGTATTCCATATGTGTATTCTATATGTGTATTCCAAATGTGTATTCCATCTGTCTGTTATGTCTATTCCATATGTCTATTCCATATGTCAATTATGTCTATTCCATATGTCTAGTATGTCTATTCCATATGTCTATTCCATATGTCTAGTATGTCTATTCCATATGTCTATTCCATATGTCAATTATGTCTATTCCATATGTCTAGTATGTCTATTCCATATGTCTATTCCATATGTCTATTCCATATGTCTAGTATGTCTATTCCATATGTCTATTCCATATATCATCACAGATATCCATTCCATTAACGCAGTCCATATATGCAGTCCACATATATATCCCAAATATGTATTTTATATATATATTCAAACTATTCCATATATCCAATCCATGCATGTATTACATATGCGTATTATATAAAAGTTGTCCATATACGAAAAACACAAATGCATTCCATGTATGCATTCCATACATTGATCCCAGATATCCATTCCATATATATTCCATAGTTCGATTCCATATATGCATTCCATATATTCATTCCATATATTCATTCCATACATTCATTCTATATACGTACTCCACACATGTACGCAAAAGCGCTGACTCTAAAGACATCGGTATATTGGCACTAATAGAGTGCTGGACAACAAACCGAGGCCCTTCATAAAAAGTGTCGTTTCCAGCGTTCTGCAACTATTCATGGGTGGGAAAATAATTCCCGGCCAAGTCCTATATCGATACCCGGGGCTGAGGAAAAAACGCCAAATTCAGGAGCGAGGTTCAGTAGAGCCCTCAGAACATTTTGTGCATGGGTGGTGTGGCTTATATCATTCCATATTTTCATTCCATATATGTACTCCCTATACGAATTACATGTATGTATCCACCCATAAATGTATTCCATAAATGTCTTCCATAAATGTATTCCATATATGTATCCAATAGATCGACCCATATACTTATTCCATATGTCTATTCCACATGTCCATTCCACATGTCCATTCCATATGTCCATTCCATATGTCTATTCCATATGTCTATCCATATGTCTATTTATATCCATTCCACATACCCATTCCATATATGTACTCCCTATATGTATCACATAATTGTATTTCAACTACACATATTCCATAGGTCCAAAGTTCAAATCCACAGTTCTATTTATACATGTATTCCATGACCCCATATTTCCTTTCCCTACAACCATTCACATACGTCTTCATATATTCATTCTATTATTCATAACAATATCCATAACCATAATTCATTCCATAGAATTCCCTAAATCCAATTCATGTAACCATTAAAAATCCATTGCAGAGAATCCCATACATCCAATCCACACCCAATCCACACCCAATCCATACACCCAATCCATACATCCAATCCACACCAAATCCATACACCCAATCCATACATCCAATCCATACATCCAATCCATATATATTCCATATCCGCCTTTGCATCTCTGCAACGGAACGACGCAATCGACTAACAGAAAGCATCACATGACACAGGTGCAATGGCGAAGTGTTTCTTCCTCAACGTAGCGTCTAGGCCGGAGCTCCGGGCTGAGACCACTGGTATGATACACTGCCCCACCACTGCCTACATGGACTATCCGCAGATCATGGCACAGCCTACAAACATAGAGCAGAGGCGCTCTCGCATCCATGCCATGCCCCGGGATCCGAACAGAAGTACTCGGGCTGTTGTCTATATACATGATCTATATGGCACCGGCACGCGTCGGCTCCGCGTGCGCTCACTTCTTGAACATGCCCATGAACAGGTTCATCTGGTCGGGCGAGATCTGGATGCCTGCCTCGTCAAACTTCGCCTTCAACTTCCCGGCCATCTCGCGCACCTCTTTGTCGGCGAAAAGACGCATGATCTCCATCATCGACGGAGGCTTCTCGGGGTTCAAGCCCTTGGATACGAGGAGCAGCTGGAACAGCGCCAAGATCTCCTTGATCTCCGGGTTCTCGTTGAGCTTGCTGATCAAATCACGGACACTGGCCTCGTCGTCGCTGGGGCTGATGGAGGCACAACGGGTGAACGCTGCCACCTTGGCGGGCGGCGCTCTCAAAAGCATTGCGGCCGGGCGTGCCGAGGCAAAAGCAGCACGTGTGGCTGGATACAAGGATCTGGCAATGCCGGCGGCAACGGAGGCTCTCATTCTTATGGCTTGGATGAGCAAGCCGATTTGAATCGGAACCCTCGCCTAGGTCCAGCGCACACCCGTGCACCGGGCCACATGCAGGCGCGACCACCAGCCAGGGCCCATGGGGCAGGGCAGGGCCCTAGGCAGGGAAGGGCCCTAGGCGGAGCGGGGAGCCGGTGAGTTTTTAATAAGTGCTCCGTTTATTTTTATTTTTTGGGCTCAGTGGGTTGGGTCCAGAGGTTGTGGGTTTGCGCCAGGTGTCTTTTTTGTTTTTTTTTGCTTGGTGCCTGTTTTTTATTACTGCCAGCTGGCATAGGCCCAGGCAGGCCATGGCCCTGGACGGTGGACGGAGCTCCTCTCAGTTGCACCGTCTTCCTACCCCATGTTCGTCTCACATACAGCGTGATTTTTTTTCTTTTTCTTTCTTTTTCTTTCTTTTTCTTCTTTTTCTTTTTTCTTTTCTTGTCTGTTACCCGTAAAAACACATCACGACAGCGCCGGCATGGCAAAAAGCCTCAAACGCCTAATCCCTAGCCCAGATTGTCCAACCATTACAAGCCTCACGTCCAGAAAGAATCCTGGCCCCGCTGCCCCCAGCCCTCCCGCTTGTATGCACCACCGAGCAAGAGTGCGCGGCCAAAAAAATGTCCACTGCCCAGCACGTATATTCTTCTGGAAAAACAACCCCAGTTTGAAACCCACCAAAAACCACAAATCATGTCCCACGAAGGCCAGGAAGAATTATTGGACTACTCCGACTCCGAGGAGATTGCCGTGCAGCCCGCCAAGACTCAGGCCGACGAGGCTGCCGGCAACAAGGACGCCGACAAGAAAGGCTCCTACGTGGGCATCCACGCCACTGGTTTCAGAGACTTTCTTTTGAAGCCCGAGTTGTTGAGAGCCATTGGTGACTGTGGTTTCGAGCACCCTTCTGAAGGTTCGTATACACTTGCGAGCTGACTGTGCATTTGCACGAGGGGATGGGTACAACACAGAGAACACAGGATTCTGGAGGAAAACGCCGCCGTGTCCTGAGTCACAGACGGGCGTCTCCAAGGAGGCGCCCAGGGCACCATGCCCCTTGAACTGCGGAAGTCCCATTGTCCGCGGCAGACGGCGGTTTCACGGCTGGCTGGCCTTTCTTGGCTGGACATCAGTGAATGGCCATGTCCGAGCCGGCTTTTCGCGCTGCTTCCCAGAAACGAGGCACATGCTCCGTGGGCCCCGGCAGCAGCTTTCGGGCCACCGAAAGAAACCAAGCTCGGCCCAGCGGAGACAAGCACGGCTCACAAAAGAAACACGCACGGCCGACAACAGAAACATGCACTGCCGACAGAATCATCAACATGCTCCGCCAAGCGTGTGTCGGGCTGTATCCGCTCGCCCGAAAACGCCCCCAGCCCCGTCCGCCAAGCGAGCCCCCGCTCCATGTTCCCGTTTCCTGAATTCCCGACTCCCCTCCGCACAGCCGGCTTACGCCATATTCCACCCCCACCATATTCACTAACACCATCTAGTTCAGCAGGTCTGCATCCCCCAGTCCATTTTGGGCACGGATGTCTTGTGCCAGGCCAAGTCCGGTTTGGGTAAGACTGCGGTTTTCGTGTTGTCGACCTTGCAGCAGTTGGACCCCATCCCGGGTGAGATCTCCACCTTGGTGATCTGCCACACCAGAGAGTTGGCCTACCAAATCCGTAACGAGTACGCGCGTTTCTCCAAGTACATGCCGGACGTCAAGACCGACGTTTTCTACGGCGGTGTCCCCATCACCAGAGACTTGGAGAAGTTGCAGAACAAGGACACGTGCCCTCAGATCGTCGTGGCCACGCCCGGCAGATTGCACGCGCTTGTGGCCGAAAAGGGCATTCGTTTGAACAACATCAAGTCTTTTGTTGTTGATGAGTGTGACAAGGTCTTGGAGTCCTTGGACATGAGAAGAGACGTGCAGGACATCTTCAGAAACACCCCTCACCAGAAGCAGGTGATGATGTTTTCCGCCACCTTGTCCCAGGAAATCCGCCCCGTCTGTAAGAAGTTCATGCAGTCTCCATTGGAGATTTTCGTTGACGACAAGGCCAAGTTGACTTTGCACGGTTTGCAACAGTATTACCTCAAGTTGGCCGAGAAGGAGAAGAACAGACAGTTGTCTGCCTTGTTGGACACCTTGGAGTTCAACCAGGTCATCATCTTCGTCAAGTCCACCCACAGGGCCAACGAGTTGAACAAGTTGTTGTGTGCTTGCAACTTCCCCTCCATTGCGATCCACTCCGGATTGAAGCAGGAGGAGAGAATTGCTAGATACAAGTCTTTCAAGGAGTTCAACAAGCGTATCTGTGTCTCTACCGACGTTTTCGCCAGAGGCATTGATATCGAGAGAATCAACTTGGCCATCAACTACGACTTGCCCAGTGAGGCTGACCAGTACTTGCACAGAGTCGGCAGAGCCGGTAGATTTGGTACCAAGGGTTTGGCCGTGTCCTTCGTGTCTTCCCAGGAGGACGAGGAGGTCTTGGAGAAGATCCAATCCAGATTCGATGTCAAGATCACCGAATTCCCCGAGGAAGGTGTGGACCCTTCGACTTACATGAACACCTAATCAAGTAGGTATCAAGAACATACGTGAATAAGACGTCAAGCTGACTGTACTCAAAAATCAACTGTACTGGATGTGTCCAGTTTATGAGCTTTACACTGTAGACTCTAGGGCTTGTATTTCATACATTCGGAACTGATGATGGAGAATACGTCATCTAGGCTTTTACGAGGCACGGGAAACCACTCGTTGTGAATGTTGTAGTCAGTCCTTGCCATGGCTTCTTCCTTCGATCGAAAGATGTTCCAAAACCTAGACTGTTTGACTTCTACGTCAGTGGATTTTTCATGGCATCCTGTGCAGTGAATCTCGCCCCTGCCGTATTTCAGCTTGAGGATCAGGTGGATCAGCTGCTCGCAATGAAGAACATTTTGTGGAACAAAGAACCCATGATGGTGCGCCACGTAGGCATGGAGGTTTTTTGTCTCAGGCTTGCTTTTTATAGATAGATTCCCGAACATCCGCAGGAGACTGGACTTGCCTAAATGCGGATGTGATCCAGGGTAGAGACACTGCAACTCGTGGTTACATTTGGCCTCCCATTGCAGGATCCGAATCGCAGGGGTCTTTGTAGTCATGCCGACCTTCACCAACAACGTCTCCAGCCGGCGCATATCGACATCCACCCATTTATCTTTGTGTCGCTTATCACTTGAAAAGTTTCTGGTTTGGACCCATCCTCCCTTTGCATGCTTCGATAGAAAAGACGCCAATGTATACACGTAGATGTAGCCTGGCTGGGTAGCATAATCTACCTTTGGAGAATACATGTATCTTGGAGATCTGGGGACAGATGTGAAGGCAGTTGCATTTTTTACAGCGAGCGACTTGGTCTTGTGACTCGAGGGCAGATCTAGATTATTGTACTTTATTGGGCCCGGGCGGCGATCACCATGTAGGGCAGAAGTCCGCGACACCAGGTCGCATTTTGCGGCTCCAGACGCGGTAGTGTAGTTTTTGGTGGAGGAATGGTTTGGCGGTTTACCCTTTTTGGGTGTTGCCGGAAGTGAAGATGTGTTTGCCGATTTCCGAGGAACTTGGGCTGATTGAAAAATATTAGGACGCGATCCGGGACGCGTAGCAGTATGTTGATGGCGAGGCACATGATAGTGGCAGAACTCGCCTTTGGAGACTTTTATTAGACATCGGGCGCCTTTTTTGGTGATTCCGAGGCATTGTTTCGGACACATTGAAAGTGGCGCCAATGTGGAGAGAAATGTGATAAGCTACGTGCATGCGAGTCTGTTGAATCTTTCAAAAGCTCCAATGCCCTCGGTATCTGCAGGTAAGGGCTTAGTAAGAATGCTGATATTTAAGTTTTGATGGCGTAAGAGAAGAAGAATTAGGTGGCTGTGTTTTTTAAAATCTCTCATTTGATTGTTTGGCTCTCTTTTTCGCTTGGACGGAGAAGATTTCACCACCTGGTATTTTGAATAGTGCGTGTTCTTCGACGCTTTCCAGTCACGATATCGGTACAAGAAATTGAAAATTATCATACACCAATACAATTGTCCTCGTGCAAAGAATGCTGCGGTCAGACATAAAATTATGTTGCGCAAATGAGGCTTTAAACCCTTTTGATATCACTAGTTTTTCCACTTGTTTCTGGTCCCAACTGCCACCGCTTCTGCCGGGGCGTTGTCATCATGCTGCACACAAGCTAACGGTTGCAAGATAATACAAGGCAAAACACGCAGTATGAAAAAAAAATATTACAAACCGAAGGGTATGATAAATCCTTGATGCATCGCCTGACATTGAAAGCAGTATTTGTAAATCCTTCAAGGGGATGCGCATACATTTCATGTTGAACCAGACTTTGCTGGGTTAGCATTTTCTTCTTTTGTCATTGTTCCAATCCAGATCACTTTATGTGCGTCTCCCTGATTGGATGAGCAGAGATTATCTTCGTAAATCCTGCGCTTGAGCCTTCCATTGACTGGATTGAACCATGTAAGAATGAGGCATTTTTTTTGATGACGCCATGTCTCGTTCCGCTGATGGAAATATTTACGGTCAATTATTAGGATCTAAAGCTTGGAGCAGTTTTCTGAGCGTCCTGTAGAAATGGTATGAGAACACAAGCTGTAGCACCTGCAATCTGCTCTTTAATTGCTCAGAGTGATTGCTTATCTTCAAAATGTGCCAGCGATCAATTGCAGTATCGGAGTGTTCTAGGTGGTATACACCACCAAAAAGCTTCGAAGCCATATATTAAGAAGTTGTATTCTACAATTTAAGTCATCCAGGGCAATGTGTTTTATACAAAGGCTTTCGGAGTTACATGAAACGGCCTTTAGGGAGTTTTACGTGTCTCCTATCAGGCATATTAGAATAATGGACAACAGAAACACTCACCGACCCAAAAAGGTATTCTCTAGAGATTTTCGCTAAACTTGTTTCAAATCTGAATACAAGAGCAACGGTGGTCTTCATTATAATCAAGTGCTTAGCACGAGCAAAGTGGGGAGCTTTTCTGGCTAAGTATTGTGGCTCATCGTGGAAAACTCTTTTTGTTTTTGACAAAATGTTTCACAAAAACGGCATCAAGTTAAATGATTCTGTAAGGATATTCATCTTTATTCTCCGATGTAATTCAATGATGCTGACAGAGAAAGGAAAAGGTTATACGAAAGTCGCAATGTTTAGCTTTTGAATTTCACAGCGGCCACAAAAGAGTACTTCTATCTCGAAATGTTCCTGCGGCTCGTACGACAATCTTAAACTACGTAATTTCTCACATCAAATGAATCTTGTGTTTGTGAATTAATCAAATAATTCGAATTGTAATCCATCGAATTTCACTCTTCAAATTTAGCCTGATTGAGGGTGTGGCCTTTAGTTTTACCAGAACCATACGGGTCGCGCAGGGCTAGCCAGCGAAACAAGCGTGATCCAGTTGAAGCAACGAAGGAAAATGAAACCTATGGCCATGACACATATGGCTAGAATGACAGAAACATACAATATCGAGAAAAGAGAAGGAGGCAAGAAAGACGAAAAACGAATGAGACAGCTAAAGGCAATGCACAAGTTACCAGTTGATATTAGTCACAATTATTTTAGGGGAACATCCGTTCAATAAGCAGGATAAGAATCTCTCCACAGAATATGCCTGGACGATGCTCTCACATATAGAAAGCACATATAAAACAGGGACCCACTACTAAGTCATGTTCTGTTCCGCTCTGACGTGCAGACGGATAGATTGCGGCGGGTCTGAGAGATGTGTCTCTATCTAAATACAGCTGGAGTATCCGAAGGAATTTGTCCAGAAGCGCAGAGATTTGAAAACATTTGCTAAGAGGACAGCCTTCATCATATGAACGCAGGTCACCTACTGGACATCAAAGAAGAGCGATTCGAAAGAGGAATAAGCTGAGGCACCGGCTCCACTCAGCAATTATGCCATAAATCGGCCAACTCATCAAACACAACAGACCAAGTAACCGCACGTGACCGTGTCTCGACAAGACTTGCCCTCTAGTTCATGGGCAGCTCGATAACACCAAGTCACGTGCGCTTGCACTAGACGCACCCCGGTTCTAATAAAGCAACCGACGTGCAGACGAGTCAAAACCCAAAAAAATGACTCATATATGAGCCCCACCTGCTCTCTCTTCCTCACGTAGCCTTCAGTTTTCAAGTCTCTTCCTCTTGGATTTTTCAATAGCACATCACAAAATGTCGCAACACTTCGACACCCTCCAATTGCACGCGGGCCAAGACGTGGAGAAGCCCCATGGCGCCAGAGCCCCACCCATCTACGCCACGACTTCCTATGTCTTTGACGACTCCAAGCACGGAGCGCAGCTTTTTGGTTTGGAGACCCCAGGATACATCTACTCACGTATCATGAACCCTACTAACGATGTTTTCGAGAAGAGAATGGCTGCCTTGGAAGGCGGAGTAGGAGCGTTGGCTGTGTCTTCGGGCCAGGCCGCCCAGTTCTTGGCCATTGCCGGATTGGCACACCACGGCGACAACATTGTGACCACGTCGTTTTTGTACGGTGGCACATACAACCAGTTCAAGGTTGCGTTCAAGAGATTGGGCATTGAGGCCAGATTTGTGAATGGAGACGCTCCAGAGGAGTTTGCCAAGTTGATCGACGCCAAGACCAAGGCCATCTACATCGAGGCCATGGGCAACCCCAAGTACAACGTGCCGGATTTCGAGAAGATCGTCAAGATTGCGCACGACAACGGAATCCCCGTAGTGTGTGACAACACCTTCGGTGCCGGTGGATACCTTGTGAACCCCATCAAACAGGGAGCCGACATTGTGGTGCACTCTGCCACCAAATGGATCGGAGGCCACGGCACCACCATTGCGGGTGTGATCATCGACTCGGGCAAGTTCCCTTGGGCCGAGTACCCCGACAAGTACCCCCAGTTCTCGCAGCCTTCCGAGGGCTACCACGGCTTGGTGTTGAACGAGGCCTTGGGCAACCAGGCGTACATTGGTCACGTGCGCATCGAATTGCTTAGAGACTTGGGTCCTGCGTTGAACCCCTTCGGCGCTTTCCTTTTGCTCCAGGGCTTGGAGACCTTGTCCTTGAGAGTCGAGAGACAGTCGTACAACGCGCAGAAACTCGCGGAGTACTTGGGCAACTCCCCATACGTGAGCTGGGTCTCCTACGTGGGCTTGCCTTCGCACGAGTCGCACGAGTTGGCCAAGAAGTACTTCAACCACAGCGACAAGTTTGGCGGTGTGTTGTCGTTTGGCGTGAAGGCGTTGGAGGCCACGTCGGACGATCCTTTCCAGGAGGCTGCCGCGCAGGTTGTCGACAACCTCGAGCTTGCATCCAACTTGGCCAACGTGGGAGACTCCAAGACCTTGGTCATTGCGCCCTACTACACCACGCACCAGCAGTTGGCTGACCACGAGAAGCTCGCGTCCGGTGTCACCAAGGAGTTGATCAGACTTTCCATTGGAACCGAGCACATCGACGACATCATTGCGGACTTCGAGAAGTCGTTCAAGAAGGTTTACGGTGCCTAGAGCCCCCGTGCGTAAGACGGAAGCGGACGTTCTTGTAGGGGATAGTCTCACGTGGATGACTCGCCGTGAAACTCGCCGTGGAAATACACAAAATACAATATACATAGAACGAAGGCTGCGAGATACTCGGTCACCAACATTGTCGAGCCGAGGCCCAACGTGAGAATGACCCCATGCACGCGGAACACGGAATTGAGCTTTCGGAGGTACAACGCCTCCAACAAGTAGTTGATGAGCGTGCACGTCTCACAAAGAGCCAACAACGAGAACATGGGGATCTGCGCCCGGCGGTAGCGCCAGAACACGCCCTTGGCCATCGGCACGAAGAAGGCCATCGCCGTGGCGAGGAACAATACCGCGTGCACGAAGTTGAGGACGAGCATGACCCTGCCCATTTTCATGGACTGATCCACCTGGTGCACGATGGAGAGCCTGGCCATGTCTAGGGCCTCTTCAGGCGCGTCCTGCGCATTGTGGTAGGCCAGGTCGAGGTCCCGAATGATCTTGTTGAAGGTGGAGGCCAAGTTGGCGCCAAAGAGCAGCGGGTTGTCCATTCTGCCGGCAATGCCCACCTGCACGCCCATGTCCGTGACGAGCGCCGTGATCACGTCCATGCCGAAGCCCAGGTAACACGAGATGGAGACGGTGGACGGGCTGTGCCTGCACCAGCTGGAGAAGTCAAAACCGTAGATGCTGTCGGACACAAAGGAAAGTTCCGGGTCGTAGTCGGCCAACGACACGCCCTGGAGGTCTGTTGCAAATTGCGAGATCACCTGGAGCACCTCGTCGACGTCGTATACCCAGACGCCGTTGTCGGTTTTGTCGAGGTGTAGTCTGAGTTGCGGGAACCATAGGGATGCCCGCGTGAAGGTGGGGAAGCAGCAGATGACGGAGGTGAAGCACGTGGCCGCCCACAACACCCAGCATGCCACCACCTTGTGCTTGGTGGTGAGGGCCCGCGGGGCAGGCGTTTCGGGCAAATTGGCCTCGAGCTTTTGGGGCGAGGCAGACATGGTGTGGTAGTGGTTTGGCTCTCGGCGCAGGTCTGTGGGGCGGCAGAAGTGTCTTGTTTGTGGCGATGCTGTTCGGTGGGTGCTTGATGTCTTGGATGCAGCGATTTTGTATTCGGCACGGTCGCTTCTGTTTTCAGTGCAACAAGTAGTGTTTCAGTACAATTCAGTACAGTAGCTTTGTTTTGGTGCAAATACTTCTGTCCTCGGTGCACCAATTTATGGTTTCAGTACAATCACTTCTGTCCTCGGTGCAATCTCTTCTGTTCTAGGTGCACCAATTTATGGTTTCAGTACAATGCCTCTGTTTTCAGTACAATCACTTCTGTCCTCGGTGCACCAATTTATGTTTTCAGTACAATTTATGTTTTCGGTGCAATCACTTCTGTCCTTGGTGCACCAATTTATGGTTTCAGTACAATGCCTCTGTTTTCAGTACAATCACTTCTGTCCTCGGTGCACCAATTTATGTTTTCAGTACAATTTATGTTTTCGGTGCAATCACTTCTGTCCTCGGTGCACCACTTTATGGTTTCAGTACAATCTCTTTTGTCCTCGGTGCAACAATTTGTGGGTCCAGTACAGTGGCCTCTGTTTTCAGTAAAATCACTTCTGTCCTCGGTGCACCAATTATTGTTTCCAGTACAATCGCTTCTGATTTCAACGTAACAATGTATGTTTCCATACAATGCCTCTGTTTTCGCTTCTGTTTTCGCTTCTGTTTTCGCTTCTGTTTTCGCTTCTGTTTTCGCTTCTGTTTTCGCTTCTGTTTTCGCTTCTGTTTTCGCTTCTGTTTGGGGCAGTGCTTTCTCCACCACGCCCTGCGCTGTGCTCTCCAGACCTGTGTCTTGCTCATGGTTGTACGTCTCGGTGCAGTGCCCTATGTTCTCAGTTGACCATTCTTTCACCACCGCCGTTTTGGACTCATCACTGCCGCTTCCGATGTTTAGCCTATAAGCCGGATTTGCGCCGTCAGTTTTCGGCGTCAGTTTCGGCGTCAGTTTCGGAGTCGGATTGGCGCCTTGGGAGTGCCGGACACTGGCCCCGTCTGCCCCGAGCGGCCGCGCGAAAAGCCAGGGCCTGCCCGCGAGCAGAAGAGGCGCCGCCATTTCGCAGCCGAATTTGCACCCAGTCGCGCGCGGCCCGCACCGCTCAGCCGGCCCACTGGTTCATGAACTTGTTGTTGTCCAAATACCGCACCTCTGCGTCGTCCAACACGGAACTGCCGTCGGCCAACACGGAACTGCCGTCGGCCAACACGGAACTGCCGTCGGCCAGAAACGGGTCTGCCTTGCCTCCCGTGCCCCGTCTGGACGGCGGCCCCTCCTGGCCTTCCAGAAGGTGTCTTGTGCGGACGGAGCCCGCGGGCCTGGCGTCGTAGGTAAGCGACGCCGCGCGCGAGATTGCGGACGCATCCACCGGCCGGGCAAACGCCTGTGGGTACTGGTGGTTCGAGAGCGGGGTGGGGCCGTACAAAAGGTCACGTGTGTCCTTCTCCGGAAGCAGGTGCCCGGGAACCCCCCGGCGCCGCCCGGGGCCGTGCACGTGGCGCACCGAGAGCTTGCGCGAGAGCTTCTCGCTGAGCTGCCGGAGCTCCCACTCGCTGTGCACGGTGCCAGTAGTGCCGGGGGAGCCCGTAGTGCCGAGGGTGCTGGTTGTGCCCGTTATGCTAGTAGTGCCCGTGGTGGCGCCTAGCTTCTCGTCAAACGGGTTGTCCAGCAGGCCCGCCCGATCGGCCGCGTCGGCGAAAAGACGCGACGGCGCCCGCGCCGCCTGCGGCTGCCGCTGGAGCTGGTACGGCTTGGCCGTGAAGCCGGCGGGGTGGATCTGCTCGTCCAAGTCGTACACATGGTCGGCCGGGTTGGCGCACCAGAGAGGCACGATCCACGCGAGCATGCCCAAGGACGCCACGGCCAAGGCCGCCGCGGCAAGCGCGAGGAAAACCGGGCCCACGGACATCAGGATGCCGAAGTCGCCGAGCCCGCGCCGGATCTCGGCCCTCATGGCCGCCAAGTCCGCGAGCACGATGGCCGTGGACACGATCATGGTGGAGCCGGCGGTGAGCGCCACGAGCGCCACGGCGTTGAGCGTGACGGCCGAGGTGTGGGCCAAGTCCGGCGCGCCACCGCGCGTGCCGTAGATGAACACGCCGGCAGCGAGCAACACCACCTGGAGCGCGAGCTGGACCGCGTACATGATCCGCATGACGTCGTACCGCGCGGACCGCTCCTGGATGCGTTCCTTGTACGCCGCGCTCTGCACGTCCTCGCTCTCGTACGCGTACGCCAAGATGATCTCGAGCTGGTTCTGCAGGAGAAGCGTGCGGTAGTCGTAGAAGTTGAGGCTGCCGTACTCGTAGCACGTGGTGGACATGTTGGAGTAGTCCCTGAGGCGGCCCGCGAAGTCCGTGGCGTAGTTGACGGTGCACCAGTCCTGCGCCCCCAACACAATGGCCTGCGGCGCGTTCAGCACCTGTGTCTGCGCGTACTGCGTCAAGATGGACACCTCGGAGTCCGTGAGCGCCAGGTCGATGGGGAGCACGTTGGACCCGGAGCCCTTGCTGATGATGGTCTCGGTCATCAGCGACCGCAACGACTGGTAGAGCCCGGCCGCCACGTCCAACTGCGAGCAGTTGATGCGTGCCACGTATAGACTGGACGGGTAGCTGCGGAGCGCGTAGAGAACGACCGCGATGCACACGGCCACGAGCGACGAGCCGATGCGCAAGAGCAGGAGGCGTTTCTGCGCGGGCGTGAGGCCCCGGAAGGGCCTGGCCGCCGTGCCGAGGAGTTTGGTCACGGACACCATTGCGCCGGCCGGTGGTGTGGCTGGAAGGGCAGTCGCTGGCGATGTCTTGAGAGACTGAGAATGTCTTAAGAGACTGAGGAAGTCTTGAGACTCTGGAGAAGTCTTAAAGAGACTCTGGAGAAGCATTAGAGAGACTCTGACGATGTCTTAGAGAGACTCAAAAGAAGTTTTAGAGAGACTCTGACGATACCCTTAAAGAGACTCTGACGATGTCTTAGAGAGACTTTGAAATGTCTTAGAGAGACTGAAGATGTCTTAGAGAGACTGAAGATGTCTTAAAGAGACTCTGACGATACCCTTAAAGAGACTCTGAAGATGTCTTAGAAATACTCTGGAGAAGTCTTAAAGAGAGACTCTGATGATGTCTTAGAGAGACTCTGGAGAAGTCTTAAAGAGAGACTCTGATGATGTCTCAAAGAGACTCTGATGATTTCTTAAGAGACTCAAAAGAAGCCTTAGAGAGACTCTGACGATGTCTTAAAGAGACTCTGACAACACCCTAGAAAAGACTATGACGATACCCTAGGATAGACTCCGACGATGCCACAAAGAAACTTTGAAAATGCCCGAAAAGAGACTGTTGACAAGGCCCTGGCAAATGAGATGAGATCTGGCGAGCAAGTCGGTCTACGCAGACGACAGTCGAAATGTCACCTGGCGTCCTGGTGATAAGTCCGAGGCTCGAAGTGGAAGAAATGGCTCGTCTGGACTCTGGACGGAACCGGGGCGTGTCAGGCTGGATGGTATGGAATGTTCGATTTATGGCCCGGCCTGCCGGGAGGCTTGGCCCAAAAGTCGCGTGGCGCTACTGAGCCCCAGGGTGCATGGGGTCTGGGCCTACGTGCTTGCGCGGCGCCATAGCCACGGCTCATACATTTGAATCTGGGCCGCAGAATACCAAAAAAAGGCATTGGCCGCTTTTCCCTGCTTCCACTTACAGGCGCCTCTTAGAAAAAAGCTGATCCCAAAATGTCTCAGAGCTGCTCAAAATTCGGAATCGGAATCGAGCCGTGCCGCATGGCGTCGTCCATATCTGGAAGGGCAGGGCCTGCGACAAAGCAGACGCGGTGCGCTTCCAGATCTCGGTTGGGCGCCCAAACCAATGAACCGCCCAAACCAATCAAAACCGCCCATACCGCCCACACCATCCCTTAAAAAACCGGTGGCTCCTAAAAATACACGTACTTGCAAAATGAGAGTTTGATTTTCAGCTGCTGCCGGGGTGGGGAGCACAGATACTCGAATCCCAGACCTCGCCGCGCGGCCCTCTTCTCATAGCCTTGATTTAGACGTGGTCACCATGCAAGTCCACCGCACCATCCGTCCCAATAAACCAGGAATCTGCTTCTACAGGCGGCTGTGGAAAGTTGCTTCCAATGTCGTGGCGCCAAGGATGCTTCAAAAATTAAATGTTCTTGTTTGGACTATGTTTTAGAAGATCCATATTGATAAACGAAAGAATCTCTGGTAAGATCTTAGTGCTAGAATTAGTGTTGTTCAACGAACAACTAAAACCAGAAACATTCGATTGATGTTGCTTAACAAGCTATCAATACCAGAAGTATTTGATTAATGTTGTTTAACAAATAAAAATACCAGAAGCATTCAATTAATGTTGCTTAACAAGCTATCAATACCAGACGCAATCGATTTATGTTGCTCAACAAACTATCAATACCAGACGCATTTGATTAATGTTGTTTAACGAATAACTAAAACCAGAAGCACTAAACTAATGTTGCTCAACAAACCATCAAGACCAGACATTTCTTAATGTTGCTAACAGATTATTAATCAGAAGCATTTAATGCCACGAGCCACACGAGAATCCAAGCACAACAGAATATTTATGTATTGTATGTCGTAAATCAGGCTAGATCGTACAAGGGAGCAATGGGTGGGAGAATTGAAAATCAGCCGGAGGCGCGTTCTCGCCAAAACCGCCTTCGCATCGCAAGACTTGTCAAAAGTCCTCGTCGAAATGAAGCGCTCCGTTCTTCTGCGAAAACTCCTCCCACGACCCAAAGCTACTGACCCGTGCGCTGCCGGCATGGTAGCCGTGGTGTCCACCATGCTGCTCGAAGTGGCTGCATTCGGTCTCGTCCGGCTCCTCGTCATGCTTACGTTTGGTCCCCATCAGAGGCAAGGTCTGGACATTCACAGAGGGAGCTCCCCACTCGCAAACATTCAGTCCAGATTGAAAGGTTGACCCGTCGCTGGTCAATGCAGGGGGCTGTGACAAATGGGCAGGGAGCGGGGTTCTCTCCGGCTGGTTCCGTGGCTGTGATTCCACGGATTCACCGCCAAATTGAGGCTTGTACGAATACTGTCTGTTGCCAGGGTGGCCATCGGCCACCGCCTTGCGGATCCTCATTCCAAGCGTCATCAAGGACGCTGCATATGGATCGGCATTCTCGGGCGTCGGCGCCTGATGCATCTGGCGTTTTGTGTGTGGATTTTCCATGGCTGAAAATGTGCTGCTGGCTGATGCTTGCACTCTTCGGGGAATGCAGATCTTACGCGCCCGCGGGTAAAAATAAAAAGCACGCCAAAAAAGACGTCGGGGACTGTCGAGACAGGGACTGGGTAAATAGAAGTCCCGAGATGTGGTAGTATGCTTTTTGACTCGAACAAAAAGTTGAAGGAAGCCCGAGATTGCTGTGGTCGGTAAGGTGTAAAAGGGGTAGTTGGGCGAGGAAAAAAACTGGTGCGCATTATTATTATAGCTTCCCGATCCAGAATATCCTCTGGTCACGGGCCTCATGCACGTAATATACGCGCCTGTACACGGACAGAGAGCCAATTTCCGGACGTTTTGGCAGACCTCGGCGGGTGTCCATTGCGTATGTGATTTGAGATTTCGTTGCCCGACAACCTTTTCTGTGATTCTATGGTACCTGAATTGCTGGTTTCTTTCGTGTCGTGTGAAACCGTGGTTGTACACTGTCGCTCGCCATAGTACGGGTCTCACTATCCACAAAGCATGTTTGTTCCTAGCTGGCCTAAGAAAGTATGCCAAAGAGAACGGCAGGGTAGAAGTAAGTGTGGAAGTAAGTGTGGGAGGAATACATGAAATAAGGTTTGGTTGGCCTGTCCATTTATCTTCTGACCAGCGTAGGTATAGAAGAGTGATCCCCAGATGCAGGGATTCAGATTTATATACACAGCGACAAAGTTCAGCGAATGATGTGGATAGCTCGAATCCCAAAACTGTACTTCGCCAGTCGTATTCATACCCTGCAAGACTTTTTTTTGTTCGTTGCTACGGGCTCACAGACTCCTCTCTTTGCTGTTTTGATTAACAAACTGTTCTTTCAGAGCATGCGCAATACCTTCAGAAAATAAAAAGCCAAAGACTTTGACAACTGGATGCTGAGTAGGAAAAATTAACAAAGAAACAGAGTTCCCTGCCAACATTTCACAACACCACACAGACCTCACTGCTGACTGAATATAGGCTTTCATGACCTAGATCACAAATCTTGGAGTGAAGAAGAGAGATTCTTTATAGAGACGACAAGAAACCTACAACATTAATCACTAAAGTATCAAGCTTGCTTTATCAAGACTGCACTCTGAATAATGGGCTCGGAAACCATGTACGTTCAGCCGACCAAGTACATAATTCCCCAGAGTAATTCTCTGTGGCCAGAGAATCATTAAATTACTGCTCCCATTTCATTCACCCTACCAAAGCTGGTATCCAGCAAAGATGAAGGAAATCATTGACGCCTAGTCATCATTCTAAGGACGGAAAAGCCTCCACGCGGCCTCGCACTCCGCAGTGAAAGCTGCAATATCCTCACTTATACATCTTCAAATCATGCAAGAACTACATATTTCTACAGACTCTAAAAAGCAAAACTTGCTAGAAGGCGTAAAAAACAGCAAGATGGTTCACGTGGGCTGTAGGGTGGCTGGAAGTGTGAAGCTGTATTTCGCCAGCGGAACCATATCAAAGGTCGCGAACAATATATGAGAAGCTAGCAGATGTTATGCTCAGCACCGGCTTTGTGTTAAATTTAGCTATAAATTGAGGCGCCGTCTCTCCCAACTCACTTTTATCTCCCACCACCTTTCTTCTTCTCGAACTTAGATCACTGGAAGACTCTGACTCAAGACTATTCAAGTGAACACTAGAACCGACAACAAGAAACACCCCACCCACCCCTCCGGACTTTTTTTGACTTTGAACCAATGACTGTTTCATTCGAATCAAGTTCTGCTTTCGTGGGCTCCTCCGAGCTCACCATGCCAACCATTCCCACCGGCGCCAACCAACCAGCTGACACTCGCAGCTGGTATGAGAGACACGCCAAGGGAACCGTTGGATCTTTTTTTGGCTGCAAAGAAAGATCTCACCCCATTGGTGGATATGATTCAGTGTACGCTGAATTGATTGCCGCCAAGGGTGCCTGGCTGGTCCAAGCCTCCACTACTACTAAAGGTAGTGTGGAGGAGGTATCGGCCAAGAAACCTGACAAGGTTTCCGAAGCCATTGCAATCGACTTAAAGGGAGAAAACCCAGATCAAGTCGATTCTTTGGAAATTGGCGCCAGCCAAGCTCCATGTAGCTTGGCTGGTGCTGGTGCACAAATCAGTGTGCAAGGCGGAGAGCCAGTGGCCCCAGAATTGGGCGCGGCCCCATGCATGGGGCCAGAAGTGGCTGCGGCGGCCCCGGAAATGGCTGCAAAATCCGGGCCGAATGATGCGAATTTGGCCCCAGGGAGGCGCGCGGCCCCGAAAAAACATGGGCCTAAACTGAAGAAGCGGGCCCGCGCCATGCGGAAAGCTCGCCGCGTGGCCAAAAAATTAAAAAAATTAGTGGGGGTAAAAGAACCCCAAGGGATAAACTTTGGAAAGGACAAGAGAACTTTGAGCAAGAAGGATTTGGGGAAAAGAGTCTTTGTTCCCTCTGATCCCAATTTGCCTTTGTTCGATCAATGGTTGGACAACACTGTGGCGCCGCTTATCGATGTGGTTTCCATGCTGCCAGAGGAGCTCGCCGCGGGTCAGGTTGAGTTTTATGATGGAC